AGCCTGGCAAATTCATGTCATTACAACAAAAGGCTGGTATCATGGCAGAATTTTATCCCATTTATTTTGGTTACTTGTTCTTAAAGGTGGGGTATGTCATTTTGGAGAAACCAGCTCGAGTGCGCTAGAATTTGAAAGTACGCAGCCGAAAAAAATCTGCCCCTTCCTTCAGACTTCCTTACAGAGCCCCTCCTCCAACACACACGAACGCGCACATGACCAATGAGGGCACGAGATAAGTTTGTGCACAGATGGAAGGCTGACAGGCAGGTAGGCCATCCAGTTATTTTAGCCGGGCCGGCTCAGATGATTGGTCGTACTTTTTACAGCGCCACGGCTTCCACAGATGACATTTTTTTATGTATTTATTGTCAAAGCATTTAATATATTCATTGCTATCGGGATGTTAAGAGCATTCCATGGAATATAACAAAAAGTGTTTCTGAAGTGAATTACCTACCCCACCTTTAACAGTACTCTAGTCTAACAGTCTTAAACTAAGGTTGTTGTTTTTTTACTAAATTGCTTTAAAGCTAAATTGATCTTTAGCTAACTTGCTGTTTAGCTGACTCACAGTTTAGCTAACTTGTTGTTTAGCTAACTCGCTGTTTAGCTAACTTGTTGTTTAGCTAACTCGCTAACTTGCTGCACAGACAGACAGACAGACAGACAGACAGACAGACAGACAGACAGACAGACAGACAGACAGACAGACAGACAGACAGACAGACAGACAGACAGACAGACAGACAGACAGACAGACAGACAGATCTGGTGGTTTTGTAACTGTGTGACACTGAACATTTTAATTTGCCTCTGTTCCAGATAAGTTTATCAAGCCCTGGTGCCTCTGTGTGACTCAATCATCATCTCTTTTGGGGCCCTGTCTAAAAACATTCAGCAGTACTTACATTAAAGCTCCATTTAGAAATTTAAAACATTTAGACAGAGGAAAAACAGGGCAAAACACTTAAAACAGAGCGACTGCTAATGGCGGTAAAGGGAATGATCAATCTGCTGAGAGTTAACTACACAAAACGCCAACTGAAAGACGAGGTAGGGTTGGCTTTAACTAGATTTGGGGCTGTGTTTTTATGAAATAGACCTTGAAGGAAAAACTTAAGAATTCTGTGTATAAAACAAGTATTTCCAAATATATCCATTATATAAACTGTATAAACTCTCCACTGCAGTACAGCACTGGTCCAAGAACACAGTGTACAGAAAGGGATGCATGTGTTTGCTGCAGGCCTGTGGCCAACATGAGAACACTGTAAAAGGGATTAAATGGACCCTTTCTCATTCACCCTTTTTGTCCGTTTAATTGGCTGCCTTGACCGTCGCTCCTGCTCTTTTATTGTTCGGTTTAGTGTTCAAGCTGCATTTTGAGAGGTGATGACTAATTAATTGACATGTTTTTTGTTCTGCCAAACTTCTATAAACCTGCCTCGTGTACTCATACTGCTGAAGTGTCTGTTCCTTGTTTTGTTGTATTAAACACTACTACGGATAACTCATATGTAGCTGACAATGATGAAAAGTGTAGCTAAAATGTATATATTGCAAAATGTTTTTATCCAACAAAATATTCTGCTTCAATCCGTATTAGTTGGCGTTAAGCCTTTCAAAAACAACATTCTGTACAGCAAACAAAAATCAGTCTGCTCTCCCGCTTACTGCACACAAAGAAGAAGCAATTTAACAGCAACAGCTATACAACCAAAACAGAACATCATTGGGGTGATGATGCAATATAAACACAACAGCCAGATCAAATATAATAAATGTTTACATGATACCAGACTGCGTATACAGAACTCCCTACATTTTTCTTCAGTAAGTTTGCAGAAAACAACACATTTTCTGGGTAATATATTTCACACACTACTGATGACAGATCTGCAGAGATGCAGGCTGTGACTGCATTGCATTTTGATCGATTGAGGCAAGGAATCAGTATGTCTGCCTCTTCTCTGATGGATTCCCTCCTGTTGTGACTGTTGAAAATTGGTCCAAAATATAGAGTTCTTGCTTTTTCTGAGACTCACATTTAAAACTTGGTGTTTACTGTTTGTATTTGTATGCTTTTCCTTCTGTCAAAGCATTGTTACTGTAGTGAAAATGTTAAAGTTGTTGCCTATTTTTCAATAATACAACATCACACAACTATAATTGTACATACAAAGGCAATGCTTATCACTAGTGGCTCTTTTTTGAAAGTTTGAAAGTGATGAGACTATGTCATTTTCCACATTTACCTTTTTTGAATCTTTTTCTAAACTTTTATGTTTCATATTCAGCCTGAAGATGCAATCAAGACAGAAGCTTTGCTCAGGGCTTAAAGTGAAAGAGATCTGCCGATGCTAACAGGAGGAGCAGTTCAAATTAACGATGGGAAAGGGATTCCCTGGAGGTTAAAACACCCACAAGTCTGCCTACACTTGGCCTACATACTGCCCGTTACAGACTTCCCCTCAGCAGGCTTTTCTCCTGCTCCGTGCTGCAGGATCTTACTATCAGCTTCTCTGGGGGATCCAGAATCAGTGCCGCAGCGGTGCAGCAGCCATGTGATAACTGGGACTTCTATCCATGCACAGAGAGGTCGGAAGCAAAGGTGCTGTAAAGATGCAATGAAAACCCTCCATCATCATGCTGCACACGCCCCTCGATCACGCGCCTCACAGGAAGTGGAAGCCAGTGAAATGAGGTGTAAAGACACATACACGCACCTCGTACCATCTCTAAAAGCAGAAAGGTCTCCTATTCATGGAGGGTTAATGGGACGAGATTGCAGGCTACATGAAAGAGGGAGTAACCTTTTAAAGAGGCATGTGTGAAGACTCACAATGTAAGGCCCACGGGTCACAAAGAAAGAGACGGATAGAAGAAATATATAGCAATACAACAGAGAGCATAATAGAAATGGGGAAGGCATGTCTTGTTTGCTGTGTGAACCATAAGAAAAAGGTACACAAATATTGATTTCTCGGTGTAAACAATGTCTAAACACTAGCAAGAAAATATGTTTTAAGGGTTAAATCGAGAGAATGATAAAAAGTTGAGTATCTAAGTAACTTTAGTACTGCACTTTGAAATATTTATATTACACTTGAGTATTTCCATCTCCTGCCGCTTTATACTTCTACTCGACTTAAACATAACCTCCTTCTTCACCCGCTGCAACATTAAAGTGCATCAATAATCATCATTTAATAATGTTATATATATTCTTGAGAGGAGCAGAATGAGTACTTTTGTACTTCAATTTCGATGCTAATACTTGTTGCAGCAGGACTTTTACTTGTAACGCTTTTCTAGACTGCGGTATTAGTACTTTTACTTAATTAAGATCTGAGTACTTTGTCCAAACCCAACAAACAGAAGCATATTCCTCCAGAGGTGGAACTAACTTTTACAAAATATACCTTTTACGTTAAGAAAACTGACCATCATGGGAACAAGGAAAAGCTCTGGAACAAATCCCAATTACAGGGCAGATAAACAAAGTATTTTCTACTTTCGTTAACATTGCGAGATGCACTGGGCCTTGGTGGAGGTCTGTGCTCACCGAGTGCCCTTCTACTTTGGATTATGGATTCAGCTGTCATTCTCTTTTTGTTTGATTAATAATTTAGTGTCTAAAAAGGTCAGAAAAGGGTGAAAATTGCACAACCCAAGTGCCCAGAGTCCAGATGACATCTTGAATGAAATGTCTTGTATGGTCGAACAACCATACAGAAACCCAAAGATATTATAATTTTAAACCATATTCAACAGGGACAAACCAGCAAATCCTCAAATGTTAGCAGCTGGAAAAGGAAAATTGTTGCATTTTACACCTCCTACTTTTCTGTGATTTACTTGTGTTCTTACTGTATCACTTCAAATCTAGATTTATAAGAAATGCAGACAGCACTAAGGTATATTTGAAACTGAAAGCCTTGCCCTCATTCTGAGAGGTTATTGAATGAGCACAGATCAAAGTGGATTCTGTGTAGTAACAGCAGCTCAGCAATGGCACACCTGCAGGTAGCGCAGGAATACCGTGTGAAATATCTTATAGCCTCAATTTCTTAAAGTACATTTCCTTGATTATTTTGTATTTAGTTTGAGGTTTGTCTAATAGAGGCAGCAATGGTCTGTCATAGAGGAACTCGTCAAATGGGGAGATGCTTCTACAACTTCCACATCAACCAGCCAGAGACAGGCTGATGGTTGGTGTTTCAATGAGTCTGTTAGTGACTCTGCAGACCTTGATGTCAACTTAAACTAGCACAGTTTGAAGCATGTTTTTTATAAATGAACACACTAACTTTCATATTCAACCAGATCACAATGCAAAGTTGTAATCGATGATTTAGAATAATAATAATACATGGTATTAATATATCGCTTTTCCTGATGTTCTCCTCAACGATTAATGCAAAAATAACCACTTTAAGTCTAGTGTTTACCAGAGATGTGCTTAAAAGTTTATAGCAAATAATTAATTTAGAATAAAACCTTGACCAAGAGATTTGTAGTAGCCTAATTTAAAACAGTTAACAATTTGGGTATATTGTCAAATACAGGTTTTAATGTTTTTTTAATCATTGTAACTGAAATTATTTAGGGTTGGGCGGACAAACAATATATCTGAAGACATCACCTTGGACTTCGGGGAACTGGGGTGGACTTCTTTCACTTTTTTTGTAATTGAATTAGCAAATTAATAATTATCCAGCAACCGCCCTTTAAAAGAACCCAGAACAGGATTGGATCTTATCAGGCAATACATAAAAGCCATCACCTCTGCCAGATGGACAAGGACAATATGTAGTGGACACCTATCAATAAAAAAAAAGCAATACATCACATCTGCTCCCTAGGAGGTGCCTTTCACTTTAGTATAAAGGTGTTTAAACAATGAAGATAGTGGAATCAGTGAGTGTATGGTGACCTTGTTGGGGGCCTATCACTATGACATATTGACCCATGGTTGCTGGTGGAGAGTGTCTCACCTTTGAGCAGGGGCAGCGGGGTGAGCTCCACCTGGGAGCTCTGGTACCGGAACTGGGAGGAGCTGTGGGACCTCCTCTGCCGGGCTCTGCGCATCGACCTCCGCGGGAAACCATCCACCTTCTCCGCGGACGGCACCGAGAAGCTGGTGGTCGGAGAGGACGGGCTGGAAGGAGGCAGCTTGGTCGTCTCCATGATGGCTGTAGACGGCGGCCTGTGCGCCTTGGTGTGTGTGCGTAAAGGGGGACGCTTGAGAAAGGGTGAAAGAAGTGAGGAGTGGGTGGCTATCTGAATCACAGATGGATAATCAATTGATCAGAATGATAAAAGCTCAAGGAAGGAGGAGGAGAGGAGGGGGGGAGAGATAAAGGGGGGAGAAGGTGCAGAGGCGGAGGAGAGGTGAGGAGAGAGATTTTCTGGATGTCCAGTCCCGTGCTGTGCGCCTCGCTGTCTCTATCAGAGCCGCACCGGAAACGGCAGCAGCATCATCCCTGATTCTTCGGTTTTTCACACACAGATGTAAAATCGCTTGTGTATCATCCCCGTGGAGGAGTAGCCCGTGCAGCTACCAGATGATGCTCAGACAGGCGCGCCTCCCCTCACACACACACGCCTCTCTGCTGCTGTATTGGCGTCACACACACAGACTAAGTCATGGGCCTAAATTCGGATATGTATTTCTTTAACTGAGCTCCTGTTGTTGAGAAATCACTGTATCAAGCACCTTGCCTGTTTATCCGGATCAAAAACAAACAAACGGACCCCGGGTCAGTTTATAGCTGAATCTCCTCGATGATGCTCCTTATCAATACAATCAGTGATCGGTCCTGGCGGTGGATGATGATATCATAAAATCATCAATCTGGGCCCACCTCGGCTGCCGCATCACTGTTGTCCTTCTCGCTCGTTTCAACGGATCCTCTTTCGACCGTTACAGCGGCCGCACCTGCTGTGTGTTTTATTTATTTTTGTCTCACAGAGGTGGATAATGTTGCGGTTCAAACCTCTTCCACACAACCTCCTCCTCCTGTATCAGGGCGGGGAAACCAACGCTCCCTCACCGCGCCGACATGTGCAGGTCCTCCGCCAGCGGCCGATGCAACACCGAGCCCCGCTGCTGCTCCGGCTCTACCTCCGCGGGGAGAGGGGAAGAAAATAGGGGAGAAATAGACAGAAAGCAGCCGGTCCTCCTGGAAGCCTTGAGTTAAAAAGACCGAAGGCCCGAGTTATACAATAGCACCCCGTCTAGGTCTGTCAGACTGACGCGTTTTGCTCCTGTCCCCCTTCTCGGTCCCGTTATCCGGTCGTCCTACAGCGCCTCAGCGAGCTGCGTCAAGAAGCACGCAGTGACTCAGAGACACACAGGAAATTAGGCGTCAGGACTTTCAAAATAAGACGAGATAAAGAAACTAAAAAGTGTGTGTTGGTTTCTAGGAGTTGAGTCATAGCAGGAGGCAAAAATAAACCCTGCTCTTCTTCCTCTGCACTACATGTGGTATGTAAGACATATACATCAACTCAGATTTGCATGGTCAATTTAAACTAATAGAAAATAAAATATTGTTATATGCACAAGAATAACAGAGAAGCAGTCAAAATGTTGGATCTCAGGCTTCCCACAACCATGTATAAAAAATTATATGTTTTAAGTAAAGCAAAATAGAAATCTGAGACATATAAAAAGTGTAACATATTCTGTGTAATATAATGAAAAAATATTTAGTAGTGAAATAGTATAAGGTATTGCAAGTTAACAAGCAAATGTAACTGTTTGTACCTAAAATCTGTAAACAGAAATGTAAATGTGTATGCATAGTAAGTATTAGTAAATATGTAAAGGGAGGTGTTAACAGTTTGTAAAATAGATAATACATTAATAGTATTTTGATACATGGCCCTATTAAAACACTTTAAAACATTAATGTTTAAGCTTTGAGGAGTGGATATTTTTGCTTTAGCAACTCTAATATTGCCCAAAGAAACTGACAACAAACAAAACGTACCAATTGCTGTACAATGAACATGGGACTTCTGGGGGTCTATTGGGGCCACTGTGTGTGGATGTTGTCTGGATTGCCCAATGAGTAATCCAGCATTGAATTACATGGATTTCTGTTCGATTTTCTCCACCAAAATACAGCAAGATGCATCACAATGCTGATCTCAATATTTTAAAAGGATGATCTTGCATCCAATTGCATTCAATCATTCAACAAAGAGGGCATAACAGTGGAGGTTTCTCAAGCACACCAGGGTCTTCCATGCATAACCTATTATCTCCAAAAATATGTTTTTGTTTGCAATATAAAGCTTTTATTTTGAAAGCTATAACCGGATGCTCAGTTATCTCCCTCTGACTGTTGCCGCTGCCCGCTGGTTCCTCAGCCTAAAGGTGGTGCAAGGAGAGAGAGGAACGAGGCTCCTCAATGCGGATGACGCTATAGGATGGAGTTATTTATTTATTTGTTTTTATTTATGTGCCCTGGCTTTGCCATTCAAACGTGTTTAATTTTAAACAGATACATCATTAGTGGTCCTCTGCTGTCACTGCATCACCAATAGCATCACCTAGGCTCTGCCAAACCTCTGGCTGCGATATCACCCTGTTATGAAATATTTCCTGCTTCTCCGGTGAGACGCTCCTCGGTGTTTCTGTCTGACTCCCCTCCTCCCCTCCTCCCCCATCCCTCCCTTTCCCCTTTTCCTCGCTTCCTATTTGAGGTGAGCGTGTGTTCGCGGGGGTTGTAGTTGACTTTGAGGATCAAGTCCCATCTATTGTCTACACTAAGCCACTTGTGCCCTCATTCACAGACACACGCGCGCGCTCTCTCACAAATTCAAAAGAGCAATAACCCACGCGCATTCATCCCCCCCTCACGGTCACACCTTGGCTGCTAGTGTGTGTGTGTGTTTGTGTGTGATAGTGTGTGTTTGAAGCATAGACTGTATATATAAAGGTTTGAAGCCAGCCTTGAACCTGCTCTTCACACCATAAACACACTCCAGCCGTATAATATTATATTCAGTACAAGGGCGTGCGTAATACCACGCGCCTGCGCCCTATTCGCACCCCCCCTCCTCTGTGCTGTGTCGCAGATGAGCTCAGCCGGTTGCCTTCTGGGAAAAATACCGGGGGGACCGGCAGTCCGGTAAGAGGCTGCTCGTCTGCATCTCTCTTCTGGCTGTTAATACTGCACTGACATTTAGAAACACTGTTAACAGAGCTTTATTATTGCACTGCACTCTATAACTGTGTGCAAATATATCAAATGTTATATCCAATCTGCTAACATTTGCCTAAATGCTAATAATATCCAGTATAAAATCTATAAATAAGAGTAAACAATGGCAGTGCTTTGAGAATAATGCTAAAAACATGCTACTCTAATGCTAACATGCTGGACATTAGTGTAGGTGTTAGTGTGCTAACATATTCTAATGAGCACAAAACACAGAAAAAAGTCAGTAGCTTTTAAAAATATTGGTCATTTAACAGATTACATGATTCTCGAGAAGAAGCATCACCAAAGTTATTACAATAATTAATTTACTGTATGCACCAAATGTCAGATAAATCCATCAAATGGATGTTAAAGGTCCCATGTCATGCTTTTCTGGTTATTACCCGTCCCCTTGTGAGCTTTTTCTGCATGTAAACGGTCTGCAGAGTCACAAACCCTCAAAGTACACCCTGTAGCGAGTAAAACTCTAACACAGAAAACACCTGTCTGCTGCCCCAGAACGCCTCGTTGGAGATTTATCTTTTTCCAGTTTTTACTTCTTGGGTATAGTGACGTATTTGGGTATAGTGACGTAACGTAACATCCGCGGAGCCGTTACGCTTGGACCAATCCGCGGACTTCCTCACACACACACACACACACTCGGCGGGAAGTTGCGACACACCGCGGAACCCAGCCTGAGCACACACACAAACTCCCAGCCAGGCTGCGGGTGTGTGTGTGTTTCGGGCTGGGTTTCGCTGTCTCGCAGGGCCACTGGGCTCACAGGGAGGGGGGGGGCAGGAGCTCCAACAAGCCGTTTAGGACAGAGAGTGAATACACCTACTATACATAGATGCTGTATGAGAAACCAATGTGAGTTTAGAAAATTGCACAATATAAATCTATTTTAGTATACCTCAACAATGGAATTATGATCAGTAGAAATGGCCATGACATGGGACGTTTAAAGGAGGCTCCGTAAAAGATATGGCGTAATAAAATCAAGGTGCACAGCCACTAATATATTGAGTATAATATGTCTTAAAGACTTTTAAAACACAAACAAAGCCAACCTGAGCACTTTACTGATAAAAGTCAAGGGATCATCTCTGGGGACCATGAATATATGTACGAAATATCATGACTAAATGCATCCAGAAGGTGCTGAGGTATTCAAGCTGAAATACACAGAACAACAACATCCTTAGAGGCACCCCACTAGCAGGGCTAAACTATTCCTGTCCAACACAATCTGCATATTGATGTCCTATTAATCTTATACTATGCAACTCGTGTCAAACAATTAACTTATGGCCACATAACACATATTTGAATGCTGAAATAAAAGGTGTACAAGTTGCATAGAGAGTAGAAAAGGTTCCCAAAGTTGGTTATATAACATCTTAAGTTAGCAAATTAATTGCTTATTAATTCAACTGTCCATGGATATCATTTGAATCAAAACATTCTTGTAAACTAAGCAAAACTACACAATACATTTTTCAATAAAGATGTTTTATTCGCAACTAACTTTTGTATTACAACCAGTATTAAAGGATAAATATATTGCTCTAATGCACGGTAAATACAAAAAAGTCATAATTCACTCATACACTTCTATGTGGAGCACATGCATCTATATCCCTTATACCTACAGATATAAAGCTGAATATTCTGCCACATAAATCATCATTTGAAAAACAAAATCGTCATTTTCATACAATCATGATGCATATGTCTATATATTTCCTAACTGTCATCATATAAAATTGCCTATGTAATCATTCCCATTTTTCACCAATAGGGAGCCCCGGCAAAAAAAGAGCTGCTGGCCCTTTAAGACCGTCTGAGGTTATTTAGTAATGCTCACATTCATTTAGAAACTGGTGGATAAATCAAATAAATAATATAGATACCCAAACCGTTAACTATTAGAAATGAATCAAATCACCACACATGGGCTGCAGACCCACCCACAATCTGGGGCCCCTGAGGGTTTGGGGCCCTGGGCAGTGGCCTATTTGTCTTGTGATCTTCAAGCAAAGCTGATAAAAGAGCCAAATAAAAAATTAGTCATAAAGTAGCACGCTTACAGTAAGTACAAATAATGCATTTATATTATTTTAAAATGAAGAGATTTTTATTATCTAAAATGTAGAAAAAATAAATAGTGATAGCTTTAAAAAGGCTCCGCTAATTGAGTAAATTATCAGTAGAAATGTGTGAAAAGTGTATGATGTGTATTTTAGAATAGTTGAAACAAATTAGAACGTTTCCTGCCGTTATAAAACTACCATACTCGCCAGGGCAGGGCTGTGTGGTTTACTTTGGAACATCGATGTCCACACATTCAGCTCCTGACACAGATTTTCCTAGAATTAGCAGGGAAGTGAGTACACCGCCCAATTTCCAGGGTTTGAATGTTGAATCATGTTTGCTGTGTCTTGTCTCTTGATTAAGGAAGGGATAAAACACCCACCTACCTGACTTAATTCCAAACTGAAAAACTGTACTTGATGTTATTGCATGGTTTCGTCTCAAGTATCTTGTAAAACTATGGACAAGGGGCACATTCATTGAGTTTTTGCTTGTGTAGAGTTTTAGGAAACTGAAGCAGAGTTCCATTCTCTGAAAACTCAGCTGGATCATATAAAAAAGGCAGAATTTCACAAATTCAAATGTTTTGGTGTGAAAAAAAAAACCTGATAATGCTACAATAACATAATTACGGTTATCTCTGCTCCACATTTATAACAGAGAGGCTGCATTACAGAAACTGGAGGTGATAGCAGTGTTTAAATACATTACTAAAAACATATAAATTAAAAGAGCATGTGTTCACGTTGTGGCATGCCTTGGCACTGATGACTAGTCCCGCTTAGAATCCACTCATTGCCCTCCAGGAGCTCAGAGAGGGAGAAATCTCTCGGGGGATCCCCCAGTGGTGGCAGCGAGGGTGGGGGCGGAGGTATGTCAAAGCTGCTGGAGGTAGTCAGAGGCACGTAGAGGGGGCTCGGGACGGTGAGCTGGGAAAGCAGAGACGCAGGATTGAGGGTCAGTTGTCGACTATTTCTCGGCTTTAAGGCAAAAGCTGAGGCAGGGGGCGGCTCTGAGAGGGACTTAAGAGCAGGTTCTTGAAGAATATGCGGTAAAAGAGAACACGGCAGAGTGGAATTTCTGCTCAATTGTTCTGTATGAAGCTGGTGCACATTCATGAGACAGCCTTGCACTGCTTTTCCTGCCTCTAAATGGGAGTTTACGTTCGATGAAGGGGTTCGAAAAGGAGCTTGTTTCATTAGAAATTCATTCATTGAGAAACTAGCATTTGCTAAGCTTTTATGGATGTTTGCTTGCTCAAATTTAGTTTGAGTGGGTGCAGGGAGGGAGCTAGAGGGGTTGAAAACAAGGCTGGTGCACACAGGAGGAGCATTTTTTGGCGGCCTTGATGCGATTATAGGAGGAACCTCGTAAAACAAAGAGTGAGGAGCAGGGACTGCAGAGAAAGAGGCAGCGTAAGGAGCCGATACAGAGCTGAAGAGTTCAGGAGCTGAGCCACTAGGTGAGGCTAATGTTGAGGTTTTGGGACGAGGAGTTGAAGAGGAGAGTTGTTTGCTTTCACAGGCGGCTGAGGGGGGAACTGAGAGGTGGGTCGAGGAGCCGGATAAGGCGTCTTTGAGGAAGCAAGGCTTGTGGCACTCCAGAGCCGTTGTATAGAGGTTGAGGTCTTTCTTCAATGTGGCAATGTCCTTTTTCAGGGCTGAGTTTGATCTCTCCAGACTCTGAAGCTCCTGAGAAGAAGAGTGGAGGGGAGGGAAGAGATAAGAGGGACAGAAATGGCAAAGAGTTAATGTCAAGCTGAGACTGTGGTGGAGGAAATACCAGGGAATTGTACTTCATTTGTTTGATATCAATCCAGTACAATTGTGTAAAATGCTTACGCTCCGTTAAAGACAAACATTAAAAGGTACATTTAAAAGATAAATATTATAGGAAGCAACACAAAAGGGGTAAAGATAAGCATTCAAGAAAAAACTAAAGGATTGCATTCAAGGCGATTGCACATATTGCACAGGGGTGTAAAGTATAAAAGTGTTAACATCAAAACATATGATCAAAATTAGGAGTGAATGTGGCAAGTGGTAAAGGTGGAGCTTTTGTATCCATACTCTTAGGGTAGCTTGTGAATTTCACCAAGGTACGTTTATGTCACTCTTCTTTAAGACTTCTCCTGACTGCTGCATTACAAAAACAACCTCCTTCTAAAGTGGAACTTAGAAGGAGAACTGAAAAATGTCTTTCATTGACAGAACTGCAATTTTAGTATAAAAGGAGATAGTAGGTAATGGAGGGACAAAACAAAACAAAGTCCCCTGCTCCCCGAGTCAAATTCCAGCTAACATCCCTGAAATATAAACCTGCTTTTATTTATACTTTAATATAATAGTTTAATAGTTTTTTCCTGAAATATCAATCAAATAAATTCCCACTTTTGTTTTATGGCCTCATTGGGTTTCAGTGCAGCCGGAAAACACTTTTCTTCCATAACAGCCAGCATTCATGTCCAATGAGCATCAATAAGTGCAAGTGCAGACTTGAATTACACTCTGAAGAATAGTGTTTCACTCAAGGATAATACCTCTACAGTATACTCATGGTCACAGGCAGCAGTATGCATTTGTGAATCACATGCGCTGACTCTTTAAACCTCTTTAGTTGACGGGAATAATACTGGTTTGTGGCAATGATGCTTCTTCAAAATTAACCTTGAAGACATGCAGAAAGAAAGTGAAAGTATGGACTCCTGCCACAGAAAACACACGCACACCCATTCATAAATGTATACCTGATCCAACCAGATAAAAACAGTTGAGTGGAAAATCATGCCAACTGGAAGTAATGTCAAAGAGAAACTCCCCCAACCAGGCGGTTAGCTACGGCGCTCTGCATGTGAGGATTTCATATCGTCAAAATGAGAGTCATATAAAACACTTTATGGGTGTGTGTTTTGAGACGTATTCATGGGTTGAAAGTAATCAATCATGTGAAAAATATATGAAAATCAGCTTGTAAGCTTAAGTCATATACATTGAGAAATAAACCAGGATTTTCTCATGTGCTTAAAAAAACTAAATTAGTATGCAAAAAGGTAACGTAGTAAAGACATTAGATTCTTATATTAACCCCTAACCCTAGCTCCATGACAAAACCTTAAAACATGCATCATATATGATGTTTCAGAGGGATACAACAAAATGTGTAGTATGTGATAATGACTTATTTAAGACCCACATCTAGAAAGAGTTTGCAACAGTGTACTTTACAAAGTGTCAGAGTCAGGACCCCTATTGCTTCATCAAATCCAAACTGAAAGTTCACCCACAATGTATGTGTGTCTCTGTACCACAACCTGTGGAATTTGCCCCTCAGGAAAAGTGTGTGTGTGTGTGTGTGTGTGTGTGTGTGTGTGTGTGTGTGTGTGTGTGTGTGTGTGTGTGTGTGTGTGTGTGTGTGTGTGTGTGTGTGTGTGTGTGTGTGTGTGTGTGTGTGTGTGTGTGTGTGTGTGTGTGTGTGTGTGTGTGTGTGTGTGTGTGTGTGTGTGTGTGTGTCTCTCTCCAGCAGAGAGGAAAGGCAGGGCCAATAGGGAGGGAGTGAAAGCCCTTCTTCTAAAGCAGAGTATTTCCAAGAAATGGCTCCAGCATGCTCTGGGATTACACAAGACACACACTCACACACACACCGCAAGTCACACAGCCGGTGTGGGTGTGTGGGTGTGTGACAGAAGTCTAAGGAAGGAGGGAAGGAACGTTAGGAATGATTGTTTCGAACCTCATGAAGTTCGTCCGCTCTCTCCGTTTGTTTTCTCCGGCTCTTCCTCGCAGAGTCTCTGTTTTTTTCTGTTTTTCTCCCTCTTTTTCCTCTCACTCCTTCTCTCTCCTTTAAAAATAAATGCAGCACACAGTAAATCACACAAATCTAGGATACTCTGTCTACAGTATACGCTGACACTGTGTGTATTTAAAGTACATGCTGCACAATCCCCTTCCGTCTTGTAAGGAATTTCCTCAAACAAGCATTTTTGGCTTTCTGAAAGATTGAATAGTTCAAAAGGTCATAAAGTCACAAGTCAAACCCATCACATGAAATTTCACATGGTTTCTTAATTAAAGCAGGACGTTTTTGGGTTTGAGTACGTGAGGTTTAATTCATGAGCAATGCAGAGATAAAAAGACAAGGTCAACCAATGAAGTGTAGACGTAAGTTTGTCAATAAAAGAAATGAAGCTCTCAAAGCTACATTCTCCCAGCACTGTGCTCGTCTTCAGTTTTTTTCATCAAATGAACCCAAAATGGAACGGTATGCACTAGTTATACCTCTAAGTATACCTTTCTTGCACTACTCAATACTGCTCGTCATACAGTTTTTTACATTAATTATTTGACCGACCGTCTATGATTCGTGTAGTTATTGAATTGCTCTTTTTACTGCACTGTTAGTGTACAGTTTTATTATTATGCTGCTGTGTTTATTGAATCTTTGTAACTCTGACACAACAGTTTCCTTCGGGATAGGTAAAGTCCTATCTTATCTTAATAGGAGGTTGTCAAGTGCATTAAACTCAAAATGAAAATGAGCTAATGTCAAATTGGAAATGCATCACTCTAAACAACTTAAACCCCTTGTTAAATAAATTAGTTTTGTTATTATGTGCACTTTTTCTCTATATTCTTCTATGTTTGCACAGCTGCCTGCCAGGCTTCTAAAGCACCACATTGTTAAAAGAAACGCTTGTGTTAATAAGTGTTTCATTTTCAGGTGACTGGCTGATTCTATTTAAAGTATTTTTGGCAGGGGGGGGGGGGGGGGAGATGATGTGCAGTGAATATCCCAGCTTGGACTTCCACAGCATATGGTGTCCGTCTCGACCAAGAAACCCCCCGGTTAATGACCCATTCTTGATGGGAAATGTGACTAATAGGACTAATAGTCACAGGGACTTACACTGTATCTGAGCTGCTCAATGGCACTCCAAAATAAGTTCGAATGTGCTTTAAAATAGACCAACACAAGAAATGCATAAATCAAAGTGAAATAAGATTTATGTAATCAACATTTTAAATTATTATTGGCTATGTAATTCATTCACATAAAAAATAACCTATCTATATTTGGATATATGAAACTCCTCGCACAAGTAACGCAATAATAGTTGGTATTAGATGATCTGATGCTTGATTGATTGAGAAGTACTCACAGATCCAGGGGTGTTGCTCTCCTCAGCTGACTCCGAGCCGGGGCTAGACAGATCGTACCCGGTCTCCATGAATAACGGGGACATGTCTTTTCCTCGGTTTGCAGGATTCACCGAGCCTGGATCCTCCGAGCCATTCAAACTCTGAAGCTGAGAAAACTAGCGAGCAGCAGCAGCTTGGAGTAGTTTTAAGGACTCTGAATGAAGGAGGATGCTAAACCTGTAATGCTTAATTTGCTAAATAAAATGATGCTTGATGACTTGTTGCTTCTGTAAATGTGTGTCCCCGAGTGAAGCGCACCGGTGCTTTAAGCGCATGAGGTTTGGCACCAGACGGCTGATGATGCAACATGGTGATGCTGATTCTGTTTCAGTTTCACTTTATTTTAAACTGACCCATTGCAAGAAGGTGCTGCAGGGAGGGAGGGTGCTGCATTCACGGTTCAAGTCTGCATCACGCTTTTTGTCAATAGACTCAGTGACAGAAACCGGATGTTTAGGTGGCAATAAGAAGAAAAAGTGAACTGAAAATATGAACATATTATATGTCACTGATGTTGATGTTTCAATCATCCATATTTTGACAAATCTCCCCCTAATCTATTTGATTGTCTGTTTTCTGCAACTAGCTAATGTAGGCTAACTTTTGAGTGCCATATAAGTACATTTTCCATAAGCATCCCACAGCTGCGTTGTCTTGCCTAATATTTTCTGTGGCATCATTATAAATTATTGGGAAAATGTGTTGGGTACACCGGAAGAGGTCTAGGCTGAATCTGAATGACCATATAAAGATGAAGGATGCTCCTCCTTCACGTGCGGGGGATTTCTCAATCGTTTTTGCCAGGAAATCCAATGCCAAGCCCCCGGAATATATCCAACCGGTTTTACCGCTTTTCTGCAGGATGTGATTTAAGATGTAACTCTTTGGCTTAATATCTTCTTAAGAAAGGAAAAGGAAAACATAGCCCACATAAAAAGGTTTTACATTTTATACTTATTGGTTTACAAAGTTGATATTGACATCCTTAATACTTTTATGTGACAGTAATGTTCATTTGGAGAATAAGAATTTAGTATTTTTAAGCACTTAAAGAAGGTGAAACCTGTTATACAAGGGTACTACAAACGAAATATGTATATCAGTGTAATTAGAGTTGTCAAATTATATTGCAAATTGATAACGTCTTCTATTATTATTTTTTAAATTCAAAAGTTAGCTTTAAAATATGTATTTTTGAAACAAGCGTTGACAAGCTTTATATTTTTTGCATGTCATTCCACGCGGGACACACGGTGGCGCCAAACGGCCACTACTGCAAGGCCGCACCTTAAAATGGTCACTGACCAATCAACAAGCTTGGAAGGTCTGCAACAACGCGTTCTACCAATCAGTCTCCGCGTGGCACAGGATCATAACTACAACCTCTTCCTGGTTGACAATGCTGCGTATGGATGCTAAATATATTGAATACAAAGCTATAAATCAGTAAAATCGTTTTCTATAACATCTGCAGTTGAGCGGATACTTTCGCGATGGGTTTACTAACGATTTTAAAGAAGATGAAGCAGAAGGAGCGGGAGATGAGGCTGCTGATGCTGTATCCTTTCTGTAACTAGCTTAGCTGAGAACAAGGTAGCATACATGTATGTATAGCAACGTGAATATTTTAACTTTATTGGTGTCAACAACTTAAAATCGTGGACAGCAAATGATATCAGTGTGTGATTAGATACAACAGGATAACGGTTGTGTGTTTGTGAGGTTTGTTTTGCGCATTTTGTGCTGTATCATGGTACCTTGCTAGCACTGTTAAGTTAACTAAATGTGGGTGAATGATAAAGTCCTATTCATTCATTCATTACAATTAATATTTAACAGTGAGGGGTATGTGAGAGGGTTGTTTCTTTAACCTGGTGCGTGCAGAGGTCTGGATAACGCGGGGAAGACGACCATCCTGAAGAAGTTTAATGGAGAAGACGTGAGCACCATCTCCCCGACGCTGGGCTTCAACATCAAAACACTGGAACACAAAGGGTAACACGCGCACTTAACCATGCATAAATAAGCTATAGCATATGACGCACTTTCCACCTGACATACTGCACGGTTTCTCTCTATAGGCAGTTTTTCACATGTGTAAATATTTAATTAAATGCTGGAATAACTGAACATGGGACCACTTTTTCTGTATATTTCACTATTAAATTGTAAGAAAAGACAGTAGTTTCATGACTTAAAGCACAGACTGCAGCTGACTTTAGAAAAGTGTTGCCATGCTATGAATTGGGACTTACTGAATTTATTTATGGCATACCAAAGAGCATGGTGATGTGGCTATTGAAACACTGGGAGGATATGCTATGATAACAACTGTTTGTATCTCATAAACTATCACTATTACATACTTGTGGTTATATATGAAAGTTAAGATTTAAAGATATGCACAGTAAAACATTCTTGATTTTGACTTTTAAGAAAGATAACATGTTTGTATGTATTCTGATAATTGCCCAAAGTACCAGGCATTTTCTTTACCTTTTTACATTAAAGCATTCACATATGTTTCCAAGACAGGAACAGGATACATTACCAGGCTGTATTTCTCCAGTCTACATCACAATTTCCTCTCTCTCTGTGTTTTCTAGGTTTAAACTGAATATTTGGGATGTAGGTGGACAGAAGTCGCTGCGCTCCTACTGGAGGAACTACTTTGAGAGCACAGACGGGCTGGTGTGGGTGGTGGACAGCGCAGACAGACTCAGACTGGAGGACTGCCGAAAGGAGCTAAGTTCACTGCTGCTGGAGGAGGTACAGACCAACACACATACTACAGTTTAAAAAGAAACTGCAAGAGTCCTAAAACCTGGAAATGAGTCAGCATTTTGGCAAGCACAGCCACAAACTATGAGGCATGACAGTAAATAGCTGTCTTTTTATTCTTGCAGTTTGTAGCTGAAAACCACGTTGTTTAACTTCTGTATCAATATTACATTAATCTATTTAATTGTGTGTCCTATCCATGCAGAGGTTAGCTGGTGCAACTCTGCTAGTGTTTGCCAACAAACAGGACTTACCAGGAGCCCTGTCAAAAGAGGCAATACAAGAGGTGAGACTTTTTCCAGATGAATGTTTTCACTTGAAGTACTAACTGATAAATGTATTTTCATTGTTGCTGCATCAAATTCCTCCTGTCTGATGCCTGTTCTTGTGTTTCCCTGCAGGCTCTGGCCCTGGATGACATCAAAAGCCATCACTGGTGCATCATTGGTTGCAGTGCAGTTACAGGAAAGAATTTGCTAGCTGGAGTGGACTGGTTATTAGAGGATATCGCTGCAAGGATCTTCACCACTGACTGAGATTGTCCCTGATTTCTTTAACAGCTGCCTCATGTTTAATGGGTGACACGACTCCAGTTTCATCCGACTAGTTATCTGTATCCATAGTTCCAGAAAACATACATGGATTATTTTTGGACAGTTGTGAATACCACGTCTTAGTTTAAGAGATCTAGGGTTTGAATTTGTCAAAATGACTAAGTAACAACCTAATACAAGTTTGTTTACAGCATGCCATGTTGTATATTCACTGACATGAACCTTCTCCCAGTTGCTCTCGTACCTCGCATTAGTGTTCTAATGAATTGAAATGCCTTTTGAATAAATATTGAAAGAAAATCAAGCTGCTTCTAAAGTAATTTATTAAAAGTTTTATATGCTTGCAACACAATCCTCAATATTTTAAATGGCAAAAAGTTTTGAGTTTTTCACATTTTCTGGTTAACATTTTGTTCCCATCACCTGCCTCAAGTGTCCCTTTGTTACTGAACTAAGCATGAGGTTTGTTTCAATGCCACTTGTGTCAGAATTGCTACCGGTTGCATGTCAAACATTTTCCATTTGTCTGGTGCAGTGGTCTAAAGTAGGTAGATTTACTGTACTTTGGTATAATTTTGACATACTTGTAAATTTCACTACTTTGTACCTCTTCCTCACAATTCAGAGGTAAATAGTGTACCTTTACTCCACTACATTTTGTACCTTAACTACTTTACAGATTAATGTGAAATAACACTTAAATATTGTAGTTAAACCTGGGGTAAAATGCAAACTACCCTCTAGTAAAAGTAACACCTATAAGCAAAACATGATTGAGAAATGGGCTAATCTGAGTACTTCACTTTTGATACTAATACCGTTGTACTTCATTCGAGTAACATTTTAAATGCAGTACTTTAAATTGTAAAGGAGCATTACAACACTCTTCTACCCAATTACAAGATCCGAGTACCTTTCCCACCACTGATCTGGTGTCAACTAATGCAAAAGCAATTTACTATGACACTATCTTTGACACTAAAACTGGTTACTTGCATTTTCACACAAAAAAAAATGCACTTAAGTCAAACTAATCAGAAGTTAACATTTCCTTGTAATTTATCAAGCTATACATTGCTCACTTGTGGTTGGAAAAAGCTGGATGCCAATTGTCCTTCGATCTTTACTGTACAAACTTCTACACCACGCCATTTCAACTGGGTGTTAATAAAGTATCACAGTTAAGAGTTGTCACACTTATTTATTATCAAATTCCAGCAATCTGGAAATACAAGTAAGGATTTAACTGCACTCTAAACTATAACATGTACAGGAAAGGCTGTACCACAGCTTGGCAAACTGCAGGATTGTGTTGCAGAAGATGGCTTCGGATCTCTCTTCATGACAACCGGTTTCTGCAAAAGAAGAAAAGTTTTAGAAGGCTAGCAAAAAAAGCAAAACATGTTTTAACAACCATTTGTTTATGTTCTGATCAGAGAGGTAACCAATCAGTCATGAATTTTCAGACTGGGGCGGTAATAAGAAACTCATCACTTCTACATGCTACATTTATTTGTTGAATTCTTACCTTAAACCTGAAGCAGTAAGCAGCAGATCCAGCTGGAGTCTGAAATGACAACAGAAGACTTAAAACGTGTAAAGAAAAGCAAGACACTAAAGCATTTCATCTTTAAATCAGTTCGGTAACCAATCAGTCATGAATTTTCAGACTGGGGCGGTAATAAGGAAATCATCACTTTAGACATGTGCAGCAGCTCTGAAAGCAAATATGTTTATAATTTACCTGCATTGGTGCTGATCCCCACTCACGATTGAATCAGATGGTGATACACCTGCAACAGGTAAAAAAAAAGAGGCTAAGTTAGCAATCCCAGCGAACTCTGATGAAATCAGAACAATTTTAATTCTTGTTTAATTCAAATGTTTGATCAGGGCAAGGACAAAATTATTCATATTAATTCACACTCTGTCACGTGTAAGGCCAACAGGTGACCGCTCCACATATGCAGGACGGCATGAGTTGGCAAATATAACTTTAAAGTGTCTCGCATCAGAATAATTAAGTCCAGTCACAGTCAATCAGTACAGGTCTGTGTAATTATCATCATTGAGAGACACTGCGGTAACAGCAAACGAGCGGCAGCCATTATTAATAAGAGTCTAAAAACACGAGTTCATTTCACTAAATACTACACACAGCATTTAGAAAACATACGGCAGGATAGTGAAGGATTGTGAACAGCTAGCTCGGTGCTGAGCATGAGATAAAAGCTAACACCACTGGGGAGTGTAAATTGGTAGAAAAGTTGAAATGCTCAATTTCATATTAACTGTAATGTCACAGCAGTATTTTACTAATCTTACAGATTATAAAAAAGGGGTCTAGATAACGGTTTGAAGAAGTTTAATGGAGGGGACGTGAGCACCATCTCCCTGGCGCTGGGCTTTAACATTAAAGCACTGTCGTTAAAATGTGTAAAGTAAATTAAGACACTAAAGTATGTCATCTTTAAATCAGAGAATTACCAATCAGTCATGACATTTCAGAATGGGGCAGTAATAAGGAAATCATCACTTTAGAAATTAGACTTGTGCAGCAGCTCTGTAATCCAACATTTTAAATGTACCTGGAGCAGTCCTGCATCTGTTCCCCACACACGACTACAGTCAGACGGCGTCACACCTGCAACAAGTAAAGGACGAGTTATTCAAAGCCACCTCACATGAAGCAGAGCCATTTGACTTCTCGTTTAATCAGTTCGGTAACCAATCAGTCATGAATTTTCAGACTGGGGCGGTAATAAGGAAATCATCACTTTAGACATGTGCAGCAGCTCTGAAAGCAAACATGTTTATCATTTACCTGCAGCAGTCCTGCATCGGTGCTGATTCCCACACACTCACGATTGAATCAGATGGTGTCACACCTGCAACAGGTAAATAAAAAGAAGGCTGAGTTAGCAATCCAAGTGAACTCTCCTGAAGTCATAACTAGTTTAAATCTTGTTTTATCAGAGGGGTAACCAATCAGTCATGAATTATCAGACTGGGGCGGTAATTAGAAACTCATCACTTTGATGCAAGGAATACTACAACACTGAACATCAATTACTCACCCTGCACCTCACAACTTGTGGAGGTTTGAGAGGCATGTTTTTTCAAAAACTCTAGGTAAGACAGGGTGAGTAATTGATAAGTATATGGCACCAATAATCACAAGATACTTACATCAGCTTGAAACTATGCAATGTGTCTAGATGTTGAGTATTACGAAAGCAGAGACATTTCTTTATACACGAGGACTCACCTGGGCAAACACCTTTGTTGTCGAGAAGTGAGCATCATAATCCAGAGAGACATCTGCAAGAGGTAAACGTCACGTGTTGGCACAAAATGTTAACAGTCTTGAACTGTTTAAGTTGACGTGTACTGATGTCAGATATAGATTTTCTCAACAGGAATTCAGACGAACGAGATTCCATATATACATCTCATTATTTTCAGCACGCCTGGAATAATGGCTGTTGGTTCTGTGTTTAGAGTCAGGACAGCTTACCTTTGAACTCAGCAGCACAGCTCTAGGCCTTCAGTCAATTCATCTGTTGGCAGAATACGGGTACATGTTAACTGTATGCATCTACATTTCTCCAATTTAAAACACAAGTTAGCTACATCGACCAGGAGGCAAGATAAAGCTCAAATTAAAACAGATTTTAAATAATGCAGTTTCTCAGTTGTTCGTGTCGTTTCACATCGGTTCAAAGTGAGCTAAGTTCATCATCATTGGAACTGCATTATGAAATGACATGTAGAATAAAATAAAGAGTAAAGGAGACTCACCCTTAAACTATTCACACATGATTTCTTCAGTCAGTGAGTCTTACATGTTGAGATGTTCATGAGCCGTACATGTGTCGTCCTTGCCTAAAGCATCTTGAGAAAATCAGAGCAAGTAGAGAAAGAGAGACTTTAAACCACCTGCTTGGAAAGCAATCATTTATATCAGTTCATTTAAGGGTAATCGGATTAAAGGTTGACATCACTGAAATCAGACATGCTTGCCTTTTAAACATTCATCAATTGTTGCCCTTTTGGAATTGGATAGTTTATTTCTGCTGAAGGCAAGCTCACCTGCAGCAGTCCTGCATCGTGCTGTTCTCACACATCACTAGAGTCAGATGGCATCAAACCTGCAACAAGTAAAAAGGGATCAGTTACTCCAAGCCACCTCACATGAATCAGAACCATTTTAATTCTCGTTTAATCAGTTCGGTAACCAATCAGTCATGAATTTTCAGACTGGGGCGGTAATAAGGAAATCATCACTTTAGCCATGTGCAGCAGCTCTGAAAGCAAACATGTTTATCATTTACCTGCAGCAGTCCTGCATCGGTGCTGATCCGCGAGTCAGATTGCATCACAGCTGCAACAGGTAAAATAAAAAAGTTAAACTTGAACTCGCATGAAATCAGAAATATTTGAAATCTTGTTTTATCAGAGGGGTAACCAATCAGTCATGCATTTTCAGACTGGGGCGGTAATTAGAAACTCATCACTTTGACGCAAGGAATACTAAACATTTTGAATATCAATTATTCACCCTGTTACTTTCATAACGTTTCTTCCATTCCTCCAGTGAATTCATTTTAGTGACTTAACAGCACATCCGTTTAAAAAGCATCTCACAACTTGGGGAGGTGTTTGAGACGCATGTTTTTTCATGAGTAAGGAAACAGGGTGAGTAACTGATAAGTATTTGGCACTATTAATTACAAGATACTTACATCAGCTTGGGCCATCCTGATGGCTGGGGTCCCCAGTTCACCATTGATGTTTATCTTTAGAGGAAAAAGACAGTTACGCTGCATACCGGTGCACAGATCTACTTTAAGAATTTATCAGAATATCGTTCTTGACACAGTCTTGCACTACATCTCACTAAAAACTGAAATTGCCCCCATTACAAAATTATATTTAATCTTAGCGTTTCCATTCAGACGGTTGGTAACCCCAACAGGTCTTCACCTTATTGCCAAGGTAACACCAGTGGGTCCACCTTTGCAGGTTCTGGCATTGAACCAAGGCGTAAGACTTGTGCGGGTGTCATCACAAGGAAACTATGCAATGTGTCACTACAGCAGACATTTCTTTATATACGAGAACTCACCTGGGCAAACACCTTTGTTGTTGAGAAGTGAGCATCATGTTGCAAAGAGGCATCTGCAAGAGACAAACATCACGTGTTAGCACAAAATGTCAAAAGTCTTGAACTGTTTAAGTTGACGTGTACTGATGTCAGATATAGATTTTCTCAACAGGAATTCAGACGAACGAGATTCCATATATATATATATCTCATCATTTTCAGCACGCCTGGAATAATGGCTGTTGGTTCTGTGTTTAGAGTCAGGACAGCTTACCTTTGAACTCAGCAGCACAGCTTTAGGCCTTCAGTCAATTCATCTGTTGGCAGAATACAGGTATATGTTAACTGTATGCATCTACATTTCTCCAATTTTAAACACAAGTTAGCCACATCGACCAGGAGGCAAGATAAAGCTCCAAAATGTAACAGATGTTAAATAATGCAGTTTCTCAGTTGTTCGTGTCGTTTCACATCGGTTCAAAGTGAGCTAAGTTCATCATCATTGGAACTGCATTATGAAATGACATGTAGAATAAAATAAAGAGTTAAGGAGACTCACCCTAAACATTTCTCAGCATGTCCTCAGATTCACACATCCACTGGTGCGAGGCCCTGAATAAGAAATTAACTTTAGTAGAGTTCCAAATATTACTTTTGTGGCAAATCACGATCCAAATGTTTGATCAGGGCAAGGACAAAATTATTCATATTAATTCACACTTGGTCACGTGTAAGGCCAACATGTGACCGCTCCACATATGCAGGACGGCATGAGTTGGCAAATATAACTTTAAAGTGTCTCGCATCAGAATAATTAAGTCCAGTCACAGTCATTCAGTTCAGGTCTGTGTAATTATCATCATTGAGAGACACTGAGGCCACAGCAAACGAGCGGCAGCCATTTTTAATAAGAGTCTAAAAACACGAGTTCATTTCACTAAATACTACACACAGCATTTAGAAAACATACGGCAGGATAGTGAAGGATTGTGAACAGCTAGCTCGGTGCTGAGCATGAGATAAAAGCTAACACCACTGGGGAGTGTAAATTGGTAGAAAAGTTGAAATGCTCAATTTCATATTAACTGTAATGTCACAGCAGTATTTTACTAATCTTACAGATTATAAAAAAGGGGTCTAGATAACGGTCTGAAGAAGTTTAATGGAGGGGACGTGAGCACCATCTCCCTGGCGCTGGGCTTTAACATTAAAGCACTGTCGTTAAAATGTGTAAAGTAAATTAAGACACTAAAGTATGTCATCTTTAAATCAGAGAATTACCAATCAGTCATGACATTTCAGAATGGGGCAGTAATAAGGAAATCATCACTTTAGACATTAGACTTGTGCAGCAGCTCTGTAAACCAACATTTTAAATGTACCTGGAGCAGTCCTGCATCTGTTCCCCACACACGACTACAGTCAGACGGTGTCACACCTGCAACAAGTAAAGGACGAGTTATTCAAAGCCACCTCACATGAAGCAGAGCCATTTTAATTCTCGTTTAATCAGTTCGGTAACCAATCAGTCATGAATTTTCAGACTGGGGCGGTAATAAGGAAATCATCACTTTAGACATGTGCAGCAGCTCTGAAAGCAAACATGTTTATCATTTACCTGCAGCAGTCCTGCATCGGTGCTGATCCCCACACACTCACGATTGAATCAGATGGTGTCACACCTGCAACAGGTAAATAAAAAGAAGGCTGAGTTAGCAATCCAAGTGAACTCTCCTGAAGTCATAACTAGTTTAAATCTTGTTTTATCAGAGGGGTAACCAATCAGTCATGAATTATCAGACTGGGGCGGTAATTAGAAACTCATCACTTTGATGCAAGGAATACTAAAAAAAATATAATATCAATTATTCACCCTGTTACTTTCAAAAAGTTTATTCCATTCCTCCAGTGAATTCATTTTACAACCTTAGCAGCATTTCTGTTTACAAAGCATCTCATTACTTGGGGAAGTGTATGAGATTCAGGTTTTTTCAAGGCAAGCCAGGGTGAGTAACTGATTATAAGTATTTGACTAATCACAAGATACTTACATCAGCTTGGGCCATCCTGATAACTTGGGTTCACAGTTCAGCATTGATGCTGACCTTTAGAGGAGAAGTGAGCCACATGTTCCAGAGAGGCATCTGCAAGAGGTAAACGTCACGTGTTAGCACAAAATGTTAACAGTCTTGAACTGTTTAAGTTGACGTGTACTGATGTCAGATATAGATTTTCTCAACAGGAGTTCAGACGAACGAGATTCCATATATATATCTCATCATTTTCAGCACGGCTGGGAATTATGGCTGTTGGTTCTGTGTTTAGAGTCAGGACAGCTTACCTTTGAACTCAGCAGCACAGCTTTAGGCCTTCAGTCAATTCATCTGTTGGCAGAATACGGGTACATGTTAACTGTATGCATCTACATTTCTCCAATTTAAAACACAAGTTAACTACATAGATCAGGAGGCAAAATAAAGCTCCAAAATTAAATAACGCAGTTTCTCAGTTGTTCGTGTCGTTTCACATCGGTTCAAAGTGAGCTAAGTTCATCATCATTGAAACTGCATTATGAAATGACATGTAGAATAAAATAAAGAGTAAAGGAGACTCACCCTTCAACTTTTCTCAGCATGTCCTCAGATTCACACATGATTCCTTCAGTCATTTCATCTGTTGGCAGAATACGGGTACATTTTAACTGTATGCATCTACATTTCTCCAAATTTAAACACAAGTTAGCTACATCGATCAGGAGCTCCAAAATTAAACAGATAATAAATAATGCAGTTTCTCAGTTGTTCGTGTCGTTTCACATCGGTTCAAAGTGAGCTAAGTTAATCATCATTGGAACTGCATTATAAAATGACATGTAGAATAAAATAAAGAGTTAAGGAGACTCACCCTAAACATTTTCTCTCAGCTTCACAGATCCACTGGTACGAGGCACTGAATAAGAAATTGGGACTTTAGTAGAGGTCAAAATATTACTTGTGGCAAATCACGATTCAAATGTTTGATCAGGGCTTTGGTGACAAATTGCCATGTGACATTATCGTCCAGATGTTTGATCGTTTTACACCATTTCATGCTTTCAAACAGCATTTCTTCAAATTATTGAAACTTACATGTTGAAAGATTCCTGTGTCGTCCTTGCCAAAAGCATCTTGAGAAACTCAGACCTAGCAGAGAAAAAGAGAGTTTAAACCACCTGCTTAAAAATGTAATTATTTCTATCAGTTCATTTAGCGGTAATCAGATTAAAGGTTGACATCACTGAAATCAGACATATGCTTGTCTATTTATTATCATATTTATACCCCAAGATAGAATAAACTCTTAAAGCCACATTTCACTCACCTCAGTGCACTTGCAGCCGATTAGAAGAGCCGCAGGCCAACCTAAAGAAAGATCAGAGGTTAGCCATATATTGGGATGTGAAGCTTAAGGCCCCTACACACTAAAGGGCTCATGAGATTAACGGCAAGACATTTGCTGACAAACCAAAAAATCAGTTTGATTATTGCATTACACGATATATTAGGTGGAGCCCATGTGCTGCTCAGAATCTGTTAACGAAGTGTATTCAGAGCTAATTCGGCAGGAGAGTTATGCTACTCAGAGTTTGAGTTATGTTTTCCACAAAAGATTTCAGTGAGAGAGTTCAATTGAAACATCACTGTAGCATGAGACTCCATGTTACACCCTGCTTTCACAGCCATTTAACCTGTTAAACCCCATCCCTGTTTTTCAGGTCTCAGGCTCGAAAATGACATTCCCAGAACAAATGACCAAATCTTCCCTTCTAAAAAGGGGAAAATTAATAATCTTTTTTCTCAAAGTAATAATAAACCTGTGAGTTGGATGTAGAAAAGTCAGAATCAATAGATGTTTTTTATTTTAAAGAAAATTCAGATTGAACATAGTAAAAAACTGTAAATTATAGTGTCCTTCCAAAAATTATTTTTACTTAGTGAAAACTACCCTTGGATGATGGTAAGGTAGACTAAAATCTTTAGGAATCCAAAGTACAACATACAAGTACCCTGTATCAAGATTGATGCAAAAGTGACATTTTACCTTTTTAGAGAGGTTTAGCAAAAAAAAAACTCCACCTCTGGGGTGATTTGGGCGTTTTTGCCGTTTCTCTGGAACCCATTGGTCGATTTTGATGATTGACATCTATTTTTAACCGTTAGAGCCAATAGAATCGAAGGGGAATTTCCACATACACACCAACGTTACCAAAAAAAAAGTGGGGGCTATGCGCATGCAGTTTCCCCAAATCTAAACTTCTCACGCTCTGAAATGTGAAAACGGAAAAGTAGGTTTATCAGAAATCCTTTCAAAGTGACAGACACATTGGATTAACCTTCAGCAGCGTTTTTATGCCATTGAAGACAACGACCAAGGTAACACATATTCTCGTTTTGGCTACCTAGCATCACGTGTTTTGATGTCTGTTTTTGTTAATATTGTCGCGAGTTCTTATCATAGAGTGATGATTTAGGTACCTATCTATTCTGTGTCTTCTCACGATGCTAATCGATATGTTGGATGTGCAGTTACGATAAGTAATAAGGGTGTTATGAGTGAGTTTCTGTGCAAACAGCGTTAGCATTTTTTCACTCGTGGCTAATTCAGAGGCTCAGCGTTAGCTTTGTGGTTTTTTTTTGCACAAAAAAAAAAAAGATCAGTTAGCTGAGTTTCTTCCTGTTACATGGATATGAAACATTCATAGTTTATTAAATATTAAGAAGCCCTCAGACGCTGTTTCCTGCAGATGATGCGTTTTTCACCCCGGTACCGGGGGGATGGGGTTCAACAGGTTAAAGAACATTTGACCATATATGTTAACGAGCCACGTGTGTGGATAATTTACCTTTGCAGCAAGCAGTCTGTGGATCGTTCTTCCCCATCTAGAAACAAAAAGGAAGAATGCTTTAGCAAGGTGTAGCTAGCATGTCATTTCCTCTGTAGGCCACCACGTGACCGCTCCACGTGTGCAGGACTTCTTATTATACATCCATGTTGCAGAACGACATGAGTCGGCAAATATAACTTTAAAGTATCTCACATCAGAATAATTAAGTCCAGTCACAGTCAATCAGTACAGGTCTGTGTAATTATCATCATTGAGAGACACTGCAGTAACAGCAAACGAGCGGCAGCCATTTTTAATAAGAGTCTAAAAACACGAGTTCATTTCACTAAATACTACACACAGCATTTAGAAAACATACGGCAGGATAGTGAAGGATTGTGAACAGCTAGGTCGGTGCTGAGCATGAGATAAAAGCTAACACACCACTGGGGAGTGTAAATTGGTAGAAAAGTTCTAAAGCTCAATTGCATATGAATTGTAATGTCACAGCAGTAGGTTACTAATATTACAGATTATAATAAACACGTATTATTTAACAATGAGGTGTGCGAGATGATTGTTTTTTTTTAAACCTGGTGCATGCAGAGGTTTAAGGGAGGGGACGTGAGCACCATCTCGTCCACGTGGGGATTTAACATTAAAGCACTGTCGTTAAAACGTGTAAAGTAAATAAAGACACTAAAGTATTTAATCTTTAAATCAGAGAAGTACCAATCAGTAATGAAATTTCAGACTGGGGCTGTTATAAGGAAATCACCACTTTAGAAATTAGACTTGTGCAGCAGCTCTGTAAACCAACATTTTAAATGTACCTGGAGCAGTCCTGCATCTGTTCCCCACACACGACTACAGTCAGACGGCGTCACACCTGCAACAAGTAAAGGACGAGTTATTCAAAGCCACCTCACATGAAGCAGAGCCATTTTAATTCTCGTTTAATCAGTTCGGTAACCAATCAGTCATGAATTTTCAGACTGGGGCGGTAATAAGGAAATCATCACTTTAGACATGTGCAGCAGCTCTGAAAGCAAACATGTTTATCATTTACCTGCAGCAGTCCTGCATCGGTGCTGATCCCCACACACACTCACGATTGAATCAGATGGTGTCACACCTGCAACAGGTAAATAAAAAGAAGGCTGAGTTAGCAATCCAAGTGAACTCTCCTGAAGTCATAACTAGTTTAAATCTTGTTTTATCAGAGGGGTAACCAATCAGTCATGAATTATCAGACTGGGGCGGTAATTAGAAACTCATCACTTTGATGCAAGGAATACTAAAAAAATTAAAATAATATCAATTATTCACCCTGTTACTTTCAAAAAGTGTATTCCATTCCTCCAGTGAATTCATTTTACAACCTTCACAGCATATCTGTTTACAAAGCATCTCACGACTTGGGGAAGTGTATGAGAGTTTTTTCAAGGCGTCAAGGCAAGCCAGGGTGAGTAACTGATAAGTATTTGACTAATCACAAGATACTTACATCAGCTTGGGCCATCCTCATGACTTGGGTTCCCAGGTCAGCATTGATGCTGACCTTTAGAGGAGAAGTGAGCCACATGTTCCAGAGAGGCATCTGCAAGAGGTAAACGTCACGTGTTAGCACAAAATGTTAACAGTCTTGAACTGTTTAAGTTGACGTGTACTGCTGTCAGATATAGATTTTCTCAACAGGAGTTCAGACGAACGAGATTCCATATATATATATACACACACACACACACACATCTCATTATTTTCTGCTGTTGGCAGAATACGGGTACATTTTAACTGTATGCATCTACATTTCTCCAATTTTAAACACAAGTTAACTACATAGATCAGGAGGCAAAATAAAGCTCCAAAATTAAATAATGCAGTTTCTCAGTTGTTCGTGTCGTTTCACATCGGTTCAAAGTGAGCTAAGTTCATCATCATTGGAACTGCATTATGAAATGACATGTAGAATAAAATAAAGAGTAAAGGAGACTCACTCTAAACATGTCCTCAGCTTCACACATGATTCCTTCAGTCAATTCATCTGTTGGCAGAATACGGGTACATTTTAACTGTATGCATCTACATTTCTCCAAATTTAAACACAAGTTAGCTACATAGATCAGGAGCTCCAAAATTAAAACAGATAATAAATAATGCAGTTTCTCAGTTGTTCGTGTCGTTTCACATCGGTTCAAAGTGAGCTAAGTTCATCATCATTGGAACTGCATTATAAAATGACATGTAGAATAAAATAAAGAGTAAAGGAGACTCACCCTTCAACTTTTCTCAGCTTCACAGATCCACTGGTACGAGGCACTGAATAAGAAATTGGGACTTTAGTAGAGGTCAAAATAGAACTTTTGTGGCAAATCACAATTCAAATATTGGATTAGGGCTTTGGTGACAAACTGCCATGTGACATTATCGTGCAGATGTTTAATGGGTTTTACCCAATTTTATCCTTTCAAACAGCATTTAAACTTACATGTTGAGATGTTCATGAGCCGTACATGTGTCGTCCTTGCCAAAAGCATCTTGAGAAACTCAGACCTAGCAGAGAAACAAAGAGAGTTTAAACCACCTGCTTAAAAATTAAATCATTTTTAACAGTTAATTTAAGGGTAATCAGATTAAAGGTTGACATCACTGAAATCAGACATATGCTTGTCTATTTATACCACAAAACAGAATAAACTCTTAAAAGCCACATTTCACTCACCTCAGTGCACTTGCAGCCGATTAGAAGAGCCGCAGGCCAACCTAAAGAAAGATCAGAGGTTAGCCATATATTGGGATGTGAAGCTTAAGGCCCCTACACACTAAAGGGCTAATGAGATTAACGGCAAGACATTTGCTGACAAACCAAAAAAATCAGTTTGATTATTGCATTACGATATATTAGGTGGAGCCCATGTGCTGCTCAGAATCTGTTAACGAAGTGTATTCAGAGCTAATTCGGCAGGAGAGTTATGTTTTCCACAAAAGATTTCAGTGAGAGAGTTCAATTGAAACATCACTGTAGCATGAGACTCCATGTTACACCCTGCTTTCACAGCCATTTAAAGAACATCTGACCATATATATGTTAACGAGCCACATGGTGTGGATAATTTACCTTTGCAGCAAGCAGTCTGTGGATCGTTCTTCCCCATCTAGAAACAAAAAGGAAGAATGCTTTAGCAAGGTGTAGCTAGCATGTCATTTCCTCTGTAGGCCACCACGTGACCGCTCCACGTGTGCAGGACTTCTTATTATACATCCATGTTGCAGAACGACATGAGTCGGCAAATATAACTTTAAAGTATCTCACATCAGAATAATTAAGTCCAGTCACAGTCAATCAGTACAGGTCTGTGTAATTATCATCATTGAGAGACACTGCAGTAACAGCAAACGAGCGGCAGCCATTTTTAATAAGAGTCTAAAAACACGAGTTCATTTCACTAAATACTACACACAGCATTTAGAAAACATACGGCAGGATAGTGAAGGATTGTGAACAGCTAGCTCGGTGCTGAGCATGAGATAAAAGCTAACACACCACTGGGGAGTGTAAATTGGTAGAAAAGTTTAAAAGCTCAATTGCATATGCATTTTAATGTCACAGCAGTAGGTTACTAATCTTACATATTATAATAAACACGTAATATTTAAGAATCAGGTGTGATAGGGTTGTTTCTTTAACCTGGTGCGTGCAGAAGTCTGGATAACGCTAGGAAGACGACCATCCTGATATCCTGATGAAGTGTAGAGAAGCAGTCAGTGAGCACCATCTCCCCGACGCTGGACTTCAACATCCAAGCACTGGAGCACGCGCATTTATACGCCCGAGCGCGCACACAGACCTATGACACAGACACACACACACAGTGGGCCTTAGTTTAAATAAACTATACATATGACGCACTTTCACACTCACGTAATGGGGGACCCTGATGTAAACAAGACGAAAGTCTTTCTCTGGTCTGCATCCCCTTAACAATTGTATGTGTTGAGATGTACTGTACTGTACCCAATATACAAGCTGTTAATAAACTTTTCAATCAATCAATCAATCACGTAATGCTCGGTTTCTCTCCGACCAAAAGGTAGTTTATCACAGGTGTGGCTATTCAATTTAATGGAATACCGGGAATTACTTTTTTCTATATCTTTCATTTTACTATAGTGTAAGAAAAAACAGTCGCACATTTTTCATTTTTACTTTAAGTACAAAGTGTAACTGACCTTCCAAAGTACGCCATTGGAACATACTACTGTGTACTTGAGCTTTGTCAATGTTGATTATGTATACTGCAAAATGCCCCCGGATGCATTAGGACTTCCTGGTATTTTTGGCATAGGGGGCTATTGCATTCGACCTGCTAGGACCATGGGGCATACTATAAGGTTTTCAGGCATACTATAAATAGTATGGTAGTGTTGGTATTGAAACGCTGGGAGAATACAGTATGATAACAAATGTCTGTATGTATCTCAGAAACTACAAGGAGCACTAATAAAACTTCGGGGTTATCTATGAACTCATATCAAGTTGAGAATCGCAAATAGCACAGGACAGTGTAAAAAAACATTAATATAGAAGATGAGAAACAATGTTAGTGTTTTTCTTAATTTTTTTTATAAATAGCTGCAGAAGTCCAAAAACGTGGAAATTAATGATCATTATTGCAGCCACACATTCTGAGGAATGACAGATAATACATTTATTTTTGATTCTTTCACAGTTTGCAGCTAAAAAACCATGTTGTTGTCATTAATCCATTTAATTGTGTGACTCCTATCCATGCAGAAGTTAGCTGGTGCAACGCTGCTAGTGTTTGCCAATAAACAGGACTTACCAGGAGCCCTGTCAGAGGCAATACAAGAGGTGAGTTATCTAACATTGTTATATTCCTTTTTTATGAAATGTGTATCTTATATTCACTCTTTCTGCTTCAAATTCCTCCCGTCTGATGCCTGTTCTTGCTGTGTTTCCCTGCAGGTGTGGGTGGTGGACAGCGCAGACAGACTCAGACTGGAGGACTGCAGAAAGGAGCTAAGTTCACTGCTGCTGGAGGAGGTACAAACCAATACACACATACAACAGTTTAAAAAGAAACTGCAAGAGTCCTAAAACCTGGAAATGAGTCAGCATTTTGGCAAGCACAGCCACAAACTATGAGGCATGACAGTAAATAGCTGTCTTTTTATTCTTGCAGTTTGTAGCTGAAAACCTTGTTTAACTTCTGTATCAATATTACATTAATCTATTTAATTGTGTGTCCTATCCATGCAGAGGTTAGCTGGTGCAACGCTGCTAGTGTTTGCCAACAAACAGGACTTACCAGGAGCCCTGTCAAGAGGCAATACAAGGTGAGACTTTTTCCAGATGAATGTTTTCACTTGAAGTACTAACTGATAAATGTATTTTCATTGTTGCTGCATCAAATTCCTCCTGTCTGATGCCTGTTCTTGTGTTTCCCTGCAGGCTCTGGCCCTGGATGACATCAAAAGCCATCACTGGTGCATCATTGGTTGCAGTGCAGTTACAGGAAATAATGTTAATTTTGTATTTGTATAAACAGCTGCCTCATGTTTAAGGTGTAACATGACTCCAGTGTCATTATTGCACTGTGCATTCATCTGTATCAACACCTATTTTTGGACAGTTGTAGATACCATGAAGAGATCAAAGGTGAACATTTGGGAGAACCCAATTAGCAGTTAGAAGCAGTTTCAAAGTAATTTCTCAAATGTTAAGGTTAACATATCCCATGATGTTTTGACTGAAAAATTGTTTCCACAACTTTACAACCAACTCCAAGGTTACTTGAATCTGAAGGCCAGACTACCCTTGCAAGTGTCAGTTAATGAACCAAGTGTAAGCATGAGGGTTGTTACACTGCTACTTGTGATCAGATTTGCTTGAGGCTGCATGTCAGACACTTCCATTTGACCGCTGTCAACTATTTATAAAAAGAGTCATGACTATTGTTCTGTACCTTTGACAGTAAATCTTCATATTTTTTAAATGACCAGTGTCTAACTTTCAAAGAAAAAGCATTTCATATTAATGTCAAGCTATACATTTTTCTGTTGGGGTTAGAAAAAAAAAAAGGCTAATTGTTTTTAAATCTTTAGTCAGTTGCAAACTTTTACACCATGCAGTTTTAGCTCCCCAGTTAATTCTCTTGCATGGTGCCGTCCCAAAGTATTTCACACAAAATGTAGTTTTCGTACCATTTTTTATTTGATAATAAATTGCAATCTGGAAATACACATTAAGACAGGAGGCAGTCAACTGGCCACCAAACATGTACAGGAAAGGCTGTATTACAGCTTGGCAAACTGCAGGATTGTGTTGCAGAACAAGATGGCTTGGGATCTCTCTTCATGACAACCGGTTTCTGCAAAGGAAGAAAACGTTTTAGAAGGCTAGCAAAAAAAAAAAACATGTTTTGACAACCATTTGTTTATGTTCTGATCAGTTCGGTAACCAATCAGTCATGAATTTTCAGACTGGGGCGGTAATAAGGAAATCATCACTTTAGAAATTAGATTTGTGCAGCAGCTCTGCAAGACAATATTTTTTTAAATGTACCTGGAGCAGTCCTGCATCTGTTCCCCACACACACGACAAGTCAGACGGTGTCACACCTGCAACAAGTAAAGGACGAGTTATTCAAAGCCACCTCACATGAAGCAGAGCCATTTGAATTCTTGTTTAATCAGTTCGGTAACCAATCAGTCATGAATTTTCAGACTGGGGCGGTAATAAGGAAATCATCACTTTAGAAATTAGACTTGTGCAGCAGCTCTGCAAGACAATATTTTTTTAAATGTACCTGGAGCAGTCCTGCATCTGTTCCCCACACACCACAAGTCAGACGGTGTCACACCTGCAACAAGTAAAGGACGAGTTATTCAAAGCCACCTCACATGAAGCAGAGCCATTTTAATTCTCGTTTAATCAGTTCGGTAACCAATCAGTCATGAATTTTCAGACTGGGGCGGTAATAAGGAAATCATCACTTTAGACATGTGCAGCAGCTCTGAAAGCAAACATGTTTATCATTTACCTGCAGCAGTCCTGCATCGGTGCTGATCCCCACACACACTCACGATTGAATCAGATGGTGTCACACCTGCAACAGGTAAATAAAAAGAAGGCTGAGTTAGCAATCCAAGTGAACTCTCCTGAAGTCATAACTATTTTAATTCTTGTTTTATCAGAGGGGTAAACCAATCAGTCATGAATTATCAGACTGGGGCGGTAATTAGAAACTCATCACTTTGATGCAAGGAATACTAAACATTTTGAACATCAATTATTCACCCTGCTAATAAAAAAAATTCCTCTACAGTGAATGCATTTTAGGACCTTAACAGCACATCTGTTTACAAAGCATCTCGCAAGCCAGGGTGAACTGTTTATAAGTATTTGACTAATCACAAGATACTTACATCAGCGTTGGCCATCCTCATGACTTGGGTTCCCAGGTCAGCATTGATGTTAACCTTAAGGGAAAGAAAAGAAAGTCAAGCTGCATACTGGTGCACAGATCTGTCCAAGAATCGATCAGAATATAATTTCTCTTCTTCAATTTTACACCAAGTCTCACTAGAAACGGAAATTGCCCCCGTTACAAAATTATATTTAATCCTAGCGTTTCCATTCAGACGGTTGGTAACCCCAACAGGTCTTCACCTTATTGCCAAGGTAACACCAGTGGGTCCACCTTTGCAGGTTCTGGCATTGAACCAAGGCGTAAGACTTGTGCGGGTGTCATCACAAGGAAACTATGCAATGTGTCACTACAGCAGAGACATTTCTTTATATATGAGAACTCACCTGGGCAAACACCTTTGTTGTTGAGAAGTGAGCATCATGTTGCAAAGAGGCATCTGCAAGAGACAAACATCACGTGTTAGCACAAAATGTCAAAAGTCTTGAACTGTTTAAGTTGACGTGTACTGATGTCAGATATAGATTTTCTCAACAGGAATTCAGACGAACGAGATTCCATATGTATATCTCATCATTTTCAGCACGGCTGGAATAATGGCTGTTGGTTCTGTGTTTAGAGTCAGGACAGCTTACCTTTGAACTCAGCAGCACAGCTCTAGGCCTTCAGTCAATTCATCTGTTGGCAGAATACGGGTACATGTTAACTGTATGCATCTACATTTCTCCAATTTAAAACACAAGTTAGCTACATCGACCAGGAGGCAAGATAAAGCTCCAAAATTAAACAGATGTTAAATAATGCAGTTTCTCAGTTGTTCGTGTCGTTTCACATCGGTTCAAAGTGAGCTAAGTTCATCATCATTGGAACTGCATTATGAAATAATAGTCCAGATGTTTGATGGGGTTTACCCCCATTTCAAACAGCACGTTTGATTTCTTCATTCATTGAAACTTACATGTTGAGATCTTCAGGCGTCGTCCTTGCCCAAAGCATCTTGAGAAACTCAGACCTAGCAGAGAAACAAAGAGTTTAAACCACCTGCTTGGAAATGAATCAAATTATTTCTATCAGTTAATTTAGAGGTAATCAGATTAAAGGTTGGCATCAATGAAATCAGACATATGCTTGTCTATTTATCATCATATATACCCCAAGACAGAATAAACTCTTAAAGCCACATTTCACTCACCTCAGTGCACTTGCAGCCGATTAGAAAGGCTCAGGCAAACTTAAAAGAAAGAGCCTTCATTCTTGTATGGCCTTGAAACTCTAAAAAGAACAAAATAATTTATTTTAGCACATGGCCCTTTGAACTAGCAGTTTCCATATTTATTTTATATCACATGGACAGTTTTATAATTAATAAGTAAGTTAATGCAAAATAGCTCAACATTAGATTATTGGGCTGAAAAGACAGCATGAAGTTCAACTAGACGGCATTTGCTAACAAACCATAAATCAGTTAGATGTAAGTATTGCATATACAATGCATTAAGTGGAGCCCATGTGCTGCTCAGAATCTGGTAAAGAAAATTCTTCAAAGTTGATTCGGCAAGAGAGAGTTCTTATAGTCATCATCATTGCAGCACAGAGCCAAGTTATGGCTAATCTACCCCCAAAAGGTTAAACATGATATGTACCTGATGAGGAGAGACTCGCCACGGTCTTCTCACACCTGCAGACAAACAATAAAAAAGTAATGGGTTTAAAAAGTCAACTTCAAATGTGCTCTCTGACAATAAAAGAGTTATGCTACTCAGCGTTTGAATAGTTTTCCACAAAAGATTTCAGTGAGAGAGTTCAATTGAAACATCACTGTAGCACGAAACTATCTGATAAAATAGATGTTGACGAGCCACGTGGTGTGGATAAATTACCTTTGCAGCAAGCAAGCAGTCTGTGGATCTTTCTTCCCCATCTAGAAAAAAAAAGGAAGAATGATTTAGCCTTATACATTCATGACTTTAGCAGGGTGTAGCTAGCATGTCATTTCCTCTGAAAGGCCAACACGTGACGGCTCCACGTGTGCAGGACTGCATGAGTAGGCAAATATTTTAAGTGTCTCGCATCAGAATAATTAAGTCCAGTCACAGTCATTCAGTTCAGGTCTGTGTAATTATCATCATTGAGAGACACTGAGGCCACAGCAAACGAGTGGCAGCCATTTGTAACATGAGTCTAAAACACGAGTTCATCTTGTGTTTTTCACTAAATAATAAATGCAGCATTTAGGAAATATGTTCTCATGCATGTTGACACCAACACCAGATGAACAGAAAGAGTTTTAGTGTTGGATGGTGAAGGATTGTGAATAGCTAAGCTCAATACTGCAGATGAGATAAAAGCTAACAGCCCACTGCCGATGGTAAATTGGTAGGAAGGAAAGCTTAAAAGCTCAATTGTATATCAAGTGTAATGTCAAAGCAATAGCTCACTAACCTAACATATTATAATTAAGACGTTATAAATGCAATAAGTATTACTGCTCAATGAAGATATCTTACCTTGAACAGGAGAGAGGAGGAAGTGAACGAGGAGACGGTCCGTCCGCCTTTTATGTCCTGCCATGACTCCGCCCACCGGGAAACTTTTACCGCCAAACCGGCTAAAGTCTTTCCACAAGCTAATTTAAATTTAGAAAAATACACAATGTTTGTATTTAAGATTACTTTCGGTTTAAGGTAGTGGACATTAGTATATAAAGCTAAACTATAATTTAAACACGAGTAGAGTTTATTGAACTGCGTCATTTCCGTTAATAAATAGTAATATGTTTTACATCCACAAGGTGGCGGCAAAGACACCAAAACACCAAAACTACTACAATTCTGCAGCTGAACAACAAATTATTTCCTGTAAACCAGTTTAAGATAAAAGTTTGCATAAAAACATCTCTTCAAATAGGTTTAAATTATTTGGATATCACCTCTGTGCCTTGTGACTCAAATGCTATGTGCACAATTTCTATAAACATGAAAATTAGTCTTGAATGCCCAAATGAAATATATGTTAGATACAACGGCTCAATAAGAAAGATGAAAAAGGGAATTGAATTAGTTAATTTGAACTATTTTAACATTACTAATAACATTTTATTGTTTTATTTTTATTTCAATATTTACTAGAAATATATATATATTTGTTTAATGTATTTTTTTCTTCCTGTAGACACATAGTAGGAATATCTGTTAGAACTCAAACGACATTTTACATTTCATCATTTAAAGTTTTTGGAAAAGGGAAGTAGCCTTTAACGCTCAAAACTCTAGCAACTCTCATGGTTTGAAGGCCAAGCTGAAACGTATTGGTGTTCAAAGGGTTATATGTTCCCTTGTAAAGGTTATATTTAAGATTAGATAACTACATATTTACATTCCTTATCGAAGCTCAGCAGGTTCGAGATAGATCTGCTTATGGATTTGAGCATTTTCATTGGTCACTATTTGATGCTACATGATGCTGTGTTTTACAACTTGTTCATTTAAACATGAAAGCACACCCAGTATAATAAATTAAATCTTTATTTACTCAGAAAAGTGCTTCTTGTTGCTGGTTCCGGACTGCAGAAGCAATGATTAGGATACAAAAGGATTGTTAAATAAAAAAATTAACAACATTTTTAGAAGTCCTTTTCAGTCTAGTCTGCAAGAGTACACATGACATCCAGACACATACTGGACAACAGGAAATTAACACAGGCCTATTGTACACATTTCATATTTCATTGTGACAATGTAAATCATTAATACATTAAAAATGAGTGGTACTAAAACACATATAACCAACTTTATGTGCAATGTTAACAATAAAAGCTATGGTGATTTATAACCAGGCTATAAATTATATAAGTTTTTCTTTGAAACACTCCCCTGCCCTGCCCCTTCAGGTTAATAACCTTCACCAGAACAAACAGTGAGGAAGTCAAACACATGTGCATTTCATTTGTGAAATTCAATAACCTATGTTTAGATATGTTAACAGTGAGTCCTTGTTTAAATGTCTTAACATTGGTTAAAATAAATTCAATTTCTACAAAAGTAATAACATAAATGTGTGTTAATCACTACCAAAATGTCTAAATAATCATCAGCTGTGTGTGTTCGTCTCTCCTTTCATTAATGATTAGCTCTCAGCCTTAAATGGCAATGATTAACAAACAGAAATGTAAATATCTCCACTTATCAGTCATTGCTACACGGTTGGAAATGTCCTTCCCTTTGGTTACACGTCAACACTTTAGTAGTTTCATTGTGCTAAACCAAAATGAAGGAGAGGTCATTAGTGCTCCAAGCTCTTAATAGTGAACCGAAATGAAGGAGCTAAGATGTGATTGGAATTTGCAACATAGAGGAAAACCACCTTAACTCAGTCACATAAAAACAGGCTTTTTACATTTAAGCCAGTCCCATAGACTTCAATGTAAAATTAACAGTATGGCTTCCTCACATCATGAAGTAAAACTCAATCAGGGGCCTTCATCTCGAAAATGTCCCTCAAAGAGACACTTCAAAATGGCCTCAAATTGACATAAAAAAATGTCTCATAATCCGCAGAATGTTCATGTTTTGTACGATTCATTAGACTATAAAGTGAATGTCACAGGCAGGATTGTCCATCATAAACTGCATAATCACGATTTGAATAACTAAATATTAAGTTTTATTGTCCATGTCTCTCCCAAGTTCTACTGAAACTCGGCCAGCACAGAGTTGTGTTGATGTTTCTTCTTGGATGAAGGTGAGGATGCAGATGTTGGTGAGGATGATGTCACAGGAGTGAGGGTGACGCTGTACAGGTTGGTGATGAAGGCCTCCCAGCCGCGGCGAAACGCTCGGTCCAAAGCCTGATCGAAAGAGGAGGGTAAAGGTTAGCAATGCAATCAAATAATCCAAAATAACAACCTGGAAATGACTACATGATAATAATGTTTGTAATATAACTCATTGTGTATTTGTTAGGGTGACGTGGACGTACAGTAGTGATGTGGTGTCTTTGCTGTTGTCATTTTGACCTTTCTGTTTCTCCCCCTTGACTTTATGATTCTGTACCATCCTCAAAATCAGTTTAAACCCAGTTAACTATTAATTTCTCTTTATTTATGATGCAAACGTTATTCTGCATACATGTTTTGAATTGTTTGCATTCCTCCCTCTCGCTGCTCCTTTGTTGCACTACTTAACACTGTAACCACACTGTTGTGAAATAACACAGTGGAATATACATGTTTTACAATTTACTACTGCAATGACTGGCTGCCACCTCATTTACTGTATGAATTCACATACATCTTTTGAAATTGTATAATTATTATTTTACTTTATTCCTATTTTTGAATTTTTTTATTTTGTATTATGACATTGCACTGCTGTGGGACGAATTCAAGATGTCTGGATCTCACAAAACTCACATTTTTATTTGTCAACTGACATGCTGTGAACTTACTAGAAGACAAGCAATAGGTAGAAAACATGTTAAAGTGAACAAATGGACTGTCTCGTCTCCATGGGTTGTTTAGGGCTAAACTTAACATTTATTGTCCTTATCTAATAATCGATTGGTCTATTCAATGTCGAACACTTTATATAATTGTGTTTTTTTATCATTTTATAAACTAATATTGTGCAGAGGTCAGGCTGTGAGGGTGGCTCTGATTGGTTAACAGAGGAATGTTTTTATGGTGTGAGCCTAGCAGGCGGGTCAACACTGCCAGACTTGGTTCCACTGATAAAAGGACTCGATACTGGAGCCACAGGAATGTCACCTCTGCGCTGTGTGTGTCTAAGAAAGCAGAAAATGGTCGGGAACATGTGAATCAGGTGAGGGACGCGCAGCTCCGTGGCTTTTAGTGAGCGTCCCCCCCCCGTTCCTGCTCCATTTCTGCTGGTAATTAAACGTGACGTAAAGGAAAGAATCCTGCCAGAGGAAGGGAGTGAGCTGGTGACATGCACCGATGGCTGCTGTACCTTGACCCCGCCGGTGGTTTATTATTAAGGGTGATAGTTACCATGGTGATTAATAGCCCAGCATGTGGAGGGAGAACTTTACCCCTCTGTTCGACAAACCCTGAGGGGCTAAACATTTAACCAGGGGGGTGACGCTGGGCTATTAAGCATCCAGAACATGTCTTCTTCCAGACTAATGGAAAGAAAACATAACAAATATAAATGTAGGTGTTTATTTGACTAATTTTGTAACTTGTGTCGGTAGATTTCGCCTCAGTTCATAATAAGATAATACCTTATTTGCATATGTAAACATAACATTTCCAATAAATGGGAAGAACTCAAAGAAAAAACGTATTCTACTCGGGAAGTTTTATTATGTTATTTTATCAGTTGCACCTATGCACCTGTAGTGTCTTGCAAAACATATGGATTTTGCAATTTGTATTATTTTAAAGGCCAATTTCTAAAGATAATTTCCATAATGTAAGCAATAAACTGGGAAGTGTAAAGGTTATATCTATTTGTTTATTACTTTTTAAAGTGTTACATACAGTATGCACCTGTAGTGTCTTAGAAAATGTGAATATTTTACAATATGTTTTTATCAAAGGCCAACTTCCCGAATTACATGTTTTCCTTCACTTCCTAAGCACTAGATAGTTGTGTTAATGTAAGCAATAAACTGGGGGTATATCTATTAATGTATCATATTCAACTGTAGTGTCTATCCTTTATAAAAGTAAATCAATTCACACACATCATCAGGCTCTTTTTCTAATTTCTCACCTTGCGATAATTCTTCACCGTGTTCCTCTTCACCTCCTTCAGCCCCTCCTCTTGCTCCTTCTTCATCCTCCTCTCCTCCTCTCCCTCCTCCTCCATCCCCCTCTTCTTGTCTCTGATCAGGACCTGGTCGTCCTCATCCTCTCGAACAGGGAAGTGAACCATCGTGGACTCCTTCCCCTTTCCTGTCTCCACCTGGATCATCACCCTGGTGTCTGTACTCTCTGTGCCCGCGCTCGGCCTCTCCTCCTGGGCTGCGTCCTGCTCCACCCTCCCCTCCTTCTGCTTCCTCCTGGAGCTTCTGTTCCACCTGCTGCTGCGGCGGCTGGGTTTCCTCTGGAGGAGAGTCTCCCCGTCGTCTTCGATCATCCCTTCGTTGTGGTCAAACGCCTCCACTTCCACTTCCTCTTTCTCAGAAACATGCACCACACTTGGGCTGCTTGCCTCTCTGTTGCTGTCCCCTGTCTCCTCCACTTCTTGTCCCCTCACCTCCTCCCCTTCTCCAGGGGTCTCTGGCTCATCGAGGCGGCCGTAGAAGCCACTGGATTTGTCCAGAAACTTTGGGGCCCGGATGGAGCTCCGGGCAGAGTTTTTCCTCGAGTTCTTCCCAATTGTCATCTTTCCGTCTTTAGTTTTCTTGCTTTACAGCTCCTTTTTTGTCACCTGAAAGATAATTTGGAATAGATGAGAGATTAACACCGTTACATAACCCTCACCTCATTCTTTGGGTGTCTTTTTACACACAATCATTCCATAGTAGCTGTCAGAGAATCTCATACGAGCCAAAGCAAAAGCAGAGAGAAATTGCCATGAAATGAGACCAGGACGTCAAATAATCTTAGTGTATGCGTAACTGTTCGCATGCTGTGAATGGTATGCATTGAACTACATAACATACTGTAGTATCTGCCTTATAATCTGTCACAAGACGTTCAGCGTTGTACTAGCAGTGCTGTGTGTGTGTGTGTGTGTGTGTGTGTGTGTGTGTGTGTGTGTGTGTGTGTGTGTGTGTGTGTGTGTGTGTGTGTGTGTGTGTGTGTGTGTGTGTGTGTGTGTGTGTGTGTGTGTGTGTGTGCGTGCGTGCGTGCGTGCGTGCGTGCGTGTGTGTGTGTGTGTGTGTGTGCGTGCGTGCGTGCGTGCAGGTCATAGTCAGTGTTATCAGGGTTGTGATGTAAAGACCCAATGTTCTTACAGCAAGAGACAAACACAGATTCAGACTTTGTCCCTGATTTAAACAGTTGGATTCTGTACAGCAGCCAAAATCAATGACTCCATATTGACGGCCAAAGACAGCCCGACTGTGGCTAGTTTTTAGTTAGTAAAATCCACAAAATATGAGAAATATGAGAAAGTTCAGTGCTACAGAGGTTATTTTCCATCGGCCATCTCTGTTGAAGTGCATGGAAAACTGTTTATCTTGATTCAATATAGCTTGCCTTTAAATGTTTCACAATCCAACCCTGCATTGTCACAAGCTCTATTTCAGTTATATATTTTTTTTTTGTATCTGTTACAAGTAGTCCTGTAACAGAGTATTTCCTGTCCGGCACACAAAATCTTACTCAAGTAAAAGTACAAAAGTATCAGCATCAAAATAAACTTAAAGTACCAAAAGTAAAAGTACTAATTGTGTGTAAAGTCCCAGTTGAGAATCATATATATCAAATTACTGGAGTATTATTCAGCGTTCATCACTGCTGTTTAAGGTGGAGCTAAATGAATTACTTCATATACTGCTGCTGGATATCTTAACCTATAATTATTTATCATAGTTTATGTATTTATAATTACCTTAGAATCTAAATATGTAAAGTATAAAGTAGCATAACATAAAAAAGTACCCCAAAATCGTACTTAAGTATACAGTACTTGAGTAAATGTACTTCACTGCATTACACCACTGCCTGCCAGTATCTACATTTCACAAAAAGATGATTAAAGAAAACATATTTGTAGTTACAGTTTGCCCTTATGCTGACTATTTTTAAACAGCAGCTATTGTAAACAAAAGTACTAAGACAGTTCAACAAAAAGTTTGATGTTTTGGGAAGTACTCTTATTACGTTTCTTGCCGAGTGTTACATCAATATCAGTCATGTCAGAGAGCTATTCAAATCTCCCCTTCTATCTCTCAGCAGGAGAGCAAATACTAAAGTCAGTTCAGTGACTTTTGCGAGAATATTTTCTAAGAGGGTACAGATATGAAAACAAGTGACATGTTTTCTTACATAAACTAACTTATAGACACATGATCATTAATCTTGAAGGTTGTCATAGTGTAGCAATAAGCACAATGCAAGTATAATATAAGAAGTCTTACGTGATCTCTCTCTGTCGTCTCGTCTCTGCCTCTGTGTGAGTTAAATCTCCTGTGTGGGTTTGAGTGAATGACTCAGGATACTCCCCTAACACACAGCGTCACACACCCCCCCCGACCTGCAGCTCTGTCGTCAGCAGAGCAAACGCACACACACACAAAGAGCACACACACACATGCAGCAAAGCACTCTCTTTCTGTAACCAAACACACACACACACCTTCTCTTCACATCCTTAAACACATGCTAACTTGGAGATAAAGTTCTGATTCACAGCTTCAGCTGCCTTCACTCACATACGGGCCTCGTGAGCGACTGTTAAAATATTCCAACTGACAAAACATCCTAACACCTGAAGCAAACATCCTACTCTCATATCAATCATTAACCAGAACGTCCTCAGCTGTTACGGATAAGCAGAGCAGAGATGTGACCTTCTAAAGGTTTTCATAAACTTCTACAGCACATAACTCATTGGAGCAGGGGTGTCCAAACTACGGCCCCGGGGGCCAACTGCGGCCCGTTGTCCATATTGTATAATGGAATATGGCCCACACCTCAAATTTGTACTTTTCCTATATTGTACATTAAAATATATATGTAAACACATATTACACAGTAGTATTTATCTGTTAATAAGACCAACATTTCAAATAAATTCAGTCAATTCAAGTTGAAAACATTTTCTAACAAATCTTAGTTGATAAAAATAACTTATTTGCATAACCATCTTGAAATAGACCCTTCCTATTTCCCCTTATTATGAGCAATCTGAGGCTTCTGTTTTAAGGAATGAGCTGCCAACACTTTTTGTAACAAAATAAATGAAAAACCTATGGAGAGCTGTGATGTAAGCATATTGAAGTATCAAGCATAATTGACCTACATTTGATTGATTTTGCAAACTTATAACTTAATGTATGAGGCAATACACCTCACCTCTAGTGAGGAGCCCAGCCTTTCGTATATTTTTTACCTTCTTCTACGCACAAAATTCTTTATTATTCCGCCTGTTATTTTGGCCCTCTTCTTCTCCCACATTCCACATCGCAGAAACTCCGTTCAAACATCAAAACGTTCAGCTCGGTCGGGAATCGATGGCTATTACTTTTTTCATTCATAACTTTCATAATTCCCGAGATATAGCCCATAATTCATCAAATTGTTAACATTTTAACTTTAACATTGCGCAGCTTTTTAAGGCAGAGTGCGTGATGTCAGAGTTAGAGTGGAGGACAGTTTGAAATTTGCCTTCATATTTTTTTTTTAAACTGCCATAATTCCCAAACCCTACATTCCTGAGACATAATTTTTCATGACAAACGTAGGAAAACATCTCGTAGCTTGAAAAATGACAAATAATTAAGCAAAAATAATTAAACAAAATGCCTCTTGAGGGCATGAAGTGACAAAAACTTTCAACATGTCTCCATTAAAGCCCATTATAATTTCAGGCTGATATTTCCTCACAGCAGCAGCCGCACACCTTTAGTTAATCTGCCAAAAAGGCCACATTATTAACCCGAAAGTACACAGAAAGCACACTTCAGATACTCAAGGTCCTTGAGATGCTTCACGCTTTGAAATTTCACCGATATCTATTACGGTTCTTCAACAAAACGTTCACATGTAAGACGTTTATCTCTCATTCAGAACAATGGAAACCTTTGATCTCTGGACGCCTCGTTAGCTCAAATATAAACACCTGTGTAATGGAACACGATGATGTCATAACTCCAACTGACATGCTCAGAGCAGCAGACTTCAGATAATGATTAATGGTCCTGCCCTCAACAGCTCTACGTCAATTATGGGGTGTCATCATATGCCATAAAAGACAATGTCGCTTTACATTAACTCCTATGAAAATGTTCAAAAAGTACTCAAACTTCACATGTGTGCTAACAGTCCAGCCGTGAAGACATCTACGGGACAGTTTTGAGATTTCTTCAACTGCCGTTGCCATGGCAACACAATGCTCGCCATGAAACACGGTTTTCTCATAACTTCAGTGAAAATGCTCCAAATGGCCCAAAACTTCACAGGTTTGGTAACGATGCAGCCATCAACATATCTAAGCGTATTATGGGATGTCATCAAATGCCGTTGGCATGGCGACAGATCATTCACCATCAAGTTAGTTCAAAAGTTTGCAGTTCAAATATTCTGCTGCTTTTCCAAGCCTTTTTACTTTCTTTTCTTCTCTCATCACACATTCAAGCCCCGAGTGTTCATGTATCATTTCAATCTAAATTCTTCACTTTCTTCTTACACATTACATTTCAGCATAGCAGTTTAGCGTCAGCTTTTCAGCATAAAGCATTCCCACTAGCAATTTCTTCAGGAATTGCATTCTCTAGTTCTGTATGTGACCCTCCTCCCAATCCATAAACCTATTCAAAACAACAGGTGGCAGTTTTTTCTCGAGCTGAAGTTTATTTATCTCACTGAGATCATTTTGTATGAATTTCAAGACCCTCTTCTAATATAAGTACCATAAATAATCTTTGTTCCATGGATACTTTCTCGAATCCTTCATTCTTTAGCCATGTAATCATGAACGATGAATCATAATTAAGTGACACATTTGATAACAAGGATGACATAAAGTGAAAGGGGCAGGCTACAGCTGAACATGACCCTGTTCACAGTTTACATATCATTTTACAATAAGCAGTATTTTATTTCACTGTACAGTATTACATTTTGTTTTATCTCATTCTATGCACATTGTTTGTCTTATTCCCTTTTACCTGCACTATAGTGTAACTTGCACCATTTTATAGCACTTTCTTTCTTACTTATTTCCTTTATGTCTTGTATTTCATATGTTGCACAGTTTGAGGAGCCTGGTAATTAAGAATTTCAGAGCCAACTATTGATTTATCACAATCGAGCCTTTGAATCTTGATTTTTTAAATCTAAAACAATGGAGATCTATATCGGTTGCAACACGTCATTTAAAATCCATATTGCCCATGGGAAATGAAGCCATTATTATTCTTCACAAACTCTACGGTGTGATTAATTTGATAAGACAATTTCCCACTAATGCGATTATCCCTTCACAAGATAGAACAATCACAGAACATGAAGGATTCAAGTAGCTTCACCCCAAAGACCCAGCAGCACTTATTTTTAAATGTCTTCACATCAAAAAACGTATGTTGGTTTGAGGCATAGTGTGACCTACGTTCAAAATGGCTGCCTCTAAAAGGACATTATTTGCCTTCCTTTCATTTACATTATGTTATAAAGTTCTCTTTCCTGATAAGGTGGTATTTGTTTATGAAAGGTATGTGTTTGTAAAATAAGCTTGAATGTTATCTCACTGTTTTTATGCTAACACTGTGTCAGGGTGTGTGTGTGTTGAGTAATTATCCACATGTTGTTCTAAGGTCAGTTTGAGGATGTAAAGCTCCCACACGCCTACTTGAACATGCACACACATGCATACCGTGACACACCAACAGAGGGAAAACACACACCGGCAGTAACGCACACACATTAAATGAGATGTGTGTTATTTAAGGATGAAAGCATGACAGAGTATATGATGATAGTTTAAGGTCTACAGTAACGAAACTACTTTCTACTGTCACAGGTAGTCTAGTCTGTGAGGGAATCACTGTGGATGAAAACATGGCGTGCGACTATGAGTTCAGCTCTTACTCACCTACCACTTCACCCTCATCGAGTGTCTGTCTGTCTGTCTGTCTGTCTGTGTGTGTGTGTGTGTGTGTGTGTGTGTGTGTGTGTGTGTGTGTGTGTGTGTGTGTGTGTGTGTGTGTGTGTGTGTGTGTGTGTGGCGCTCAGGTAGACTCACCTCCATATATAGTCAGCTTGCGGGCACAGGGGGCGTAACAGCTGTCAATCACAGCGGCCTGTAAAAGCCTCAGCTATGTATCCTCGCCCACCGGGGTCATCATCGCTGACGGTGAGCGGACGCTGGAAGCAGGTAGCCATGGTTACCGTCTGTCAAGCAGGGACAAGTCAGGGTTTGGTACTGTAATCACAGGATTTGGTGACAGTTCAGGAAGACCTAAAACAGAGATGTCAGAACATAAGCATAGTCATGGATGGATCACTGAAGAAGATGACATGTACCATTGAGTAAGAGAATCAAAGAGACCATAAAATGTATATATATAACAACATCTGCAAATAGATCACAAAGAGACACATAACACATATAAAGACAGACATAAAATATCAATAAAACAAATACAAAGCGAAACAAAATGATAACAAAAAGACACCAAATTACCACAAAGACACAACACACCTAAGAAACAAAAATGACTGTAAAGAGACATAACATGACTCAAAAGACAATACCAAGAGACATAAAACAACTACAAAGAGAAACAAAACTACTACAAAAAGACACCAAACGATTACAAAGTGACACAAGATTACCGCAAATGACGAAAAAACAGGAAAAGAGACATGTGTCTTGCTCATGTGTAGGAGGGGGTGGGGGACGACTTTTGTCTCTGCTGTCTCATACTCCTGGAGCTGCTGTATGACAGGCTGTGAAGAGGCACAGTTAGTATTACCTGACACACAACAGATGTGCTCCTGGCTGCCTTTCAGACCCCATTAAACAGGCGGTCTACACTGTTACAGTCAAGTCAGCATTTCTTATAATAGTTGGGGTCAGAATCCAAAATGTGTTATGCAAGTGATTAGGAAAAGACAAAAGCAATGTCTGCCATGTTTATCTGCAGTGAAGAGAAAAATCATATTGTATTAGAGGTCTTTCAGCCTTCATACACACTTTTGCCGAAACAATCACATATCAGCAGGTGATACATATAAAACTCACATTTCTTCCATCCATTTTGCCTGCAAACACCAAAGAGCAACATTTAAACATGAGCATAAATCATTGAACCTTAAAGAAAACAATGACAAAACATGTTTTACATTATTAATGTTTATTTTCAAGGTCAATGACAGACATCATCACATTGTACCATGTGTAGAACAATATTCTTACAATAATAAATACATAATACACCAGTAGAGGAATGACGTACAGGCACTAATTACATTAAAGCAGGCACTAGCTGTTTTTACACTATCATACAACAGTAGCTGAGCAGCACTGCTTTGAGCTGGGATGTTATTTGATCTTTATCTTCCAAATTCTGAAGGTGTAATGGAAGATAATCAAGCAAAATAGAGAAGTTCAATATATATTTAGAGCGTTTACACAGCTAGTGAAATTACCAGGGATTCCCTGCCTATAAAAGGCAAATTCTTGTCTTTTTCTTGTCATCAGCGATTATATAACACAGACGACATGTTTTCTATCTGCTTATTGCATACTGTATTGGAATTTCTATGAGTTTCAGTAGTGTTGATCCCTTAATTCAGGGCTCTTAAATTGATTCCGCAAGCCCTACGTTTTTAAAAAGCATCACTAAAAATATACATATAAAAATGCAGGCTAGAACAAGCTGTTGTGAAAACCAGCATTAACACTGAAGCCACACGGGGGTGGAACCGTATCATTCTGTATGTGTTGTTGTTGTTGTTGCACCACACTGTTGCTAAGTTGCACCACTCATGTGTGTAACACAGGTGTGTGAGAACATCATTAATACAACTATTTTTCTATTATTATAGCATATTTATCTGTAAAGAAATGCACCACTGATCCACAATACGATTACTGTACTTTGATTGCAAATGCATTTTGATTAGACAGGTTGCATAAAAGATTATTATCATGCCTATGATGGTGATGGTTTTTACTGCCGCCAAAGAGGTTATGATTTCAGTTTGGTTTGTTTTTCTGAGTCAGGAAAACTTTTGGGAAACTTGATAGAAGGGTGAAAACATTAGCAAAGGAAAAAGGTAATTCCGTAACATTTTAGATACAAACCCTGAAATGGATACAACACACATATAATTTTTTCCAATGGAAACGACCTAAGCAGAAGTCTGTGCTTTCCGACTGCTCATGTGGTCTGTTTACAAGTGATAAATAATCTGCTCTAAAATGAATAGGTTCTTCCTTTGCCCACGCTATATCCCTTTCCACAGGTTTCATGGAAGTCAGGCCAGTAATTAATCCATAACATTGGTATAAAAAACAAACTAAACTGAGAAAATTACCTCCTTGGTGGACGTAACTACACATCTATATGGTTGAGTACAGACTTACAGACACCTATCCCGCGTAATAGAAGCCATGCATGAATAAAGTGCTCCGTTGCAACTGTACCCCGGTCAGAAATCAGTGAAGATGTGAGGCTGCACTAATGGAAACAGAGCCATTTAAATACCTAACAACCATCAGGCGTGAGTCACACTGCAGGATTTACATTGAACACAAGTAAACAAGTGAGTGATGCAAGCATGGCTCTTTGTAATGAGCTTAGAGGAGAAATGTCCTGGTGGTGTAACAGCATGGCTTTGCAAGGTTTAAAAATGGCGCCCCCATCAGGCAACCTCCAGAATCGTCCTCCACTGGACTGCTAGACAAAGACACTAACTCACTGTAATAAAATAAAACCTGATACATACAGTAACATACACTGTTGTGACAACACACACACACCCACTCAATATATACACACACATACATTTACTATCTGACACAAAAAAGATAACAGATAATACACCTCTAACAGATATTTGTTCTTGTTTTACAGTATTTACAACGCAGTTAAATATGCAGCATTATACAGCGGAGTACAGTGTGTGTGTGGTTGTGTGTGAGTGTTTTTTTGTGTGTTTATTTGTGTTCCTCAGACCTCCACTGCACGGTCAGAGCCCAGACCCTGAGCCTGCAGAGCCTCCTCCCTCTTCATCTTGGGCTTCTCTGTCCGAGTGTGCCACACCAACACCTGCAAAACACACAAGAAATTAATACAAAATCCTAACTCAAATGTGTGCATTCATTTGATAAAAGAATAATTGGAAAATTGTGCATTTTCTTGAGTTGTGTCAATGTTAGGGTAACATTAGTGGCTGTCCTTGTAGTGTGATTTAGATCACTAAAACATGTTATTTATTAGATTAAAACCCCCAAAAGTCTGGTAAAGTAATATTTTTGTGGTTATATGGTATGTACTGGGATCACTAATATAAAGCCTCAAACTGCTACAGCACATATGGATGAAATAAATGTCATCCTCTTTGTAGTGTCCATGTTGTTTCTATATTCTGACAGCTCATAAACACATTGAAGAAGAAAAGGTGAACAATCCGAGCCCTTGAATTCACACACACATCATCCCGGATGCTCTCTATTCCTCCCTCTCTATCCTTATCTCTCCAACACACACATAACACACTCGTACTTTAGAGCAGTTGTCTGCTTTGGGCTCCAGCTCGTCCATGGTGACCAGTCCCTGCAGGAAGCTGCTCTCCAGGAAGCCCATCGGTGCTTCTCCGTCGAAACAGGACTCGGGATTGGCCAGGACCAGTTTGAGGGACACGGCGAAGCCCGCCATGTCCATCGGGAAGGGACGACTGGGACGCCAGCCGGTGTGGAAGCGCACCACCTTCAGAGAATCATCAAGAGCACAAATATAGTATTCTGTAAAGGTAGACATTTTCACACATAGTTTTTTGTACATTTGCCAGTAAATTCATGGTTTTCTTAAAAGAAGCAGAACACATTGTGATCGTTATTTATCTTAGTATGAATCCACAACATGAAAAGCACCGACCTTTCCTCCCTCGATCACGGGCCTCTCATATTTCATCCCTCCAACCAGCCCCACCGGCCACACAGACACTCGCTCGGTACTCCTCATCTGAAGAAACACAAGAGGAACTTTGCTTTAATACTGGAATATTTTAAAACAGACAGCAGATTTCTTTAAACATTGGTAACAAACCAAATCAGTTGAGGATCATAAAACTAAACATTGTCCAGCACCCACCTCTTCAAATATCTGCAGGCTGTATGTGTTATCGTCGTCGGCGAAGTAGACCACTCCCTGCTGGTTGTCTCCTCCCGGCTGAGCCCTTCTGTCCTCTCTGAGCCACCGTAGCCCCTCGTTCCTCTGCTCCACTCCACGAGGCTTCAGCCAGCTGGGGTCATTCTGAGGGGGACGGATTAAAAATACTTGTTTTTTCATAAATCAGGAAAAACAACGCAATACCAAATCGCCAATTTATGCGTTTTATTTCACACTGTTGCGATTTCGTCTCCGCCCACCTCCTGCAGTTTGCGGTCCTTGGCGGTGGGCATGTGGAGGTGTGTGTAGGTCAAGCCACTCTTCACCAGGAGGTCGGACACCAGCGGCGTCTTGTGCGGCGAGTCCTCCACCACGATCCAGTGCAGCTGAGGAACATGGAGGAAGGTCTGCGACAGGCGGGTCAGCTCGGCCTTCTGCACCAGCCTGGACAGAAATCAGAGAAGAGGAGTGTTAGTGTGGAAAAGAGAAACGGACAGTAATAGAAGAGAATGGAAGGTAAGGGGGGTGTGGAAAGAATGTAGGGAAATCCGGGCTACCTTGCGTATGTTGGGGTGATGACAAAGATGGTGGGATTAGTTATAGGTTTCTGTGGTTTCTTGGTAGCCTCCGAGTTCCTCATCTGTTCCTGAAGACGGTGCAGCTCCCCCCGCAGTCGTGATATGGTACGGTCTTTAGGCAAGTCATGCTCTGAGCAGTCGCAGCGCTGACCTGCAAAGAGTCAGTCACAACAGAAAAGAAAGTTAAAGAACAAAAGTAAAACAGGATTTTTGTTGCGTTGTCATCTTGGTAATGGAATAGCTGCATTATATTTTAGTTGTTTTGTCCTTTTTACTAAATATGTTACTCGTGATGATTAAGGTACAGTCTTCTTAACCTTTATTAATGTGGAATCAATCTATAAATCAATCCTGGACACAGCCTATAAAAGTCTTGATTTCACAGCAGACAAACATGTTATTGTAGGAAAAGCACATGTGTATTTACTAACATTAATCCCTGGTGTTGTGCACACTGGCTTGAATACTGCTATAGGGCACTTTATAGTAGTGATCCATCATTAATGTCATAACATTTTTTACATGTGATTTCCTGTTTTGACAATCTCAAAAATGATGTTAAAAAAAGGTCAATTGAGACTTCTTTTGAACACTTACCAAGCTGCATCAGAGCATAGACAAGGCCAAGCAGCGAGACCATGAAGTAGAGCACAAACACTGTCTTCAGCTTCAGCTTCATTCTTGTTGCCATGGTACCCTGACCAGCTGAAAGGATGACAATACAATAATACTAAACTTTATTGGTAAAGCACCTTTCATACAATTATAGCAGCAGAATTCACAATAACTGAAAATAGGCATAGAATGAACTTAAAAACAGTGATGGAAAATAAAACAGACTTTATGATAGTAAAAGAATAAGATACAATTAAAAAAATATAAAAATATGAGTTGAGAAAACGCTGAAATGTAATAGACAACAAAAGATGGAAATACAAAAACAGTAAATACAAAATAAAGTATACGAGACATTAAAAACATTACTAGGTCGAGGCAGTGGAGATTGTAACTGAATATTTTAAGGTGTTCAGGTGTTTTAAAACGTTCCAAATTTCATATAGCATTCCCCTCCATTATTAGCCTTAAATATAACATTTCCAGCTCTAAAATGTAAAAGCTGAGGAGGTTTTTATACGCTGTTTCTAAGAAGGTCGAAAAGATGCTTGATGGTGAACCAGTGTTAGCTAAACTGTTAGCCTGTCATTTTGCTTGACAGAAAACAGCTCGAGTGTCATGTTTACGCACTTACCAGAGGCGGGAAAACGTGGAAGACAGAGTTGAGTTATAAGATTAAAAGTTTATGTCATCTTGGAGAGGTGAGCATCCATTCATTCGGCTACAGCTACATTAGCTCGGACATCTCTATTGCAGCAATGTACCAACAACTTCCGGTTTCAGTGCAACACAGTAAGGAGTCCACCCACCCCCCCCATAAGGGGAGCGCATACAATCACAAGTAGTTCCACATTAAGCCTGCAAAATAGCAATAAAAAATGTGTTTTGACTTAAATTATTATTTTATGTGGCTGCCAATTATTCCGAAACCAAAATAGTTGTATAAAGACTACACATATTGAATCAATAGCACAGAATCTGAAAGCCCTTACCCCTAGGCCCCGAACATGTTTTGTCATGGCTGCCAGTCTTAATAGTTCCAGACCCTATTTCATGTTGCTCAATTTACCAGATAACATATTACATCTTGGGTAACCCATAAAGTATGGCTTTGTAGGTCTCCTTCAGATATATTCTGCATTTATGTTAATAATTAACTCTAATAGCTCTTCTCTTAACTGTTTAATGAGCAAAAGTTGTCCATGGAGTCAATATCATGTCTCTTGTAAATGTATGGCAAATAAGCTACTCATTCCTTAGAATAATGCATGAAAACAGTAGGAGTTGTTACTGTGTTAGTATATTTCTGAAAATACATCTGTTTTTAATAAAGATGAAAGTGTACAGACAATGAAAAAACAAAAGGGGCATCTCGTGAAAAGTCAAACAACTTTCCTTTATTTGTAACATACAAATAAAACACTGACAAGGCAGAATGACTTAGTTTTCCCTTTCATTGTCGTTTATGGACAGGACTGTAACGCTCACTCTCAAACATGGAGTCTTACTTTTTAACATGTTTAAAAAGTGTTTTACGTGTAAAAGGCAAGAAATGAATATGAAGATGGATCCACAACAGCTTATATACACACAGACACAGAGAAAAAACAGAAGGACCTGGGATTTTGTGAGGGTATGTAACCATTTTCTAAAATAAAAATACTCACTGACTTAAACTAAACTGGTTAAGTTCAGGCTCATTTACCTACTTAAGATATTTTGACTTTAATTGAGCCTTTTCTTCTTTTTTTTTTTTTTTTTAAAGACAGCCCGCCTATCTGGATTTAATGTTACTGAGCACTGATCGACAGTCAGTTCAAACTTTTTGTCATTCATTTTCACATTTCCAAGGCATTTGAGCTTTTTCCTTTCACTGTAACACATCATTAAACTCCTTGAAGTTGTGTTATCACATTCTTCGGATCAGTTTCTTTAAATACTATGGCATGAAACACAAAGAAAAACTGACTCCAGATCAGAGCTGTGGCAAATCACATCCAGCGAATCTGCGGCTGTTAAATAAAACAGATGAGGTTCCATTACGTTTGATTAACCTGAGAGAGACTGTCAGTCGGTTGATTCACTACCACTATGTACACCATCCTCTTTTTTGTAACCTATGCAGTAAAAAAAATGACTTTATCAGAAGGTAGTCTAAAACAAGCAATATGTTGTTTAATCATTTTTGTTGTTCATGATAAAAACAAGCATGACACACCAATATGTCGTAGTCTGGAAACAACTCGAAACTCTCACCCCAGGAGTTTTTGGTGATAAATAACACGTTTGTTCATGTAACGGAAAATATTTCAGTATCTAAATTTAAGAAAGTGTCCGTTAACTTCACATTTCAGTCTCCCCTGCTTCACACTTTCACCAGGCATTAATCGATAAGGAATCTCAAGTTGAGCCTTGATATGACCCGTTTTAAAAAAACTTCTCAAAAACGTACCATTTGAAGCCCTTCACGGCCAGACCAGATAGACCTTTACACCCACAGTAGTGTTAAGATGTACATTTTTACACCTCCAGCCCACAAGTCAAAACTGACTACAGTCATGGAATTAAATAGTTTAGTGATGGTTTCTAGATGGGGCTTAAAACTCAGCCGACCAGCATTTAAATCTGTCCAAAAATACCCTGACTGCTTTGTAAACAGATATGAAATCAAACAGATAGAAGCCTTTCTCGATGAACTGCCTATTTTATATCTGAAATCAATAAAGAATCTGAGCAGAAGCATTAATTTGCAAATCCAGCATGGACATTTTTAGAGTTTAATCTAGAAAGTAATGGTCAGATTGATCGATAATGGAAAAAAAATCCACGCCTTAACTTTATAAATTTCAGACAATTGCTCCAATCTCATTCTTCCAACATGCACTGATGTGAATGGAAGATTTGTAGGAAATATTAAAGAAATGCCAACGACACACTCACAGAAGCAGCATGGCTGTTGATTTATCATGATTACTAACTATTTTAAATGCCGTGATGACTGAGGAGACGAAGAGGAATAATGGCCGTTAAAAACTCTTTCAGTGTTCTGAAATTAATTCTATGAGCCAATCTTTGACCCTAACAGCTTCAGAGGCCACGTTAGGAAACGGTGACTTCTACCAATCCTCATCCATGTAAATCAATATGATTTGCTCATGCTAACAAAATATTTAAGAGAAGGGATGGAGGACTGTTTTAGTATTATTTTTTTAAATACGGCTAAAAAGGTAGCGTCAACATCAACTTGTTTATCATCAACACCTCTAAGAAACAGAGTGAACGAAGAGGCGAGCTGGAGTGATGCAACGGAGGCGGAAACATCGTAAAGAAGGATGGAATTTACAGAAGTGAAGCACAGGACAACACATGGTGGAAAAAGAAAACTCAAAATGAGAGCGATGTCTTGAGCAAAGCAAGTTGAACATCTGAATGAGCATACTGGGATGATATTTGGGATTATTGGGAAGAATGAAAATGAAGGAAAGGGCAATCTTGGAGATATTGTGGCGTAAGTTTAAAAAAAAGCATCAACTGAATGGAGAAGCCGAGTGGTGCTAAAAGTGTATTTGTATCTGGTGTAATAGTGGGCAGTTGCTGCTAGCTGCAGTGCTTTGTTACCTAATCAGATGGGTTTACAGTAAAGCATTGTAGATCAGACTGTTTTTCTGGGACTCAAATGAGCACATCCAGCCTAATCCTTGAACCCTGGTTCAGTGAAAGAAGCTTGTAGGGGTCCCAAATAAATCCTGGGCTGTATAACAGAAACTGACCAACTCTATATCTGCTTGAAATTCAAGTTTGTTTGCGTGTGGACATGATTTGTTTAGAAAGAAGTACTGTAAGATCGGTTTCTGTAATACAGCCTTAGGCCAGAGTTGAAGTAACACTGCAAAATGATTGAAGACAGTACAGCACGTGAGGAGGTGAGGATGGGATTCATAGATTTGTTCGTGAACTACTAATTGTCATTAACTGGGAGAGAATGAGAAAAGCTTGGACTTTAAACCAAGAATAAGAAAGAGAGAAAGGAGCTATGTGTGAAAGCTCACACTGCATACTCCTTTAGTAGCAGGAATACACAACAACAACAAAATCTCAATCCATAATGCGACAACAATATCTGAAGCCAGACATTGCACCATCGGTTCGTTTTTAACAAACTGAAAACGCTCGCAGAGTAGCAGCTCGAGCTTTCACACACAGCCAATGAAAGTTGCTGGCTTTTAACCAATCGGAGAGAAGGATGGAGCTGATGCGGGATCAGTGGCAGCAGCCCCCGCAGTGCCCGCCCCCGTGGGTGTGTCCCGCCACGGCCTCGCCGTGTTTGGTCCGCCGGCTGAGGATCTCGTAAGAGCAGTCGTCGCCGCAGCAACCGGACATGCTCGGCGAAGTCTCGTCCATATCAAACCTAAATGGGTGGAGTGACAGAGGGGGTCATAAAAGTCCATTTATGAACACATATGGCAGAAAAATCTGAAGCATACACAATGGGGATTATGGGCATTATCTGCAAACAAAATAAATTAAAATAAGAGATTTCCCCGAGTTTTAAAACTATTGGAAACTTTAGGTATTAGTGAGATATTATACCTTTAACTACAACTAATTCTCACTCACTACCTACAAATAACATTGACTGACTTCATCTTGAACTTTTAACAGTGGGATTAAAGAAGCCTGTAGAATAATGAGCTGTTGAGTAACACTCCTACTCCAACTCTGTTGGCAAATATGTTTTAAATAAGGAGAACAATTCAGGTCTTTTCTTTTATTTCCTATTTTTCCATCTTTAAAAAACAAGCCCCGAGTAGAGCCTGTGTACTCACTGTAAAGCTTCTCTGAAGAACTGGTACGCTCCATGGTTGTGTTTGAAAACTGTCAACATCACTTTCTTCATCTGTGTACTGGAGGGAGAGAGAAAGAGGAAACATATTTACCTTTGGTGTAACTTAACTAAAGCTGTGTTTGCATTCAGTTTTGCTCACAAACGCACATTGTCTATGACTAATGGCGCGTTTCCACTACAGCGCGGAGCACGGTTTAAGAGGGCTGTGACGTCAGTGACCCGTTTTTGGTTGCGTTTCCACTTGGCCTAGTACCGGCCGGCGGGTCCTAATTCACAGTTTTTCTGGCCTCATAAAATCGCGGGTCTAGGGCCAGAGACAACGAGGCTGAGTCGGGCTGAGTATGCTAAACTAGAGAGAGCATCGCTGGCAAGGGGGCTACAACTACAACAAGATGGACATATTTGACCGTGATTTAATTGTAATACACGTTTCAAAATTATGCCGAAGTAACAACATACTGATACCGGTTAGTAAAAACCATGAATTAATGCTTTGTCAAGTCTGCAGACAGACGGCAGGGGAAAAACCTTTTAAAATGCGTGTTTTCTAAATGGAGATTGGCTAAGCTAACGCAGTATATGCTCCGACCGTCCACACTCACAACAACGGCCTATACAGACATAAATAAAGCAGCGACTGTATTCACCATGACACAGGCAGTCTGTGGTTTGTACTTGTTTCACTTTTGTCTAGTTTCTGAACAGATATGAGGAGCTGTGAGCTCTGAGTGCTAACAGCTAACGGCTGTGTTGTTTTTCTGGGGTTCTCATTGAAGATGACGTCACGGCTCCGCCTACACTGCGTTACTATAGATACTGCCCCAGTTCCTAAACTGTAATGGAAATGCGCCATAAAGTGAGCCAGTCCTAACGAGGCCTAGCCATACCGAGCGAGGCCGTGTAGTGGAAACGCGCCATAAGAGGTTAAAGCATTTCCTTCCTCATACAACATTGGCAAAGCTTCTGACTGAAAATGCTAAAAATACAACTGCTAAGACAGATTTAATACACAAAACATCTGCATTTCACACATCATGACTTTAACTATAATGGCGGCAGTTGATTTTACCTGTTAGCGATGAGCTGTAGTATCTGGATGAGGAACTTTCCGAGTCCTTTCCTCCGCACTCTGCTCTCTAACTGCACCTCGTAGCTGGAGAGGAGAGACAAAAAGTTAGACCACAGTGAGCATATGGTAAAAAAGGTGAGAGTCCAGAATTTAAAATAAATCCACTTTGAAACGTACCAATATAAAACCTCCTCCCCACACTCCACGTCAAATCGGAAGTGAGAGAAGGCCACAGGGGCGGAGTCTCCGTCGCGGGCCAGGAGGTACCACGCCCTCTCGTCGTTCATCTCATCCCTCTTTTCCCGCTCCTTCCAGCCCCACTCGCTCTGCTCGTACCTGCAGAAGTATAGAAAAAGAAAATGGGTCAGCTCAAAATGAAGTAACCTGGAACGGTAATTTGGCATTTCTCCCCATCATTAGGCTGCCCTGAAAGGACACGATTTCTAAATGGAATACATTTAGTTTCGACTTACAGAGTGCCATTTGCTAAATTGAATACTGCTCTGGCACAGTGAGATTAATTCAATTTCTCTGCCTCCATCTTAAATGTGTCTGCATTACATCTGCTCTCGTTGTTACATGTCACCCTCCATTTCATCTGATCACTTTTTCCTATCTATTTTCAGCCGTAATGTACCACTCATCAGTTTGGATGTTTTAAAAGTGGGCTTGTATGAGGTACTTATCCAAGGTCAAAGTCAGTTTCTCCATACTGGGGGTGTTTTGACCACCAACTACTGTTAATAAAACACTTCATATGAACAAGCACTCATACAACCCCACTTCAAAGCATTTGTGTGCAAGAGAATTTGAAATCAACATTTAAAAAAAGTCTGTAGTTTCCACTTCTTCTAGTTTCAGCAATCTACAGCTAACATCTACACAAGCATGTTGCTCCATGTTTAAGAGGGTCCCTCTGTTCCTGAGCTACACCTTGAACTACGAGAACAGACTTCTTACAGTGTCTGCATGTTGGCTCTGGTGAGTTCGAAGGCCCACTCCACAGACAGCGGGTTCAGGGTGGTCACTCTCTTACACTCTATCTGCAGGTTCAGCCTGTTGAGGAGCACAAGACAACAGAGTCAATAACACCAAGAAGTGTGTGAGAGACGAAGAACAGACAGAAATACCACCCGCAGACCAACCAAATGGAACAAGTATGTATTTCATGGAATACTGAATAAGTCCTTTGTAGCGTACAAAGTATTACGTACCCGTTTCTGTCGTATTTTTTGAAGGCTGGGAAGGCAGCCAGTGGATCATCAAGCTGTGACAAGAGGAGGATAAATTAGCTTCAGAGACTTTCAAAAACACAAATATGGAGACAATTAAATACCACCCTCTTTTTTGAGTTTAGGACAATATGGTAAGGGTTGACTATTGGTGCCTTCAGAACATATTTAATGATTTTTGTCTTTTAAAAAAAAATTACTTTAAAACCAGAAAAAGTCAAGAATTATTGTGATATCCAAAAACGAAGACGATGTCGATGAAATTGTGTTGGTCCCTAATAATAACCGTCCACAAAGTCAGCTATTCTTAGCCCTGAGAGTATACATAGTTTTATATTAATAATGCCCCTCTTCTTGTACAGATTATGAGACATTTGGCCCCTGGGCAGACATGTGAAATATGCAGCTGCATTTGCAAACAAATAAAAACATACAATACATCTGTTCAGGCTCAGTATCAGAAGATACTGAGATCGCTATATTTAGAACATTCTTACTGTTGAATGAGCCATTTGATTTCTCCTAATGACAAATGGTTGCAACAGAAGCGCTAATTGAGATTAAATATTCAAAACAAAACCCGTTTAGTATGCAGCCATACCAAGGAGAGTTGGTTTATTTGTATTTTGCCAATGATAATCATGAAAGCATTCTAAGAAAACAGTACGTTTCAAAGTCTTAAACATTTTTGTAACCTGTTTGTAACTCGGACATCCAGATATAACGCTTGACTTCAGCAGTCAGGAATGTAACAGGAGGTTGAGAGGAGTGTTAAGGCCACACTAATATACAAGTGTGTATTAAAAAGTTATAACTATTGGTTATACTAGCAATGTAGTATCCACAGTAGGAGTTGAACAGGGTTTATAAGTAAGGACTTTCGAAATGTTAAATCAGTTTACTTTGAATTGGAACAGCTTTGTTTGCAGTATTGTGTTTAATTCTCAGTGAACTTATAATTGGATTTAACTTTACCTGGAGTGGTGTTATTTGGATTGTTGAAAGTATTACATATGGTGAAGAACTTTTAAGACTAAAGAAAAACCGAGCAGAATCTGAACCCGCCAGAAATGTGTTTTGTAAAACAGTGAATACACCATTTGTTCTTTTAGTACATAGTAAAGATTTATCACTGTTGGCAGGAGAACTAACAAGAATAAAAGTTACTTTGGGAGAATTTGTTGCATTCCTCCTCTGTTGGCACATCAACAGTGGAAAGGGGGCGGGCGAGAGAACAGCATGCGACACAGCGTGCCCCATTTTGGGACAAAGTGACATAGAAAAAGTAATAAGCGCTGTCCCGCCTGTACAGAGCCTGTTGAGGAAGAACAGCTCGAGCGGAGTGTGTGAGCTTTGTTCCCCTCCGGGCTGCAATAAGGTTTATCTCGAGGCCACCTCCTCTGCTGAGTGTTCTACTACAAGGCCAGGATTTAATAATGCAGATTAATTATGCATTAAGAAACATATGGCACTGCGTTTGGCTTTTCCTGTGGTTTACATCAATTAGGGGTGAATTCAGAGCAAAGGGGCCTTCTTATCTTTCGCTGTCATTACATGGAACCGTGTCTGTTGCTGTAACTCAACAAAACATGATAAAAATCACAACTCACAATGCAAGCTTTAAGTGTGGTGCTCGATGAAATCTGTGTGTTGGAAAATCAAAAAATCAGTGCCACATAGTGGATGCTTTTATGTGAAGCAGTTAGCTGAAAAAGTGCAGCACGCAAAGCCATTATCAACTGACAGAACTCCAGATTTTGCACTCGTTGTAGAGTCAGTGAGCAGCTCGACCTCTGTTTTTGAACTAGATGACCACGAAGGTTTCCTAAAAGCTCTCCTCCATGTGTTCCACTCCCAAGGCAACAATCACTAGTTAATCTGCATCCAGACTTACCTTATTGGCTGCTTCCACCTTGGCACACACGGCATCCATAGCTGCCCTCTCTTCTTGGCGCCGGGCTTTCTTCTCCTTTGCTCTGTTGGACTTTCTCTGGAATCAGAAATAAGGAAAAGGTATAAATTGCTTTGAAGTGGTAGGCAGACATGTAGAAGAGAAAAGCACCGACAGAGGAACGTTAGATAATATGGAAGAGAGGAGGATTGAAAGGAGACACATGGAATAAGTGAAATTGTGGGGGAAAAAGGACAAACAAATATACAAAAAAAAGGAATGAAATTCTTTTTTTTGCATTTTTCTTCTGCATCTCCTATGATCAGATGTTATGTTATATTCTGTCTTTCCTTGTGTGCAAACCTCATTTGCAGCAGTATTTATAGCACTTATATAGGACTCTAGTTTGAAATGTATAACTGTTATAATATTGATCATCCTGTCTATAAAAACAGCATTATTCAGTCACATTGGTATCAGTAGCTTGTATGAACAGTGTTGTCAAAGCTGTGTGAAACAGTGGAGTGTAAATATTGCTGAGGTTGCATATTCCAGTGTGTATGTGGATGATAGTATTGGAGAAATTCTCTGATACTGATACTTTAATTAAGCGTCTCTTCTTGGCTTGATGTCCAGTGCTAGTATCAGCAATGGTGCAGCCATAATTCACACACATTACTGCATCCATGCCTGGCAACTGAGAACACACGCTTTGAAAGCTGCTATAAACAGGTCTCCACCAGGTGCACCACCATAAATACTGATTATTAGCCTTCTTCAGTTATTGACACATGCTTTTTATAGAGAAAAGGCACACTAACAACATAAGTTTTACTAGACATTAGGGATGCAACTGACAATCATTGTCATTGTCAATGGTCTGCAATTCATTGATTTGTTGTTTGGTCTTTAAAAGTCAATAAATGGTGAGAAATGTTGATCAGTGTTTACCAAAGCCAAGAACTATGCTTTCAAATCAAAGACAGATATTCATATTTTAAAAGCTGAAATCTGTAATAAACTTTTCTCCCCTTCAATAATTACACAGTATTATATGTTAAAAGGGATTTGGGAAACATCACAGTGATAATCAACATTTCAGGGACATGTTTACAGTGCAATAAAGTCTAATTGATACATCATGGACAAACAATGGCAATTGACAAACCAGTAGGAATAAACTAAAAGCCTTCATTAGATGCAGACTTGAACAGAAAAGGTTACAATTATGGGAAGGAATGCACTGAATTGCCAACTCCAGCTCACAGCATAACTCTGTCTCTGTACCAAGCACAGACAGGCTGCAGACTGATGAAACACGTGGATTGGTTTATCTGGAGAGAAAGTGGAGGATAAACTCAGGAGACTAGCTCAAGTTAATACAACTAACTCAGCTGTATGGCATGAGTTCAGGCCTTGCTGGGTCTGAGGAGTACATAATTCACACCCAACATGTCTGAATTTAATATACCCAGGTGGGCTAAAGACAGCACACTGTGGCTTGTGTGTAAAACACACACACTCAAGCTATTAGCAGTAATAGCTAGCAAAGCCCTCGTCATTAACATGGCATTCCTAAGTGGCTAACACAGCTAGCACGCTAACAATGGCAACACATTAGGAGAAGTTAACAGAGCATGGCTGCCACGACAATGCAGTAATAACTCTGAAATGCTACATTAAGCTATGTGTAGGCTTGGGCTAATGTTAAAATGCTATCTTGAGGCAGCTAGCATGCTAACAGAGCAATATAAGCAGCCCCGCTGCCAACCAACACCTTCGGCTACACACATCCACCATGGTCTCCCTCCTTTCTTTCTCTCCTCACCATCACGCATTTACGAGCACAAAACATCCACCTTTCATTGTAGCAACTCAAATTAAGCAAAACACCGACACACTCACCCCCATGTTGCAGCTGTATGTGTGCGATCCCCTGGAGAAACACACCTCTATTGTCCCCGTGGTTCACTGCTGCTGAGTTATTAGTATCGCCAGACACAGAGAAGGGGCCAGATTAATATGACAATGATAGATAGTGTGCTAACGAGGCTAGCTGGCTATTAGCACCGAGCGGCGGCTGTGGGAGAGGCGGCGGCAAAGCGCAAATTTGATTAAAACGTCAATGAAAAATGAGCTGTTTTTGTTCTCTTTAAATCGGATTCGCGCCAAGAGTGCGAGGCAGAATTTATTACAGGTCCCTTCCTTGCCCTTTTCTTTCCTCTCCTCTCTCTGTCGCCTCCAACGGTGGTGCGTTCACGTGCTCACCACAAGCCCCTACTTCTGAGTCCCTGCTGCAAAGGTTCTTTAACAGTTACCTATCTATCTATATCTATCTATATGAACTGGATATGTATTGCTTGCAGTGGTGTGAATTAACTAAGTACATTTAGTAGAGTTTTGAGAGACTTGTACTTTACTTAAGTATTTCAATGTGTGCTACTTTGTACTTCTACCCTACTACAATTCAAGGTTAAATAGAGTCATTTTACTCCACCACATGTATTGAATATATATTGATTTGCAGATTTTGATTAATAATAATGTAAAAATATAAACAACACTTAAAAAGGACTTTAGTTAAACCTTGAATAACATTCACAAGCTACCCTGCTGCATCTTTGACAAACACATTAATGAATCATTTAACCTTGCCAAACACCATTTAGTATAAGGAAACATTCACAACATTATAGAACAGCTTTGACATTTTCAGACCACATCCACAGTCGAAAACATTTTTGTATATCTGCAAATATTGTGTATTGTTATATCAGATACTCTATAGATATATGTCTATCTATTGTTAGTATGTATGTATTTACTGTTTCTTTATTTATATTTGTAATTCATGCTGCTTTAATAAGGTAAACAGATCCACGGTGTGACCCATGTGACAGTTCTCTATATGCAGCAGAACGAATCCCTGTGAGTTCATTATTATCATATTGTTGGATCATTGTTTACAATAATGTCCAAGAGGCACTTTAGTGTATGTTGGTCCAATTAAAGATAGTTCAAACTGTTTTGGCTAGTTTTTCCCATATAATGATTCATATTTGATCAGTTAATTATAGATTTTGTATCAAAATGATTAAACTGTGAAGAAACGTGAAAGTTTAAAGGAGCCGAAAATGTCGGTAGAAGTACCTTAAAAAATGAGTTACCATTGACTGTAGTTGAGTAAATGTTCTGATTCATTAAATGCATTTATCTTTAAACAAATACAGCCTGAAAACTGAAGAAATATACTTTTTTAACCAAATTAATAGATTAAGAATACTGAAATGTAGCTACAATCTCAGTTTATATGTGGGCATAGCCCTTAACACGTACGGTGTTTACTCACCTTGCACCTTACATTAGATACTTTGCTTTGGTATTTATTATCAGCATGGCCATGCCTTTCACAATAAATACTGTATAATCATTATCTAACTAGCACACAATACTTATTTTTACTACACAGTACACACACAGGAAAAACTTGGCAGCGGTGGGATTTGAACCCACGCCTCCGAAGAGACTGGAGCCTTAATCCAGCGCCTTAGACCGCTCGGCCACGCTACCATGGAGTGTCATTTCTATGTGCCTAATAAATCCCACCGCATTTGAACGCACCACTACTTTAGCGCGAACATGGTTTCTTAGAAAGTGACGACAGACCCTCAGAGGGACAGAGAGGGTCTTTATAAACCAGCCTAATAACATTTAGGCATAACAGTGTTTTACATTTTAACAAGATGTTTTAATTGTAACAATAGCCCATCATAATGACAAACATAAATGTAGGGAATTACATATTATAACACAATTAGGCATACAAAAGTGATTGTAGGTACAGATTTTTAAACCACTTACAGTACACCCTGGTATTTTTATAATCACAATTGTCTTTATCATAATTTATTTCAAGGGTTCTACCTTTTGTAAAACGAATGTGCCAGCTTCTTAACACGTTCACTGGGCAAATGTTAAAGCTGTGAGATATGATTTTTTTAGATGTACTGCTTTTGTTTAGACTATGTGTTGCATAATGGTCATATATCCTTTGTCTGCCAATACTGATTTGTGATTTTTAAATACCATAGGTATTTTTCAGGGATGAATGACAGAGATCATGTCCTCAGATGTTGGGAATGAGATGGACTCACTATTTATGGTGGGACACCTGGTGGAGACATCAAAGCGTGTGTTCTCAGTTTCAAGGCAATGCAATCTAATTCAAATATGTGATACACTGTACATTTTCTGAAATGCATGAATAAAGCAACAATATATATGAAGAGGGTCTAGGGGCTGCTTGGACTTTTGCCCATTTGTATTTAATTAACAAATAAATAAACCCAGAGGGTGAATTTTACCCCCAGTAGATTCTTCTGAGATGCAGAGTATCACATTGGCCACTAGATGGGGATGTTTAGTAGGAAATCACTTGGTTCATTAACTAAGCTCCAGACAAGACAAAAGACTAGAGAATAGTAAATAAATACTAAGCTACCTCTGTTTCCATTTTCCAACTGTAGGCCTTATTGGCTGGTGAAGCCTAAGAAGCAACCACAAAAATGTAAGGAACCATAAGTCACCCCTAAGACCCTTATGAAAGGACTTCAGAAGAGACTCAATTAAACACATTCAGCACATTTTTCCTGAGGGGTGGAAATTATCCTACATCTTAATAATAATCATCTTTAATTGGCACATTGAGTATAGTTGGTATGTTATTTACACTTTGATCAGCTGTCTGCAACACTATTGTGCAGTAGGCCTATTTCTTAGGTTTCTACAGTTTGGGGTTTACTGTAATAAGGTCAGATGAAAACAAAAAGGCTGAGCAGGATTACAATCTGTTCAAAGATCACCAGAGTGAAACAAAGAGACTTGTATTACTTCTGCAACCAACAAATCCTCCATAAAGCAGCAAGTATTCTCTCAAATTAATTATCTTAGTTTTTATAAGGAAACAAAATGCAAAATAACTTTTAACTCGTCCATTAGTTTCCATTTTCACGTATGTATTTCAAATTGGAGCTCATTAGTGTATTTGTTTACTGTGTTTCTCTTTGTACAATTATGGGTTTCTTAACAATAGCTCTTCAATAAAGTTGCTTTGAATTTTAGGAAGTAAAGGGGAAAATGGTTGTTGTTGTTATTCATCTTTCGTAAAACAACCCAAAAAAGGGTTAAATATTCCTCAGATTATGACTGTGTGTTCTTCTTGGTGTGGTGGGATATGAGATGGCCACCCTCAAAAGCCATACCCACTTTTTCCATAATGCAAATAAAGGGGTACACACACACACACAACAACACACACACACACACACACACACACACACACACACACACACACACACACACACACACACACACACACACACACACACCACACACACACACACACACACACACACACACACACACACACACACACACACACACACAGCTCGCAGATGGCAGTGTCTAAGCCCCGCCTACAGTCTTTTGTCTTCAGGGTATCTATCTCTCTGCTGTCGGCAAACAAACTGTCTTCTTCCTGACAGTAGGGGGCGCTATGAGGCTCTGAGAGTCTATAGAGGACTGCTGCTCATTGTAGGACTCATACAGAGGTGAATCACTGACACACAAACACACCAACTCATCCTGCAGTTTAGATTATAGTCTATAAGTATTTCATACTTTCTACATTCTCTGTGGTGTGTGCTTGCACGGAGGACTGGATAATGAAATTCAAACTGCCCCTCTCCCATCTCCACCTAAATATATGCTGGCACACACACATACGCACTCACATACATACACAAATAGATCCCTCTCTTCAGCTCAGCAAAGTGTGTGTTGGATTGCAGACCATAGATAGATGGATAGATGGACTGATAGATGGATAGATGGATAGATGCATAGATGGATATATGGATAGATGTATAGATGGATTGGATAGATAGATAGATGGATAGATGGATAGTTTGAAAGGACAGGAGGGAGAATGGAGGATGAGGATGATGAGGATGAGGAGGCCTCTCTCAAAGCAGCGAGCCCTGCAGCACAGAATTACAACACATAGACTGGACAAGCGGCCGCTATTCTTCTGAGATGAAAGGGTTGTGCACTTTTTTCTACACATGATGTATGTTTCATGGCGGGGGGGGGGGGGGGGGGGGGGGGGGGGGTGTACTAATCTATGTCCGGCTAGTGAAGCAGCATGAGTCAAGTGACAAGTCTGCTTCAACCCTATTAAAAAACAGTCAGCTGTTCTGGATTGACAGTTTAGCCTCATTTTATAATTTAATGTAAATGTTGAATAATCGAGAATGTCATTACGGCCCATATCCTTATTAGGGACAAAACAAATCTGTATAGACAAACAGAAATACAAGTTATAGAAACAATTGTATTCATGATTTTAGGACTGTCCCTTTAAGCATCACTGTCAGCTTTGCAGACAAGATAGCTCACACGCTAACTGGCAGATTGTCATGGAAGTTGCTAAGTACATTCATGCAGAATGCATAATGATATTTATACTGCAATCTCTTAGTGTGAAAACATAAAGATGAGACACAAGACTGGGTTCAGCATCAAATATCTCCAAACCAAAGGGTAATACTACTGAAAAGGTAGAGAATAATTAAAGTAGAACACTGGAAAAGAAATGAAACATTGACTTTAATTAAATGTATTATGTCAACAGATTACACATAATCATATTAGGTTAGTTGGAAGCAATAATATTAAGTTGAAACTACTATTTATTTATGTTTATTTAATATGATTGCTCTCAACTAAGCTTATACCATTATGTGTAATCTGTTGACATAATTGTTAGGCCTTGAGATAAGATGAGTTTCTAATCCGTTCCACACTGTGTTTTACATCCTTATATAAATTCATTTTGACTCAACATATGATCTGTTATGTCATAAATGCTTGTGTCAGACTATAATGAGTCATTGAGTGTGTCGTAGTGCAGCAGCAGTGGCTGTGATTTGGCATTCAGTGCATGGAAATCATGTAATAATGAGTCCACAATGACATAGTGCATCATCCACTGTGCAGGTGAGTATTAAACATTCAGACATGCATGGTGGTCCTACTGTGAGACGGCAGCAGGAAGATTCTATCACATCCGATTCTAAATCTCCTGAGGTAACAGAGAAAGTCAGAGGATTCTTAGAGGGGGAGGGATGGGAGTCAGGGGGAGGTGTAAGGGAAGGAGGGAGAGAACTGTATGGACATGTGGAGAGAAATAGGGAAGACGGAAACAAGTGAGAAGAGCAAGTAGATGGATAGACAGGCAAGAAGAAGGAGTGAGACAGGTGGAGAGAGGAAGGAGGTGGTGAGGAGGAGGGGGGGAGGAAAGAAGTGGAAACAAGAGTGAGCTTAAGGGAGAGTGGGAGGGACGATGGAAGAGAAACCGAGCGAGGAGAGGAGGGAAAGGGACACAGAGTGACGAATGGAGAAGGAGGACAGAGGAGGAGGAGAAGGGAGGACAGAGAGGAGGAGAGGAGGGGGGTGGAGGGAGGGGGGGGGGGGGGGGGGAGAAGGAGAGCAGTTGTTCATTAGAGAGGATGTGTTAGGGACGGGAGGACTGAGAGAGAGGAGAGACTGTGGAAGGGTGAGTTTCATGGACACTGACTAATGAGAGGAAAGGAAGGAAGGAGGCGAGAGGAGAGGAGAGGAGAGGAGGGGAGGGGGGGGGATGAGGTGGCAGGGGTGAAAATGAGACTGGAGAGGAAGAGGGAGTAAGAGGAGAGAAGAGGGGGGGCCTGGAGGTGAGCGGAGGGAAACTGCTTTACCACTGTTGGGTGAGGATGGGGGAGGGGAAGGATCTGCACGTACGCACACACACACACACACACACACACTGTGGAAATCTAAAGCGACACGAGAGGAAGACTCCAAGAGAGGGAGGCAGGAAGGAGGAAGAGGAGGAGGAGGGGTGAGGGAGGAGAGGAAGAGGAGGGAGGGAATGAGAGGAGTCATCAATGTGGAGAGTAAAGTATAAGGGGAAGCAGACGAGGGAGGGGGAAGAAAGCGCAGGAGTTAAATGGAAGGGGAGAAAGCAGGGAGGCAAGGGGAGAGGAAGAGAAGAGGAAGAGGGGCATGGGGTGAAAGAGAGAGGAAACAGGAGGAAGAGGAGAGAAAGTATTGAAGAAGGAGATGACAGAGGGAAATGAATACATAAGTAAAGAGAGAAGAAGAAGACAGATAGAGGAGGTGCAGAAAGGAGCAGGGACAGGGGGGGGACAAACAAAGAGAAGAGGGAGATGTGGAGGAGGAGGTGGTGATGCCAAAGAGAGAGTAGAGAGAGAAAGCTGGAGGAGTGTGTAACAGGCTGTTACATGTCAGCAGCAGGATGTGTGTGTGTGTGTGTGTGTGTGTGTATGTGTGTGTGTGTGTGTTTGTGTTTGATTGGCAGCATCAGGTGTGAAAGATCCTGCTGCACAGATATCAGTAAAACAATCCCTATTTCACTCACACACACACATCCACCTGTGCACGTACACACTCGTACGGGAAGCACTAGGCAGAACTCTTTTGAATTGTTCGACATTTTAAATATAAATAAATTATTTGTGTATTAAGGTGTATTCATCTGAGTAATAGTCAGGACTCTGTCTCTCACATACTTAAACACACAAGGTTCAATCGTACCCCGGTCTCCTGCCCCTTTTCTCTCCACCATGTATACATCAGTACAAGTCTGGACAGCCTGCCTCAGCACACGGATGCACAGCTGACGAATCCCTCCGCCGACACACTGGCAAGTAGTCCTTAATTTATGGGATTTTGAAAGATTGCAGATTAAGAATCGTTCAAAAACTACTTCTGTTGATTTATAACGCATTATAAAATGTGTTCTACAATTACAACTGTGCATCATTATCATATAAACGGGTTGGACTGTATGCCGTTTTAAAGGATATTTTTTATCAGCACGACATGTTGGTTAATAATTCGTGTCAATTTACACGTGTATGGCAAGTGGCAACACAATCTAAAATTGAGAATAGGCTACATTTAATAGTTTTGTAGGACTACTTTTTGTCAATCCAAACGGCTGTTGTGGTTGGGAGAGGCGAACGCATCAGGGCGGATGTCCACCTTACTTTTCCCCGGGTGTTGTCCGTCTCCCCGGCGCACACTCACGGCTGCTTCCATCTATCCATGCAGTTCACTTCATTGTACTGGCTCCGCTCATCAATTAGGCGAGAATTAAGCCTTTTTAGATGCGATAATTGTCTTTAAGCGCGTCGAAGAGGAATATAAACTGTGAACAGAGGCGCAGATAAGTTTTGAGTGCGAGGAGAGCGGAGAGAAACGAAACACAGGTAGGAGAGCGACTGCTATCTCGACTTCCAACTATTATCGTTACTAATGTAACGCGAGGGTACTAGCCGCAAGCTAACCGGCTAACGTTAGCATCCCGACGACCAACTAGACTTCAGGTTGCACTTTAGAGAGAGAGGGAGGCAAATATCGCCTGGTTTTTATTGTTTGACCTCCAAAAATTACTCAGGACCGTTCAAACTACTAAACGTCCCGAAAGAGACCGACCACTCGAGTTATAATAATACGGAGAGCGAGTTTTCACTCCAGCAGACAGTAGCGTCAGGAGTAGTAACAGCAACGTAAGCGTGCGGAAAACAAAAGGACTTCACATGACTGCTCCGCTAAGATGGGGAAATGTCTTCAGCTAGCACACCTGGCTCCACTAGAGCACCAGGTGCTAACCCACCACCTCATATGTTTGGTTTAGTAACACATTAACTAATGTATAGTAATGTACATGTATACTTAATAAAGGAGTCCCCATACTATTATGTTGGTGTTACCTTTACTTTAAAACAAATAATAACACTATAAGATGGAAAAACGTACTAATTATATCTACGAGCATATTAATTGTCACGTTAGAAGCGCCACGATTGTCAATACGAGTCCAAAATGATACATCAATAAGATAGTTGAACTAAACATTTACACATTTATGATGTATAGAAAAAACACTTGTTAAAATGATTTACTAAGTATAAGCAGGTGGTTGAGCAATAATTGACTACATCCTGCCTGGTGGGGTTGGCTGTTATGTATTATAGATTTATATCTTATAACAGTTGTCAGAGGTCGAGGCTATAGTAGCAGTGTTCGAGGCTACCACCAGCCCCCCCCCCCCCCCCCCCCCCCCCCCCCCAAAGTAACTCTGAAAGTGAACAGAGGCGGGATTATAGCTTCATCTTCGAACCCTCTGTTGCTTTAGTTTAATCGATGCGTCAAATTTAAATCCATCGAGTTAGATGTAAATAAACAGGGCTATGTTTATGTTTGATGCCGTGAGTTTGCAGTGAAGTTAAGGGGACAGCTGTTGTAGTGTCGGGGGGCCACCGGCAGCCGCGACAGACAAAGACTCCCAGAGAGACTCAGACACTTGTATTGTCTAGCGGAGTTTGCTAGATGTGAATGAATCTGCCCCTCACCCTCTGCAGAGGAGCCATAACTACTCATGTTTTATCTGGAGAATGGGGGGAATAAGTTCATGATGTCGCCCATATGGCATGTAACTCCACGCCCGTGCTTTGTTCTAGTCGTAGTTCAAGTTAGGTAAACAGGAGTTGCTGATGGGATAGAGGACAGCAAGTATAAGACTCGTTATGCTGCGATCTGTGAGTGATATCGCTCATTGTTTTGTAACCGCACTGAGTTGTGTACCAGGAGGGAGGGAGTTTAGTTGGGTTACTTTCTGTGTCCTGAGTTGACTGTCTAGTCTTTGTGCTGCTGTGAGTCTCACTGCCCGGAGATACATAGAAAAACGAGGCTTGGCCACGTAATAATATAGCACTGACTGTGGGTGACACTCAAAATAAGAGTCCCCTCCACACTGGAGGGCTCATGTTATTTATGGCTCGGTTTTTCTTTCACTTTGTTTTGCAGATGCTTCTACTTGTCTGTTGTGCTGTTTGCTCAGCATGTATGAGGAGGAGCTCCTTCAAGTAGTTGATAAATAAACAGCAAAAAGTATATAACTATTTTGTTAATCGACTTATTGTTCAACTAATTCTTAATACAAGACATAATCAGAACATTCTGTTATAATAAGCCTCTTGTATACATTTTCTTATTTACTCTGCTTATATATAGCTGAATAGGATTAAAAAAACAAACAAGAAATGTAACCCCTCGACTATGAGAAGCTGGGACATGAGATGGACATTTCCCACTGTATTTCTGCAGTTTTATCTATAAGAAGAGAACTGTTGGATGCAACTCTACATATGAGCATCACCATGGTTTGTCAATGAATCATTTGGTTCATCAGATGGTTACAGTAATGCACCCTACAGATCTGCCAAATCAATATCACTGGTACTTACTCGCAGACCTTGTTAAGTGGATTGGATAATGGCCATACTGGACTGATTCTCATTAAATAAAGCTTCTCCGCAAGTCTGTTTTTATTTACTTGGTTACGGTGGTCTGCCTGCTCATATTTTATTGCCACACTAATCCCTAACATCCTGTTACCTTACATAAAATGATCCCACATGGTCAGGTATACAGACATTACATTGGTAAAAGAGAGCACTGGAATGTGAGCTCAAGTGTTTCTTAATGGTCTGGGGCACTAAATGGCCCTGTGTTCTGTTAGTGGGTGGTGCCCCCATGGCAGCAGCATCTTCTTAATTAACTGGAGTAATAAAGGAGGACGTGAGTTAATCAGTTTGAGTCCTGTGTTGAACAAGAACAAGGGCCTCTGGATTGTGTGTTGAGGTTCCTTGAAGGTCAATATGGTGAGAGAAGATCAGAACGAGAGCAGAAATGTAGCCAACAAACCAATGGCCCATTCATCACCTTACGTCCCATATAACTAATCACACTGTAAGCACATTTTTTATTAGTGAGACACCGAGATAAGAGCCTGATCAAACCACAAATGTTAATTAGTCTGGAACCTTTCTGTTAATTTTTTTATTTCCAATGAGCATTACTTGAAATGTTCAGCCCTAGTTTTCAGGCAACCAAGTTCTATCTACTGATGAAAATGAGGGTTTCTGGGAGAGTTGTTGAGTGTGAACATGTTCTCATACAGTAAAGTTATGTTGGGAAATAAACTCTGCTGAAGGGGAAATAATGGGATTGCTTCCAATGTAGCAACATAAGGTGCTGTTCTACGTTTCAAGAGTGATTAAGGCTTTATAGGGTTTCAAGTGAAATCCTATCGCAGCCAAATATCTGCCAAGTGATACAAGTGATATTTTTATGGGAGATTGCATCACATGTAAGACAGAAATGGGTTTTTGTTGATGAACGGTGTTCTGTACGTGCCGCCATTCCATATTCAGGGTGTGTGTGTGTTTGTTGCAGCCATGCCCTCAGTGATGGAGCGCTCGGGGTCCGGGGTCCTGTCCAGGAGCAGAGCCAAGACAGTCACCAATGGCAACAGCCTACCACACTCTGAAGAGGAGAGCAGTGACGAAGAGCATGCTCATGGTACAACACACAGAAACACTAAACAGAATTATAATCTACTGTTTTAACCTGAATTTAATGGGGGGGGGTTACTTCATATTGTTTGGTGTTGTATTAGGTATCCATAGTGAGTGTATTACCTAGTGGATGACACCCCTTTTTCAGAGAGCAGACTGGAATACTAGAGCAGATATTAAGCAATGAACTGCAGTGGATAAGGGCTGCAGCCAAACTTTAATTTACCGTCAGACAGCCCTTTCAGACAAGACCTGAAGAGGCAGTTTAAAGGCAAAGTGGAGAACATATTTTAAATAAAGCATACAATGATTTAAATTTACATTTGGGTGCTGCCAGATTCCATAGAAGTACATTGCTTAGCTTTTGTGCTGGTAGTCCTGTGTGTCTTTCAAAACTGGGCGCATGCCGACCACCATCTCCTTTAATTAAAACACTGACTGCTGATAAGTACTGAATACAACCCCCAACAGACATCAGAGCTATCCCTTCCATTACTGCGATTAAGTTTATTGTGTAATATGTATAACAGTTGACATTTCCATTGTGCAGATACATAAAGTCAGCTGTTGGGTTGCACTGCTGCAGAGCTTCTTCAGTGCCTGCACACTGCTCTCGTCTGTCCTCCTCTCCTCCTCCCCTTCCCACACTCTTCCATCATCTGCCCACATCCATCTTTCATTCCTTCTTCACACAATGACTGCTCATGATCTTTACATGTTCAGTTATCTCACTAGACACATGTACTCGAGATATCTTTATAGATTAAACCGTTAAACTGGAGTAGTTGGGGAGCGATTAAAAGGCTCCCAGTTTTCTGCTGTTGATGTAGGTCTGAGACTTTCCATCAAAAGCCACCATCCCTAATAAAATGTTTCCTAATTTCTCGCCTCCTTTTATGCCCCTTCTTCCTTTCCTTCCATCCAATCTGCTTTACTCTTGCCCTTCCTGTCTCCTCCCATTCCTTACCATGTACTCCAGTTTCTATCTTCCCTCACTCCTCCCTTCCTGTCCTCTCTCCCTGAGGAAACAGTAATCTGTCCTCCTCCTCAGCTGCTGGCCTGCCTCTCTCATAGTCCCTCTTTACCACAGCACTAATGACTTAATATCTGCCATCCGCTGTCTTCCCCCCTATCTGTCACTTAGTGGTAAATATGCTTTAAATTGAACATTATCATGCATTAAACTATTTATCAAGACATATGCTAGTACTATTTCCATATGAACTTCTTGAAGAGACAGATTATGTGATCTCATTCAAATGTTTCTGCTATCCTGGTTGAACCAAACTGATCGAAACACAAATGTTTAGAGTACATATTATTAATGGAATCGGACTGGGATCAGGGCCAAAAACTATAGTTAGGACATTCCTATTACTAATAATGTTAATGTTTTTCTTATGAGTATATCTAGCTCTGCAACTTCTTAAAAAATCTACAGGAATAATTGTCCCCATCCGCTACTATCTCTACTTCCTGCTGGGCAAAAAGAAACTGATATTCTTCTTGTGTCTCTCTCGGCAGACAGTATGATCCGAGTGGGAGGAGACTACCAGGCTCAGATACCAGAGTTCAAACCAGGTAAGCTGAAAGAGGGAAGCATGAGAGAAAGGGAGGGAGGAAATCAGGGCTGAGTAGTAAGAGACATAGAGGTGAGGAAAAATGTGGAGGGCATAGAAATGGAGGAATGAAAGGAATGCTGATGATGAGAGAAATGAAGGTCAGAAGACCAGTTAGTGTCTGCCCATTTGCATGTGTTTGCCTTTGCTCAGTAATGGAAATTCAATGTGGATTGACAGCTTAACATAGAAGGTGGGTAAGGAAGGGTTGGACCCAATAATGCAAACGTCTTTGAAGGGGTTTGCTTTGCAGTGTTCAAACCCTTTATTTGATTTACTTATAGAACATTGTAGTGATATTAACTCTAGGGAAATGTGGCTTATTATCACATCCTGATTCATTGTATGATTAGTAGAGCAGACGAGGGAGAAGCAGCAAACCAGCCTCCAGTTTAATGTCTTTTTGGAAAACACAGGTGTTGAATTCCCAAAGCGGCTGACATGCCACTGTCTTGTCCTCTTCTTTCTTCACTGACGAAAATGGAGCCAAAGATGGAGCCTAAACAGGAGAAATCATGCAAAGCAGAGGGAGAAAGAAAGTTAATATAAGGGTTGCTAAGTAGACAATCAGTAGTGTGCATCGTGTCTTTGCAACTCTTGAGTCAAGTGGACTGTGCTCATTAGTGATGTGCACCGGAGGCACCTGTTATAAGAGCCAATCCTCACCAACCACCATGAAAAAATAATCAGCCACCAGAACCCGACCCAAACCACAAACTGAATGCCTCATATTATCACAAGGTTAGCACTGACACAAGCAGACAACAGATAGAGACTTGTCTGAGTCATGTACAACATGATCTTTCTGGTTGTTGGTCGACTATCGGTTGGTATATATTTTTGAATCCAAATTAACCAAAGTCATTCCAGGTTGGTAAAGGCCTGTTTATAGGCAAGGTAGATAGGTAAAACCATTCTAAAATGGCAGTTTCTTCAAACCGCTGTTGGTGTCAACTTCAAAAAACAAACCTCCTTTAAGCATGGAGAAGGGAGGAAAAGAGATACACGTCTTTAAATGTGATCTACTTTTTGTAAAAGCACAAAATGTCCTTGTTTGTTGTTTCTCTAACAGACAGTTCAAACCGCTACAATGAGAAGGACCACAGGAGCATGTTGGTCTGGTGTCCCAGTGTCATGCTGTCTGATGCAATGTGTAAGCTACTCACACACACTCACCTCCTTCTTTAGTGCAAGCCTGTGACCTTCACTGTAATGGCTATTCGCTCACCAAAGAATAGCCATTACAAATCTCATTCTGTGTTTTCTCTGTCTCTTGCGCTCTTTTCCTAGCACTATATCTCCTCATGTCCTTCTTTTCCTCTATTAAACCTATGTTTCTTTCTCATCTTAATCCAGTGGACGAGTACATCCTAATGGCTAAAGAGAAACATGGATACAACATGGAGCAGGTACGTACAGCAGAGGAACATCAGCAAGTCTCTTTCTGCTCTCACTGCTTGTGTCTCTCTCTTTTTGTTCCTGTCCCTGCTTGCCTCACCCTGTCTCCGTCTTGTCTCTCCCCTCAGGCTCTGGGCATGTTGCTATGGCACAAACACGATGTGGAGCGCTCGCTTGCGGACCTGGCCAACTTCACCCCGTTCCCCGATGAGTGGACAGTGGAGGACAAAGTTCTGTTTGAGCAGGCCTTCAGCTTCCACGGCAAGAGCTTCCACCGCATCCAGCAGATGGTGAGAGACAGAAACACACTTTATTCAGAGGTCTTTTCTTTTTTTTTCAATGAATGTCAAAAATAAACAGACTGTGCTCCCTATTTATTATCTTGATTACTGTGTTTGTGTGCAGCTTCCAGACAAGCTGATCTCCAGCCTGGTGAAATACTACTACAGCTGGAAGAAGACCAGGACCAGGACCTCCGTCATGGACCGAGCGGCCAGGAGGCTGGTCACCAAGAGAGAGAAAGAAGACAGGTGAGACACACCATGAAACTTGGTGAAGAATTCATATTGTACGACGCACTAAGCATGGAGAAAACACAAGTTCAGAAACTCCTCTGAGGAGTGACATTTACAAAGACACACAATGAGCATCCTGAAAAACAAGGCTCATGAATATTAATCACATGCTTTGATATTATCTCTTGTCATTTTCAGTCGACATTCTCAAGCATTTTAGAAATACTTGTGATGAAACCAGACATAGTTAAAATGTCAAGAAGTGGTTTAACCGCGGGTTGTTGGACTTAATTGTCTTTCTTCTTGTAGTAACGATGAGGTTGAGGAGGCAGACCCCGGCAGTGACAGTGACTTTGAGATTGACACCAAGAAAGAGGTGAGCAATATAAAACTTAACAGAGGTTATTGACTGTGTGTGGCATGCTTATGTCAACAATCTCTCTGTTTGTATTAGTCATGACTTGCCTGAGCCAAATCAATGCCTTCTGTCTGCAATTTCAACTTCATGTATTAAACATAAATCTAAAGCAGCCTTCCTGCATTGCCTGATTCTTAACATTTGTGATTCCACAGGCGGTGAAACCAAACCCCAACAACAGCCACGCAGACAAGGCGGCCGCCAGCCGCTCGGGGCCGCTGAAGAAGGAGAACCTGGGGGCTCAGTACCGCCACCACCCGCTCAGAGCCCGCCGCCGGCCCCCCAAAGGCATGTACCTGGAGCAGGAGGACATCATGTCGGTGTCCGCCTCACACAACGCCGGGGTGCTGACCATACGGCAGCTGGACACACAGCTGGTGTCGCTCAAGAGACAGGTATACACCGAGTCTGAGTAATCTGCCTTCTGTTGCATCTAATGCCATCAGTGTGTATGAATGTTTTAAAGCAACATTCAACATTTTTATCAACAGTCGCACAGCCCTTTTTTTTAAGTGAATCTTCATTGCATTTCCCTGTATTTCTGTACAGTTGCAGATAAAGATTATGACACACAAATATTATACGTTTTATACTAATTGTGGAGTTTGGTCTCAAAATGAGTTTGCATACAGAGCACGTATCTGTATTGACACGGCGGTCTAGCAGAAATGTAACTGCACCATAAATGAAATGATACTACCGAAATACCAACAAAATCAAACATGTTCCCATTAGATTGATGACATCCTAAAACGTGATGACGTAACTTCAAAGCTTCTTTTGAAAGCCTCTAAATAAATGTGTGTAAAAAACCAAACACTTGGTGCAGCCATTTAGCTTCATTTATTTGTGTTTTGTTTTCAAACCTCAAATAGATTTGTGTACATGTAGAGGAAGTTTTAGGGAACTCACACCTGCATGAAAAGAGGAAAATGTAACGCCTCCTCCAAGGCTTTATGGTGCAACAGTATATTAATAAACTCTTTTCTCTGTGTCAAATGATAATGAATTCAGTCTCAGTGAGGGGTCACTTTGATTTGTACTGTTAGTCTTACATTTGGCAAGCAGCTCCAAACATTAGGAAATGAATTGCTCGTGACAGTAGACTATTCCTAAAGTACAACTGCATGTTTTAAAGTAACAGAAGCCTTTTAGTGTTTATGAATAAACCCCGCCCCTTCTCTTTCCTCCCATAGGTCCAGTCCATCAAACAGAACAACAGTTGTTTGAAACAGGGTTTAAATGAAGGTGTGGCGAATTTAAAACCGTCTGAAGTAAGTTTCTTTTTGTATAGTGTTCTTTCTACATGTCCCTCCTTTACATCCATCTATCCCCTCTTTGATTTTTGTTTCCAGACTTTGTCCTTCTCTCTCATTTATTCACTCTGCCCTTCCTCGACTCCCTCCAGATATGATTTCCCCCCTGGTGGGACTGAGATGAGTCTAATCTGCCCTTTCCTCATGATGTCCTTTTCCCTCCTATCTTGTCTTACCACCTCCCTCCCTCTCTAATCTCTCCTCCTTCTCCTCTCACCCTCAGACTGCCCCCAAGATGAACTCCCGTTGGACCACAGAGGAGCAGCTCCTGGCTGTGCAGGGTGAGTAAAGGCTGCTGCAGCATCCCCCCCCCCCCCCCCCATACTGAGATTCAGATTCCAGCTGTACTTTAAGTGAATTAAAGGAGAAGTAAAGCAGCTACTGTTCCAAATCAGTGTTCATTGCTTTTAGTCAATTAAAGGCACAGTTGTCTCATAGAGGAGCCTTCAAAGTGGCTCATTCATTAGCAGAGGAGCTGAGGAGGCATCTATTGTTTTTTGTCTCGGACACATAGCTGTGCACGCCGGGGCGTCCATCTGCATCAGTCGTGGGGAAAGTTCTGAATGATTGAATGAGATGCATTTTGTCAGAAAAACGGATTACTAGCTGAGCAGCTGCAGTCAGCCAGTGTGCCTTTGAGCAAAGCGTTAAACTGCAGCTGCTCAGAGCAAACAGAAGAAGGGAAAGCAGAAGCTGAAGACTTCAGTGACTCGTTTGCACTCTCACATTCCAATGTGGGTCATGTTAAAACCTATTTCTGTTGGGATAATCCAGATGTAGCATTTCTCTGATAAGATGTGGGATGTGTGGTTATTATTCAGGTTTTAAGAGCTTTTGTTGGACATGTATACAGCGCATTTGGAATATTATAATTTATTTACGGTCAACATTTCTGTTCAGAAGGAGGACAAAGCCTTCTCTAAAACGTTATGAAAGCCTTGGACATTAACAGGTTTTTGGATGTGCGCACAAGGAGAGGTGGTTGAAGGAACAGAAGAGCGAGGCTGATTAAAGTATGCACGGCTACGTGTCATTTAGAAAATGAACTTTCCTTTCCCAGGTTAAGAGCTTAGTGGGAAGATTGTCTTTGACATAAGGGCAATATTTAGTGCATGTAAACGGAGTCAATCTGTGGATACATTAAAGCAGGTGCACTCAGCCAGCCAGCATCAGATGATGACACACACACACACACACACACACACACACACACACACACACACACACACACATACACATACACATACACATACACATACACATACACATACACATACACATACACATACACATACACATACACACACACACACAGTTCTGTAGGCTTTTGATGGCGAGGCGTTGGTTGTGAGCGATGCACAGACACAACATTAACCAGTCCTTCTTCCTCGTCTCCTTTCCAGCTATCCGTCGCTATGGTAAAGACTTCACAGCCATCGCCGAGGTGATCGGGACCAAGACTCCAGCTCAGGTGAGCCTCCTGCCCCCCTCCCCTCTTATTGTGACCTCAGCGTCACCCTTCATCTATACCGCAGTTTACTCTGTGAGCTTTTCATCTCCTCTCCCATCTCTTCCTCATCCCTCTGACTAGATCAGCCTTTGTCTTTATAGATCTCTCCATTATCCCTCCTTTCATTTGTCCACTGACCTTTAACCTCCTCCTCCGTGTCCTTGAACAACTTTCCTTCATTTCCTTCTCCTTCCCTCCTCAGGTGAGTTCGTTCTTCGTGAGCTACCGGCGCCGCTTCAACCTGGACGAGGTTCTGAGGGAGTGGGCGGCCGAGCAGGTGGCCACCGACCGAGAGCAGAGAGACCCCCGCAGGAGCAGTGAGGAGGGGACCCCAGCAGAGGGGGGGGCAGAGGAGGACGAGGTGAGCACTGACAGGACAGACACGTGATATAAAGAACACTGTTAGTTATTTATAGCATTCAGATAATCAAGAAGAGATGTCTCAAAATGTCAAACTATTTTGAAATTCTGAATGATTTTAATCCGAGTAGATCCTCGCCTCAGTGATCATCCGGGCGAAGTTACTTCTAGTCATCCATATCTCTCTTATTATACCACACAACAAATCAGTCACAAGTTAAAGTGGAAGCGTGGTGTACTAAACAATACTAGAAATACCCAATGGCTGTTTAGTTCTTACTCACTTTCAATACATGACACCACCTCTGAGTCCGAGCAGGGATGAACCCTGAGGAGAACAGAGGGAGACAAACCTGCAAGATAAAAAATGTGCGTCAATCTCAGGAGCATGGACTTAATGCTGAGTCACACGTTCATCTGAGTTTAAAGTGACGGTGCTGAAGTGGATGAAATGAAAGTGTAGTGAACAGAAGGAGCAGGTGGTGTAATATGAATGAGCCTCCTCTTCCTCACATCTCACTTCATCTTCTGTCCCCCCCCCCCCTCAGGTGAAAATGGAGGACTCTCCCTCGGACTCGGCCGGCGGCTCCTCTCCGCCCTCCTCCACCCAGACCCCCTCCTCCCTCTCCCAGCCTCCCCCCCTGCTGCGCCCTGCTCCTCCCTCGGCCCCCCCCCAGCCTCCTCCGCCAGCCCCCTCCTCTGCAGACGCGCCCGCTCCAGAACCGAGCGCCCCACAACCACCCCCCCCCCTCCCCTCATCCGGCCCGCGGTGACCTCCTCCTCCACCCCCCCCACCGGGAGCTCCAGCCTCAGGGCCTCACCCCCCAGCTCCTCCTCGTCCTCCGCTGCAGGCCAGATGCCCCCGTCACTCGTCGGGCTCAAAGTGGAGCAGCCCAACTCGCACTGATACACACACACACACAATAGGTATAGAAACACACACACACGCAAACAGACACTTCCTCCACCCTTTAACTCCATCACATGACCACAGGATCCATCAAACACACTCGGGCGACATCACAGCTCTCCCCCCCCCCAGCCCCTTTACTGTACCAACAAACACCTACCTCCAGATCATCGTTCACTAGCGCATACACACACACACACACACACACACACACACACACACACACTACAAACAAGCTAGGAACTGAAATCTACCTGCACACTAAACAAAAAAAAAAGAGACACTGGATCATCGAGCTTCTGAAGGAAACCCACCTGCTCGTTTCCATGGCAACAGCTGAACTTCTGGACGAGTGTGGTTGAACACACACACGGACACACACATACTAAATGTATATCTATCTATACTGTAGGTTCCACTAGGCAGGTTTTAGGTCCTCCGAGAACAACCTTCAGGAAATTTAAATAACGAATAAATGTTCGGTAAGAAAGTGATTGAGAGGATGTGAAGACACACGCCTTTCCCTAACGAGCTGCGCTTTAAAACTCGGGACCCTCAGAGAGGAAAAGGTACGGCTTTGTACTCGGGGCTGTGCTGTGACTTTACCGTCACAGATTTCAAGAGCTGAGATAAAGGAGCAGCAGATCTCCCTCCTCTCTCTCTTACTAGTATTAACTGGAGTGATGTTTTCTGTTTTTTGACTAGATTTTAAAGTGAGCTCTAGGTAGGCAGTTAGTTTGTAAGTAGTTTAGATTATGATGATGATTATTGACTGAGCACTAAAGAAAATCAGTTGAACACGTGTGATTGGATGCTCAGTGTTAAAGCCACACTGCTTTCTGTCTGGAGGAATTGTTCCAGTAGCTAACCGCTAACTCTGGTCACCGCAGAGAAACATTAGCCTCTGAGGTAAATATGTGTAGAGGACAGGTGTTTAAAGCAGGTTTACAAATGTCAAGGGGACGCCTGACCTCTCACAGATAATCAAACCCTGAAATATAAAATGTTCTGCCAAAGTCTGTTAATGCTTTAAAAGCTCATTGCTTCCTGCATGTTGGACGCGGTAAAGGAGTGAAACAAAAGATGGTAATGGGTTCATCGGGAATTTTGGGAAACAAGCATTCGCTTTTTTTTGCTGGCAATGATACTGAAAGTTTGATTCTCAAAATACAAAACAAAGAAATCTTCCTTGTTTTGTTTCTACGTTTGCCTGTTCATGCTGCTCTCCACTCAGCGTTTAGTTTCCCGCGGCACTGAGCAGGATCACAGCGGCCATCACTTCGTGCTCGCCTTTTGACTTTCTTAATCGTTCCTTCCTCGAAAAACTGCTCGTGTGTGAACTGTATGTGAGAAGTTGTTTACATTGTGGAAACTGAACTGTTTGTGTTTGAGAAATGTCTTTTTTTAGAATAAAGAAATGACCAAATAGTAAAGCTTAATGCCATCTCTTAAGCAAACGAGCGTATTGAGTGAAACTGTCAGAGCCTGGTGTTCTCATCAGCTGTTTTCAGATGTCAGCTGTTGTCAAACCTCTGTGGCTCCAACAGGTTGGGCCACCTGCAGCAGCTTCACATTCCTGAGCAGAGTGAGCTCAGTGGGGCCAGTCTGAAGGCAGATAACTTCATGGCTTCTGGACATACAATAGTTTGAAGATATTCTACCTCGGCTACAGTGACACCTGGTGGTAATTCCTTTAAATGTGGCACAAATGACCACTTGGTCAAAGTTACTATGACCCATCAAAACAAATGTTTGGCCATCATTTAGGAATTTCGTCTAATTCACAAATCAAATGTTAGTGATGGCGGTGTAGAAAGACATGATGTAAACTAACATGAAGGCAGAGGCTCACATATTCTTGGTGGACGATCTGAATATGTCTTACGAGTAAATTAATCAACAGATCTGTAAAACTAAGTTTATTAACAAGGAATAATTCACAAGCACCACTTTAAATCTCTGTTTAAAAAAAAAAGAAAGAATTCATCATAAAAAATGGCCTTAGGACTACAATACCAATTAGTGGACTAAAAGGAGCAGCCTTAAATATTGATACTCCATGCAGGATGCCTTTTTAATATGGCAGCAGGTCTCAATAGATCTCATTTCATTTGATATACTGTTGGGTGATATAACTTGTGATAGCATACTCAGAGTTTTAAATAATCATCTGTAAAGTATCCATATAAGTCATTATATTAATGTGGTGCAGTAATTACAATATTCACCTCAGAGGAAAACAGGTGCAAGGGGGCATAACATAGAATGGAAGTACAAGTAACTTTAATTATACTTAAATGTACTTAGTTACATTTCACCCAGTGCCAGTGTCAATGCAACAGTAGGCGGTATGTTTAATTCCTTACATCTAGTTAAATACAACAAATAAAGATATATTGATTATGTAACTGTTATGTAATTTCACACAGGAACTGCTGACTGTAACGTAACATCAAAAGTCTGACAAAATAAATATATACTTACGTGTATAAATATAACTGGTGCAATGTTTCTCTGAAGCTGAGGAACACTTCCTGCACAGCTGAAAGTGACCCAGTTCCCACTCACACACACACACACCTGCACAGGAAACAGTCGGTTGACGCCCCCTCCTGCTGATGTGGAGCATCACAGCGTCTCACAGATACTGAACATATTCATCTTGTTTATTCAACGGGCTCCTGATACCAAATACTGTCTTAAATGCTACCCACCAAATAGTAATAAGCAGCAATTCACATTTTTCAGACTATTAATGGAATATTTCATCCCCAAAATGGCCCTTTTTACATGAATGACTCACCAGTTTGTTTTGTTGCATGACTAAAGAGTTTTAGTGAACATATGGTCATGTTGTTGAAGTATTCTTTTAAGCAGCAATTCCAGGTTTTTCCTATTGGTTTTCTCTGGGATTAGAGCTGAATTACCTCAAAAAGGGGGTTTACATTTGAAATTTAACAGAATATATATTCATATCATGAGCCTGTGAAAAAACCTTGATTTGTTCGGACTCTTTAGCACAATTAAAGGTGGGGTAGGTAAGCTTGAGAAACCGGCTCGAGATACACTTTTTGTTATATTCCATGGAATGCTCTTAACATCCCGATAGCAATGAATATCTTAAGTGCTTTGACAAAAAATCCATAACAAAATGTCATCTGTGGAAGCCGTAGTACTGTAAAAAGCACGACCAATCATTTTAGCCGGCCCGGCTAAAATAACTGGATGGCCTACCTGCCTGTCAGCCTTCCATCTGTGCACAAACTTATCTCGTGCCCTCATTGGTCATGTGCGCGTTCGTGTGTGTTGGGGCTCTGTAAGGAAGAGGCAGATTTTTTCCGGCTGTGTATTTTCAAATTCTAGCGATCTCGAGCTGGTTTCTCCAAAATGACCTACCCCACCTTTAACCTAACCAATTGAGGCTCTTCAAATGGGGAAACTTTAGGACACCTTTAGTCTCTAGTCATGTGCTCAGAAAAATTAAAATGTTACCAATCATTATGTAGCGAAACATAATCTGACATGACTGAAAGAAGAGGTTTTTTTGTCTGAAACAAATGTGTCTTGCTTTCGGCATAATGGATTCCAGAGGCAGACTATCATTATATCATTGTTTTTATTACTATCATTGTAATTTTTCATCATTTTGTCTTTGCACAAAAAAACAAAACAAATAATACATTTTTCAGGAGTTGATCACCCCTCCCCAAACCCACCACTACAGTTACAGTTTGCTCAAAACACATTTAAAATCAATGTCAATTACAGCAATGTAAAACGAAATAATGTAAAATAAAATCAACCCTGAAAGAGATAATATAACAGCAACAGCCAGAATAATAATTAGAATCCAATACCCAGCACCTTAATACAATGATCAACTTTTAAAGAAAAAAAATCTGACGTATTAAAAACTGAAAACTAAAATAATAAAACGAGTGTGTCATTGTGAGAAAGAAATAAAGTTACCAGGAGACGGGACCAGGCATTGTCCCCCTCGCCCCCCCCCCCTTCTCTAACCCCTCTTCTTGGGAGAAAGGAAGTGACGTCATCTGGTTTGAACGTGTGCTGTGATACGAGAACGTTTGGCGAACAAGTCTCTCTGCTTCCATAAGGCCTTAAAAATGAACAGATGAACGGGAGAAAGAAAAAAAAAAAGGCCGAGCAGTAGTCGTCACCACCGCCATCTTTAAATACATCCATCTGCACTCGAGGGGGGGGGGGTTGTGTTTAATCCGATAAACTATGAGCTGTGTGTTAAAGGTGCACTACACAGAAAAAAAAAGGCAGCAATGATATGATCCGACGTGACCCTTCACACACCCCCCCCCCAGAGAAATCCAAATCTGTACAAAACCCCCGAAATTTCCAACGACACAAAAAATATATTATTAAATCAAAAGTAGAAGAAAATAATTCACCATTCGTCGTTGTCGATTCTTTTGTCTTTTTTTTTGTCTTCCAGTGATCTTTTATAATACACGCACACACACACATACTGTTTGTTACATACTCCAAAAGGTGTGTGTTTGGGAGTAGCAGAAAGCGGATGTGGGGGGGGTAGAAATGCGTCGGTTCAGGGTTGACATTCTGGATATGAAGGCGCGATGCCAACCGAAGTGACACCAACAATTACAAAAAAAAAATAAAAAATACAAATAAATCATTCGAGCATTTATGTGCTGACAACAAGAACAAACCCTTACATTTAAATTCTACAAAGAAAGGCAACGTCAAATCAACAACCCCGTCCACGAACTGTCCGTCCCTCCCTCGTTCACCCGGATGCCCCTCTTTTCCAGTGCACAACTCTTTTTTTAAAAGCCATAAAAGAAGAAGAAATTAACAAAACAAACAAAAAAGAAAGACTTGAAGAACAATCGATGATGTCATCAAGACTCGATGAGAGAAATGAATAAGTGAGGAAGACAAAGGGAGTGAAGGGGCGAAAACATGGATGTGTTTGTGCCGAGGTTGAAATTAGAGGGTTGAAGTGTGTGTGTGTGTGTGTGTGTGAGGTGAGGAGGATGGATCAGGCGGATTTATAAAGTTCATTTTTAAACAGGAGGGTGAAGAGGGTCCTTTAACCAACAACAGCATAGTCTTTCCATCCAAAGTCCATTTGTGTGTGCGTGTGTGTGTGTGTGTGTGTGTGAGAGGGGGGGTTTCAGCAACCAAAGTCCCGGCTCAGTTGGAGTCCATTCAGTGTCGGAGGAGAATCAGAACAAATTCAAATCTAGACTCCTGTCATGAGTTTTCCAGCAAAATAAGGCTCCAAACTTTCCATCAATCCTCACTTGTTAGAGATTCAGAGAGAACGTTGGCTTTTTTTTTTTCCATCAGCAATTCCTCCACTCACTTTGTCCTCCATCTTAAACCCCCCCCCCCCCCTCCGATTTTTACCCGGTTGTCTTTCCTACACAAAAAGAGCTGGCAGCAGAACCGTGCAGAATAAACTGAATAAATAGGAAGAAGTGACAGGAGTGGTCAAAGTGATCAAAGTGAGACGACTAAATAAACAGAGAGAGCAGAGCGGACATGCAGAAGAGTGGAACGTCTAAGTAGAACGTGACGAAAGAAAAGCCCAGCGGGGGAGAGAAGACCCTCGGTCTATAAGTACTTCACGACTCAGAGGACACGGACTCAGAGTTTCTAATGGCCTCGTGAACTTAAGGAACTTCTAGAAGAGAAAGCTTTTCTAGTCTCAAGAGGAACCGATAGCCCTACTTCAGACCTTTGTCCACATAACAATCGGCTTTCTTTTTAAAGTGATCCCACCCTGTAGCTTACCTCCTGACCTCCACTTACAGCATCCTCCTCCCTACCTCCCCCCTTCACCCTCCCACCTCTGAACCTCTCTCCTCCGCACTCACAGTTTGAGCTCGTTGGCAATCTTTGAGGCAATGTTCTTGAAGGCGATGGAGGTGCCGGAGATGCGTTTGAAGCGCACGCCGTTGAGGGAGAGCCGCGGCAGCTTGCACACCTCCATCTCCCATTGGACGAAGTCGTCTCGCGCGGGGTTTCCCGACACGCACAGCAGCATGTAGCGCTCGCGCAGCTCGTACTCGCAGCTGTTGGAGTCCAGCACCTTGCGGATCTCACGCATCATCTCCGCCGGCTCCATGGACGACGTGGTCTTCATGGACCAGGTGAAGCGCAGCGAGCGAGGCTTCACCGACTCCTTCTGGAGGCCGATGGCCGGGGGGGTGCCGGTCCCACCTGAGGGGGGAGGAGAGGGGAGATAAGAGTAATAATCAGACAAGAGGCAAAAACTACAGATTATGTTTTTCTTTATTGCCATCATCAGAGCAGAGTCCCTAAAGCAAACCTACCGGTGTTACCAGACCCTGGGGAGGAGTTGTTCTCATCGTTGTTGGAAGAGGAGAGGACCCCGCCGGACGTCTTCTCCGACTTGTCCACTGTGCTGCTCAGCATAGACCTGGGTGAGGGGTGGGAGGGTGGGAGAGAGGAAGAAGAAGAGAGGTGGAGGAAGACAAGAGGAGAAGAAGGAAAACAAAGAGAAGGGAGGGTCAGGAAGAAAGGAGCAAAGAGAGAAAAAAAGTGAGAATCGAGAGAAATATTTAAAAAGTAGAGACAAAAATAGGAGGGGAGGAGGAGGAGGAGGGAGAAATGATTGAGAGGAAGAGGGAGATAATGAGGTTGTGGAAATGAAAACAAAAGCAACATGTCTTTGAGTTCCCCTGTGTGTGTTTGTGTGCGTGCATCATCTCTAGAAATATAGATTAACACCTGAAATTGAAATCTGCTCGCACACAAACACACATGTGGGTCCTTTAAAATGTGATTTCCCCGCACACACACATGCAGGTCCACACCAGCACACACTCTCAGGGATGCTACCATTCACCGCTAATCTCCCGTCCCCTGATTGGTCAAGCCATTATCACCACCACCAACCAATTTAATCCCAGTTTGCAACCCGTCCCCATTCACAACAAGCTCAGAGATCATCTACTGATATGCTCCAGTCTACTGATTGGCAGGCGGGTTTGGTAGAGTCTGGGGGGTTTGTAGGGGGTTTTCGGGCTGCTCTGTTTCTCACCTGCTCCCCTCATCCCGACCCTCTCCCTCATACGGACTCCTCGAGAAAAATTAACAAAAGTTTAGTCTTTTTCAGGGCTAAGTGCAACATCTGGACTCTTACACAGATAGTCAGTCAGTCGCTGCTCGCCGTGCCAGACTGAACGTTCCAACTCAAACACATCAAGCGCCAAAATATCTAGTTTCCACTCCAACTGTTCAGATTTAATTCAACTTCACGGCGCAGATCCCAGTGCCAGTCCACTCTGCCCTCAAGAGGAGGAGGGTTTGATGGGTTGAGTTGCACCAGCCATCTAACGTTTATGTGTTAAGTCTGTCCTAAGTTATTAATCATTTCTAAAGTGTAAATACTGCTGTGTATCAGGCAGTGTTGTAATTTTGATGGACTTATATTCATTTTGAGTTGCATTATTGTTGTGTATTGTAGCGTGTGTTTTTGTCCTATATGCCAGTTGCAAAGACACATTTAATGCAAATCTAATGAACAAAAGTTGTCTGACTCTAAATATAACTGCCAATTGTTTGGGAAAATGTGGGCAAGGAAATTAGAAGAAGCTGATGCAACCAGGAATAGAATGGTGTGAATAGAAATTAAACTGAATGAAAAGTTTGAACAAATGTCAAAGTTTCTGCATGTTGGATCAGAGTGGAAAGGCATGGAATGGAATGGGTTCCAACTGAATGGAATGCTCGTAACAAAATGTAACATTGTACAATTTGGAACAGAATGGAATGGAATGGGTTGCAACAAAATACAATGTTTGGTGACAATGTAACATGGAGCCATTTGGTACAGAAGGGAATGGTTCCAACTTCCAAAAAATGGAATGTTGGTAAAACAATCTAACATGGAACAATTTGAAACGGAATGGAACCAGCAGAATGGAATGTTGGTAACAATGTTATATGGAGAAATTTGGAACAAAATGGAATGTGGGTATTACAATGTAACATGGAGCGATGTGGAACGGAATGGAATGGTTTGGAACAGAACAGTCGGCACGGTGAGGGCAAGTCGTTAGAACTAAAAGGAGGTTAGGAGCATTATTGATCCCAGCACTGCATTAAAACCTGTATTAGTAACATTTGACCTACACATATGTGTTATAATATAGAATTTTTAAACAGCCTATGTAACACACACGCACAAGGTCTCTCTCATACCATCAGACTGAAAACACACAAGACAAACTCAACAGAGAAAAGCAGACGACAACGAAAGACGGAAAACAGCTAAACACGTGCAGACAATGGAAGGAAAGTGACATGAACATGACAAATTCAACAGTTTTTGGTCTTAAATTCATTCTGTAGTGGGAAAAGACATCATTCCTCTTTTGCCCCATTAAAATAAAACATGTAAAATACCTGCTGCAACAGAAACATGGTTAAATAATATTAAACATGGGAAATGACAAGTGGGAGGAGTGGAGAAATGTTACACAAGGGTTTTCTTAAATAATATAATTGGTGAATAATGTAAAAGTAGGTCATTTGTGCCATTTTGCATGCTCTGTATGATTTAGCTAGATATGATGGGATGCAAAACAGCTCATAGACGAAGGCTCTTTGACATAAAATAAAAAAAACATGATTATTTAAGTCTTAATATCTTGCTTTAGTTATTGAGCAATTTCACTCTCCCAAAATAGAGAGCAATGTAACTAAATGTACTTCGAATCCATGTAAAATGTAATTTTAAGCAGATGAATTATTTATTACTCTGGTATTTCAAATGTAATGATTTATGAGAAGCCTTTAGAAGGACAAAGGTAAGGTAGTGTATCACTACACTGTGATAATAATAAAATAGTACAACTTCTAACCACCAGGTGGAGCAATGGTCCATATTAGAGGAACATTGACCAACCTGCTGGTAAAAAGCACTCAAAAGCAAGTGAGACAAATGTGGTTGTGAAATGTGTTCAGTATGTACATATATCAATGTGTCATGTTTTAGTGCAAGCAGCTATATGAGCATTGAGACAAAATGTGTGTTTATGTCTGTGTGTGTGCATCATGTGTCGTCTGTATGAGTTGACAGCATGAAAGGGTATTTTCCAGCCAGAGTAGGTCAAAGCCATCCAGTTCTGCTGCTGTTAGAGAGCCAGTGCCAGAGTGAGAACAGAGCGATGGAAGAGAAAAGGAAGTGTGCAGCCTCCAGAAAAGAGTGCAGCCTTGAGAAACACTGCAACCTCGTCCCTCCCGGGTCCTCTCCTCCCCTCTACCTCAGCTACAACCATTATATATCTTATCATATATGTCCTCCCCTGTGGGATCCTCACAAACGTACACCAACGACTAAAAAGTAGCTTTTAATGGAAAGTCTAGTGATCAACTGATGAAAGCAGAGGTGAGATGGGTGGTAGTTTGGTATGTGGCGTTAGCTTTGATAATGGTTAGCAACAATCCTAGGAAGACACAAGTAAGACTAAGATGACAAAACGCTTAAACACTAAAATACTAATACTTAGGATATTACATCATTACTTTTAGGATTTGGAAACAAAGATCTCCATTAAGCTCAAATTAGGACACTGTTACCTGCATCTGAAGCTAAGAAATAGAGAATAAAAAAGGGAGTAGTTTGATCCATTACCATTAAGACTTGACCTAAATCCGGGACGCTATAGGGGGAAACAAGCTCACACACTATCTAGTAAATACATGGAAAAAGAGGGGTATGAGGATGAGGAGGTGGATGGGAGGGACGAAGAGGAAGAAGGGTGAGGTGTTATTGTGCCGCGTGATGATGGAGTGAGTGAGTTAAGTATGGCTGAGTGACGGGAAGTTAGTCAAAAAAAAAAATGAATAAATAAATCAGAAAATGGGCCAAAACACACAAAACCAGAAGGCTACAAAATAAAAAAGGGGCCAACCACAGAAAAAATAAAAAAGGAGAAAAGATAAAGGCTCAAGGCAGAAAAGGAAGATTTAAACAAAAAGCTGCACGAAACACCAAAAGGGGAGGAAATATATATATATATATATGTAAAATATATATGAAGAAGAGAGTATACGGGTATATATCATGGGGTTATATTTAACGTTGGGGGTGTTGCCTACCTTCTTGGAAACCTGAACGAGAGATTTCTACAAAAACAAAAGAGGGATAAAGAAAGAAAGAGAAACAAACGTATATATAAAAACGTTTAGAATTAGAGAGACAAGCTGCCCTTTTGAGTAGCAAACTGACCAACACAGTCATTTGGGGTTGAAGCAACAAGCAACATTAAATAACGGAAAATAAAAACAAAAATCATTGTCACTGACGTCGACTTTCAATCCCTAAATATGGGACGTGTGGTGTTGAACAGACATTATTAATCGCACACAAAAACACCTAAGAAGGATTTAATGAGCTCTGTGGGAAAATTCCATTAAGAGACCCAGTTTGAACAGTCACCCCCCCTCCCTCATCCCAAAATGAAAATGAAGCGCTCTTCCTGAAAAGAAAGTGTTTGTGTGAGGTGAAGAGTTAACACATGGTAACCACAGAGAGGAGGGGAGAGAAATCCACCTCCTGAACACACAAAGACACATTTCAAATGAAAAAGCACAAGTTAAGCAACAACTTAATCTTGAACACACATTGAGAAACTTAATCTAGCACACACACATACACACACATGCAAGTACACTGATTTGTGTGAAGGACTACCGACCAAGCAGAAAAGTGCAGTGATGAGGTTATATGATATGTTAATCAAACACATAGCTTTAGTGTTATGTATATGTGTATATGTGTGTGTGTGTGTGTGGTCAAACTGCACAGATGCAACACAATCTCTCTGTCTCCACCACTTCGACTTCCTACCAGCATGCCAAGTTGCGTGTGTGTGTCAAGGTGTCCCCACTACCGGTATTTATAGTTGAGGGAAAAGTGATATCTCCGGTGTAACCATGGATACTGTCGCCACGGAGCTACAGTATCTCTGAGTGGGAGGCCTAGAGAGTGGCTGCGCCTGTACCTCCGCCTCACACACACATGCACACACATGCAGGCAAGACACTTTATCATTCTCCATTTCTGTAGCTTTCAAAGCTCAACTTCTGTTATTTTTAAGCTCCATTGCGTACACTCTTCCTCTTACTCCCTTCCTCACACACATTTCCACCTTTAAACCCTGACTTGCTGTCACTTCCTCTCCTCCACGTGTTCAATTCTTTCTCTGATAATAATATGACAGTTCTTTGTCTCCTGTGCACTACTTTCCTCCCATTCTGACTGGTGTGCACAGACTTCATCATGCTCTATAAGGATTTAGATGACCTTTTGTTCTATAGAAACTAGTAGAATCCAATGCACAGACAAGGAGAAACATCAGGCCAGTTGTCTCAAGCCACTTCAGTCAAAGAGTTAGTAGATACTTGTTGGGTTTTTCCTTCCCCTCCACTTTTGTCACCACAATGCCGTCTTCACCTCTCTGTATTTACACAGCAGAGTCAGATCAAAGGGACAAAGCCAGAGAAACATTCAAAAACATCTACATAAAACTAGTTTAGCTCTGATTACAACGAGATACCCATGAGAGCAGTTTCAGGGCTGCAACCTTGCAGTGGAGGACTGAGATGAAAACTGGGCCAGACGTGGAACCGAAACCAAAATTACTCCTCAGTCACCGCCGCTGCAGGCAAAATTATAGAGGAGCCACAGCTGTTCCCTTCCTCTCCCTTTCTACTCTCAGCAGAGTTACAGATCAGCACAAGTTTAGTGATAGGGGAGAGACCAGCCCCTCTCAAGAAATGCTCCAGTGATGATATAGATGTACGTGGAGAAAACGAGCACATGAAATGACTTGTAACGTAAACCTAGTAATTTTCTCCTTTAAAGCTGAAACCTCACTACTCAGAGAAAGCTTCAATCTGTAAAAGTACTGCATGATAATATACAAATGTTCTTTTGCCACATATGTCCCCCAGTTTTGCTACTTCCTTTCTCCGAGTATAATTGTAACTTTCCCCACTTTACATTTCCCCATGCTCCTCCCTCTCTTTTCCGCCGCTCACCTGCGTACGAACTTGGATGTGAACTTGCTGAAGATCCCCGTGGCTCCGTGTGTCCTCCGGGCCTGGCTGTTGCCATGTGACAGTGACGGGGACGCCGGGCCCCCGGGATAGGCGGAGCCCTGCTGGTCCCGGGCCCCCCGCTGCTGGCCTGCGTGGAATGTGCTGCGGATGCCCACCCCTCGGGAGAAGTTGGTACGGTCTGACACGGCAGCGCTGCTGATGTTGTGGGCAGAGGGGGAGGCGCCGGGAGGCCGCTGAGTCGTGGCACTATAGAGGAAGAGTGGGAAGACAGAGGTGGGGAAGGAGGGTAGAGAAAGAGAGAGGTGGAGAAGACGAGGCGAGAAAAGATTGGAGAGGAGAAGAGTTTGGAAGGTGTGATGAGAGAAGCAGCAGAGGAGAGGAGGTGCAAATGAAGAAGAAAGCAAGGTGGTGTGGGAGGAAGTAGATGGAGAGGGGATGGGAGTGAAGAGGAGAGGAACAAACAGTTAGACAAACATCTCGTTCTGTCTGGAGTGCTACTTACCTGAGTGTAAGGTCATACAAGTATCAACCTCTGCTCGCCCTGATGTTTCATTTAATCCCTTAAGTCAGCCAAGTCAATATTTAGGGCCACGTTTAGGTCACAGAGACACCGTTTTAATCCTCTTTGCTTTGACCGTGGGGCAATGCATCACAAACTCCAAGCGCTCTCTCTCTCACACACAGGAAAATAAACAACACATACACTTGAGCTTAAAGCTTGCATTTGCTTTGTAGGCTTGTGTGTGAGCATCTTCCAGCAGTACACCTGCAGCAGATGGCAAACACAACAGACAGAAATTGCAAAAAGCACCCACGCTAAAAACAGTGACAGAGTGGAATGAATTAGAAGTTAATACGAGTGGACCATCCGCATTAGAGGGCTGCAATGGGACTACCATAATACATAACACACGTTTCATTTGCAGGATAAGGTTACTCCAATGAGAAACTAATTAAAGCAGTCCCATGCAGACCTCTAAAACTCTACAAAGAAAAGGAAAGAGGCAAGTTTACACACTAACACTGTAATGAACAGCTTTAACAAGTCCTTCAATTTGATGTGGATATGTTAAAGTTGTGCACGAAAACACAGAGACTCTATGGATAGGATAAAAAGGCTGGATCAAGAGGTTAGTGGAGATCAGTTTCACATATTATTATGAAGATGGCTGTTGAATGCAAGGAGAAAAATAGCTTTTCCATTTTGTTTTAAATATAAAAGCACTGCATTGTCACTTAAGGAGAAGAGTAGTGTCATCCTGTAATTATCAGCAGAAGGTGTGTCATCAGGATGATTTTCATGCTAGTAAGCATACTTCATTTGCATATAGTCCAGAGCACCTCTAAGTTATACAAATGTGGAGCTGCCTTTGTACAGCCTTGCTGCCTCATTACAGTACATCATGAATACTCGTGCAGTAAAATAGGTTGTTAAAAATGATGTTAATTCATGAGTGGTGTTTTTTAGAAGGGTAATTGGGGACAGCTGGATAAAAGAGGAGTGGGTGGGACATCAGGTCACAGACTATGTTCTGAGAAAAGGGTCCTAACCCTCACTGAGGGTACAGTCTATGTTTTGGAGTGGTACCTTCTCTCCAGCGTTCCCAACCAGGTTCTGAACATCCCAAGCTCACTGCTGAACGACGCATGCAACAGAACAAGACTTCAACATGGAGCAGACAAAAAGCACAAACAGCCAGTCTGACATTTGTGGTGGGTTTCCACTATACAACCGTCTCAAGAAAGGCTGGGTTCCCTGATTCTGAACTAATATACCACTTGTTATAATATTTAAGTAAAGGATTGTTTTGCTACTCCTAGTTTGCAGGGACTTGTATTGAACTGATGCTGTAACCAGTAAAAAAAAGAGTGGCCAAATTAACTAAAAGTTCAATCTTATTTCCACTTTAAAGTAGCCAAGGAACATTTTCAAAGACCATTATAATGTTATGTATAATGTCCACGGTATAAAGTGACTCAAGGGTCAGAAAAAGTGGTATAAAATATATCTGTATCAAAGCAGCCTTTGAAACAGACACTATCAAGCAGGCAACTTAAGCAACACACCAAAAGACAAGTATAAAGACGGCCGACACACACAGATGATCAACAAGACAGTCAGGTGATTACTGCTTCATTCATACAACGAGACACGCCACATTACATTAATGAAGACAGGGTTTTCTCAGGCAACTTCATAACTAAAAGGGGGGTTTACAAAGCAGATTGAGTGTGAATGAGAGCACTCGGCAAACTCTGAGAACAACAGAGGCTGTGGGAAAATGTATTGCTACTATTACTTCTTTACACAGGATTGAGCTTGATTTGTACACCCTGGGAAAATCCTTCTGTCCACAAACACAACATGTCAGAAAACCAAATGTATATTATGCATATTACATAATATTATACATTTATACATGCAACAGTAAGTCAGATACCATTTCAGAAAAAAACATGCATCGTCACAATTATTAGATCTGTATTTTTTGTTGACCACAGAACACTTTTGTTTATTTTAGCTGGCAGGCCATCCATTGGAATCAGAATGCAGAGGAGTGGGGCTCAGAGAGGCACTCTATGAAACTGTGTTTACCAGATATTAGGAATATATTGTCCATTCAAATCTCAAAAATATTAATATTTGACTATCCATCTGCGCAGATAAAGTACACCTTTACTCTTTATCAGACCACCATTAGACTTTCTCTGGTCCACATACATTTTGAACTCTTATTTGCCTAGGAGATTGTTGTTCAGCATCCAAACAATTGACACAGACTCTCACTAATGCACTTCTGTGGGCAAGATCACCAGTTAGCAGGTCAGCTGTAAAGGTCTGAACAGCTTAGAAATGTTCCTGCAAATGTCAACTGTTGCTGAATAATGTTTTTTTACAACAACAGAGTCAATTAATCAGGGGTAGGTTGAGGTTATACTTTGGACTTTTCCACACTTTACTTCTGTAATGTCAACATAAGCTTTCTAGGAAATGTTATCTCATTCAACTTTCTTATCATATTTGATTTCTTAGACTAAGTTTCCAGATGTACAGCACATAACCAATGTTATATAAGGAGCTGGCCTGCACACAGTTCACCAGCTGTGTGTGGAAACCTGATTCCTGCTGCTTCATACATGTCTTTTCTCTGAATATGTCTGTTTTTCTCTTAAGCCAGGAAACCGAACACCTTATAAAACAACAAAACAAAACATCTCCTGTCTGTCAGAGGTCGCTGCAGTGAAAAACCTGCTCATCTAGTTCTCAGGCTGACTGCTCAGTTATGGGTGGTGTGAAGTATGCGAGTGACTGATTGGCCAGTGTTGCAGAGTTTAGCTTGTGCTGGCTGTTGCTAAGTAACTGTTAAGTCTACGGTAGCTGGACGTCTCACTATGGTGATGCTGTAGTGGTAAATATATAAATGTGGAAACTCAGAACAACCCTTGATATCACCAGCAACTCCACAAGGGTTTCATGTTAAGTATTTAACGCCGTCTCTTTGCTGCTACACTAATGCCAACTACTTCCTTCTTCTGGTTTGCCTTATGGGGGAAACAATTATAGTTAGGAAGTTTGCCAGATTTAATTGCATACTTTTCCAAAACTGCACACAAGTTACTCATCATTGTCGATCACCAATTTACCCTTTTGGAAAGGCTTGATCTCTTATATGTAAGGTATTTCTTCAGTGCATTTTTCGTGATATCAACACCCAGTAATGCAGGAGGCAGGTTTAGGTTGATAAAAAGACCATTCCAAAACAAAAAGCTATAAAACATTTGAGAATAAATGAGATGCATGTGAATGTGCATGTAAGTGAGGTGTCTGTTGGCAAGTGGGGCTCTTTGTTTTAGGTAAAACACCTACTCTTTGATACATTTCCCTGCTTTGTGAAAGGCTTTTTCTATGTCTTAAAAGCACTATGACGTCATCAAAGAGTTGTTTTAATGCAGCAGTGATGGAAGGTTTCAGAGCCCACATTTGATCCCTTCTTCTTCTCTCCTCTTTCCTTCTAGTCCATCCAGTTCTTGCGGGAAGGATGATGATCTGTGCCGAGTTAATGAGCTGGAAGGGGCTGAGGCAGGGAGAGTGTGTGTTTGAGTGTGTGTGTGTGTGTGAGTGAGAGACTTGCCTGGGCCGTGGTGCGTGCAGGTCAGAGGGGCATGGATGATTGGAGGAGGAGAGCGACTTTTGATGACGGGGACGCGAGGAGGAGGAGGAGGAGGAGAGGACGGCAGCAGCCGAGGCAGTGGAGGCGCGGGAGCCCGGAGTGTTTAGGCTGAGAGGAGGGGGGAGGGATTGGAGGAATACCCCGCCCAACACACACACATATGCAGACACACCGACAGAACGTGACAGACACGGGACAAACACACCAAAAAGGTGACAAACACAAGCATACACACATTCACACAAACACAGTGGGCGGGGTTTGTGTGTGGATGGGCGGGGAGGTGAGGTGGAGCATGGTTAGAAGCAGCACTTATCAAACACAGTAAGGGGGAGGGGGGGGGGGGGGGGAGAGAACAGAGGAAGTAGAGACAAAAAGAGACAGAAAACACACAGCGGAAAGGACTGGAACAAAGAAGAAAAGTTGGTCTTTTTTTGTTGTTAACATTGCTTCATGGTGTTTTCACATAAAAAAAACAATCAGAGGGCACCATCAAAGGCTGACTGTGTTCCTCTTCTGTTTTCATGTGAAATCCACCCGAAACAAAAAGGCAGCACACAGAAGACAAACACACAACACACTTTTCTATTGGCTAGAAAGACTGGAATCACTCAAGACAAATAATGTGGACAAAGTCAGGTTACAAATATTACAGAAATGTGCAAAGCATTGCTACGCAGGATTAACTCCAACTACATTTGTCTAACAGATCCCTTTCAGCGTGTAAATATCTTTGTTTATCCATCTTAAGGTACAGAGTGCTTATTTGAAGATATCTGCAGTATACATTTTTTGTAAAGAACTGTGCCATACAAATAATTGTTTTGTTATATGCGAACATCCAATTTTGATAAGTTAATTCTTTGTATTTTTGCTCACTGGGAATATTTGCTTGTTTTTGGAGTTTATTATGATGTAAATAAATTGAGTGATGGTTGGACAAAAAAGACAGTTTGTGGATGTCACTTTGGGCTCAGCAAAGTATACATTTCTAGATATTTTACAGACTGAATGTTAAATAAGTGAATCGGGAAAATGTACTTCTGATTAAGGAATCATTAATAGGAAATAATTCAATCAAGTTTGCTACATTGCTATGAGATAAATATTTAAAATCTATATTAAAACCAACATTGCTGGTGCTCCCTTTCAGGTTACAGTTAGGGTCCTGACTTTCTGTATGAGACGAGTAGATGATTGGCAGAAAATAAAGCTTCTCTCATTGTTCTGTTTAAGAATTATCACTCTGACTGAACTTGACATTTTATAGATCTGACCTGTCCCATTCCTCTCCAATCCTTTTCTACTGCTAACAATCTAAACAAGATGTGTAACAAAGCATAGTTTATTGAATAACTTGAGCAAAAACAGCACTGGCTGTTTCCTGAACTTTCTAGTAATTAGCTACAAAGCTCCGCACATAACCGACAGCTCTGACTTGACTTTATACACACACACACACACAGTGAGAGACAGCGCAGAGTGGTACCAGAGAGAGAGAGAGAGAGAGACGAAGAGAGGGCAGAGGAATGAGCAACGAGAGAGAGGGACACTTTTATAGAGGTCAACCAACAGCTGCTAATTACACAGAAAATAAACACCGAGACAAACGCACACTTTCTTTCCGACGGAGATTAGTGCGGCTAGTGATGGAAAAATAACGGCATTCACTGATAGCCCAGCGTGTGGCAAGCGATTGAGCATGGGTGACATGTATGTTTAAGCCTGTGTGTGTGTCAATGAGTTTGTGTAGATATTTCTGTGTATATGTAAGCCTATTAGGAGGCAGTACAAGGACCATATAATGCCACTAAGAGTTAATATTCCATCACAAGTCCACCTAATCTCCTTAGAGAGAGAGGGGAGAATAAGAAAGATTTATATAAAGACAAGGAGGAAAATAGGAAGCTGGACACAAAGGAAAAGTAAGAGGCGCCGAGAAAATGTGACAGAGCTCAGACGCACACGAAAGACAATTAGAAAGAGAGAATTGGGAGGGTTGGGGGGTGTAACATGTTTAAAAGCCCAAACTTCAAAGCATTAATGATGATCAAATAAAGTTACTTTAAAATCAAAGCAGATGACATCAACTAAGTTAGCAGAGTCTAACACAGCTATTAGACCCACAGTGCTAAAAACAACCCAAAAAAATGCTGTCTCAAATGACCTCATCATCACGGCATAGTGCGTAGACTAGGAACAAAAATACAGTTATCAGGATTCAATAAAACATTTTAAATGATGTTATAGGTTAGGCACTATTCCAGGGACAAAGAGGTCATTTGAGAATCATGAACAGGCAATAAAGCAGTAATGACAATGAACACTGCATCACAGTAGGGATTATGGTTTGGCTTAATGTTTAATGTTCATGAGAAAGCACACAAAGCATATGGCTGGTTAAGCATGAGTGATGGTGGTATGTGTGGACGCGTATTCGGCACAGTACGATCCCGGGTCTACTCAAAGTACCGCAAAAAAGTGTTTTTTTATAATAAAATAAAGATTAACCCACAATCGAGCAACTCCGAAATGTTGTATTTTTATTTTGGAATTGTTTGAAGTGGTAAAAAAAAAAAGGAGATCTGGAAGCATGAAATGAGCGAGGGGAAAGGGAGGGAATATTACACAAAAAGGAGGGAGGGGCTTGATTTATGGCTAAACCCAAAGGCTGAAAGTAAGCTTGCTTTTGACTCTTTATTACTTTAAGATTATTGTCATTTGTTGAGGTTCATACCTACTAAAACCTTCTTTCCCTGATTGGACTTTGGGCAAAACCTTTGATTAAACTGGGGGAAGTTCATTGGAACAGAACATTTTGTTAAAAGGAGAAGGATTAGATTTGAATGCCAAAAGAGGTCTGTGTGTTAGCATATGTCAACCTGCGGGTGTGTTTACCGAGTGGGTGTGTGTGTCCATCGAACCCTGCCTGTGCTCTGAATGGCCCTCCACCACCAGGGGTAATCTGTAATCTACTGAAGGGTTGGCCTAAATTCCCAAGGGAGCCAGATTTCCTCTTCCAGGAGGGCTCACCCCACCCCGGGGGGAGAGAGCTGAGGGCCTCCCTGAGCCAGCTGGCAGAGCATTGGAGAGACCGGCCAAGGTCTGGAGCTCAGACACCAAGACAGCTGCGGGCCGGCTTCATTCACAAACCAGAGTGTGTTTATAGTTTATGTGTAAGTGCAGTGCATCCTCACCAACACTGAGACTCCTTGAAATAGAGTGTGTGAGACACCAGTGGTGCGTCTCTTTTTACCTCGTGTGTGCATGTGTCTTTGTGTGTGTGGGTACCTGTCCTTGCCGTTCTGGATGCCCTGGCCCAGCGTGGATCTCTCAGTCAGAGGAGAGTTCCGACTACGACCGGTACCGGTGGACAGGATGCTATTCTGAAGGGAGAGAGGAGGAAAAGAACAGCAATGTTAGAAATATAGAAATGTTTAGGATCAAGACATTGAAAAATAAGTGATTTAAGTCGGATGATAAAAAGTGATATATTATCACAGGAAAAAGCGTCCCGCAAGCTTCGTGATTGGCACGGATTAGTGAAATTAATTACATGACAATCGGGCCTTAAGAGTATTTCATGTAGCAAATTAAATTTCCTGCAGCTTGTCATGGTAATGCACAATCATACAAATTAAAAATCTAATTGGGCAACTTATTAAATCACAGAAAAGGCGTGAAGTATAATCCAATATATTATATTTGATTGCATTCCTAATGTTTTGGATAGCTAACAGTTTATTCCTTTTATGGTCCTATATACAGATCAGACTATATATTACAAAATTAGAATCTTTTAATCGTTGCAGTTCTTATTTATGAATTGTCATTTAGAGAACCCTCTCTCCTTCACAGGGTTTTTCCACTACCCGACACCATCTTCTCGGGTTGAGGTGAGGTGGAGCTATACATGGAATTACACAATGTCCAGGAAGTCAACACGCTAATCAAAATCATAAAGTGGTCCCTCCCTAAATTAACAGGAGGGTGACACAGATATTAAGAACAGGTCTTATCAGGCAACTGACAGCATCGCAGGTGAACGATGGTGAGTAGGGACGTCACATTTCATTACTGCATTCTACAAACAATCTATAAAAGCCCTTCAGTGGAGAGTCACAAAATACCCTCAATATTCTTACAATTTTTCAAACTTTTTAGTTGAGTTTATTCTCTAACATTTGTTTGAATGTGTCGTATTGAAAGTGTCATCTGTTTTAAATTACTCTGCTGGCCAGAACTGTAGAGGAAGTTATAGAGGTTCCTACAAGTGTTGATTTCATCAGCTATTTCTTAGTCCCGTGTTAAATGTCCTCGCTTGTTTCAGCACATGCACCTCATTATAATGAGATTATGATTACGCTTTTGTTTTTTTAAACTAGAGTTTAGTCTAATCTTTTTTGTCAATTGTCATCATTGTTTTATTCATTAAAGAAAGGTTTCTGACAAACAGGTTCAGTCATAGTGTTTTGTTGTTGAGTTGGTTGATACCCGGAAAAATAAAAAAGGCAATTTCACAAAAGACATTTTGACATGTCACACTAGGAAAAGCACAGGCTGCGTCAGTTTCAGGGTCCTTAGTACCGTAGATGCCGGTCACACTCATCATGGCTGACTGGAACACTTGTGCCTGTAACACCTGTGCCTCCCTTACACGACATAGTGTGTGCTGGGAAAAAGGTCCACAGTTTCTCTTTAACACCAAGAAAATAAAGTATTGTGGGTGTGTAAAACTAGGAATTGGCATTACATAACTGGTGGTTATGAGACAAGAACAATGTCTCATTAAAGATGACTAAAATAACAGATCAAATTGACGTGACGCACACTTAAAGGTCGTTTATATTATATAGCCGTTTATTCAAGATAGTTTAACTAGTATCTAGCATTCGATTTGATCTTTGGACCTAAGATAATATGTAGCTGAAGTTTTACTTTCATTAAGGAGCAACTCGTTTTCTCTTTCATTAAAGTTGCTACAATTACAGTATGTCTTTTTGTTGAGAATCTGTATGTCTGTACATTTGAATGTTTGTGTGTTGTGAATGTGAAGTAAGCAGTGTGTGTGTTGGGTCTCACGGTGGAGGGCGTGGCACTCTTCTTGCGGTCAGTGGGGACCAGAGGGCTGGCCGGCACCTTGGTGGTGGAGCTGCCTGATGAACCTTTCCTCCCAGCATCCTCTCCTGCAGTCCGGTTGTCTGTTTGACCCCCCCTCTTAGAGTAGGAAGAGCCTTGAAAATGAAAGAGAGGGAGTACATGAGAAAGGCCATCACTGGATGTGCTCTAATCAGAGACCTTTCTTCCCATCTCAACCACTTTCGGCTCTGCAGCTCATTTATGACTTCCTGTCTTCTTTCAGCTCCAATAGAAATCAGTCGGACCTTCTTTTCAATCTGCTCGTGTGGCTCCATTGTTAAATCAATCTTATCTTCCCTCTACCTCATCATTCTACTGCACATCCAGCCCATCTCTCTTACTTGAACCTTTACTCCAACATATATCAAGCCCATGTACTCAGGATGTCTGCTGCGTCTCCTCATTTTTGCCCTTTTCCTGTTTTACCTCTTATGATAAATATTTATGTCTATATCTTTTTGCGGTGACTTGTGTGATTTTCTTTTTTTATTAAACCATTTTTAATGAGCAATATGTTGGAGGAAGCCTGATATCTAAGGTTTTTGTTTTTCACTGTCCAAAAGTCCAACACTGTTATTGTGCTTATGATAGTTAATACATTGTAACCTGTCACCTCTAAATTGTTATTAAACTCTACATTTTTCAATTAAATCAAACTTTCTCCCATCTTTTACAACACGAGTCCTCAAAACGCAATGTATTGCTTATTTTAAAAACTATTTTGAAACGTTTTACCTTATCATTACCTTTAGAAGCATTAAATCTTCTATTTAACGATACAGGACTGGAGATAATTAGCAGCATACAGCATCATTCATATCATAAGATTAAATTTAAAACATGTTAAAGGAACTGACTGTTTTATCTCTGAATTTCAATACGATACCCCATCTCAGTTTCCTTCTCCTAACCCTCTCTTACATCCCCCCCCTCCTCTCCGACACACACCCGTCTCACCCTGGTCGTTGGTTCTGCGGTTTTGAGGCTTCTGGTTGGACGACACACTGCGCTGTACCTTAGAGGGGCAAGATGGACATACAGGTCAGTTTGATATCGGTTTTTTTAAGAGTTGAACTCACTGGGACGTGAGTAGAAGCTGCATACACAGCTGCTGCTGCTGTTATGTGTCTATAAAGCCATTCAAATAAAAGAAGGGGAAGGCACTGCTTCACATGTACCTGTATGTAGGTCAAAGATGTAAACTCTTAATGAGAGCTGTTTGAGAGTAAATTCCCAAAGTGTATTTGTCAAAAAATGAAGAGGTCAAGTCATTGCACTTGTCACCTGCTGGAGTCAGGAGACCTCAGTATGTGTAAGCAGGAGACGTTATGTGTTCTCATTGTACCTTGTGAGGCGGGGAGGGGGCGTTAATATTGCTTACATCACTTCCTGGCCGGGGTTTGATGCCACTTTCTTCCAGCTGCGGGACAAAGAGAAACAAACAGGTTTAACATAGAGACTGTTAGGTGGATTCAACAACTCAACTTTATTTATATATCACCTTTCTAGTTTCGATTAATCCGTTTTTGTCTATTATATGCCAGAAAAAGAGTGAAACATTTCAGTTTCTAAGAGTCAAAGGTGATCTATCAACGTCTTGTCAAAATACTGAAAATCTCTCACACAAAAAGCTCCATATCCTAAAGGCTGCCCAAAGTGCTTCCCAGAGCAAGGTTAAAACATCATAAACAAAAATGTAAAAACTAAAATAGATATTTTTAACAGACAGCATGCTAAAGTTCATTAGAACTGAGAAAAGTTGGAGGTACCTGCAGACATTGATTCACATGCGCAGAGGTAGGAGAGCAGATTGAGTGCAACTTGTTTCTTCATTTTTTTATTTATAAACCTCACTCAAAAATATTAATAATTTGTTTATATTTAAGATTTTCTTCCAGTGAGATATTCTGTTTGGAATTTAATATTTTTGAATAATCAATTTTTTTTCAAAGGAATAATTATCAGTGAATAGGTGATGATTAGAGTATTATTAATAATAATAATAATAACAGCTCACAAAACCAGTAGGGTAACTGCAGCTTCGACAGATCTGACAAACCAATTACAGCGTGTTAAATAAAGGTGTGTAGGTTTGATTAAGACAGAGCGTACCTCATTGTTCCTAAAGTCCAGTAGCAAGTATGCGGCCATCACATCATTGTACTTCTGGTTCACCAGCGAGTCTTGGATCTCTTCCGCAGAAAATCCCATCGTCAGCATGATGTCTGCATGCACAAAACGTGTTTAAAATTAGAACGGTGGAACTCTGTAGGTACATAATTCATCTTGAGAAATTTAAAATATGTGTTGAGTGTGTGCTTGGGTGAGGAAGGGAATACATTTACCATTTTTGAGTTTGTTTCCGTTCCTACCTGTCCGCCTGGGGTCCTTATAATCTGGCATGGGTTCGATATAGGGTTTGAGTTCTTCGTCCTCATGACCCACATTCATCCACCGGTCCCTCATTATTTGCTGCTCAGAGAAAACCACACAGACAGATACAGGGAGGATAAGATGTCAAAGACATTAGAAGGGGTAAAGAGCAGGGGAGGGAGGAAAGGTTAAAGAATAAAAGAGGAGACAAGAGAAAGAGGGGGGAAAAGGTTAGAACAAAAGAGTCTCACAGATAAATTACTAATACAATGGAAATGATGCAGGAACCAGCGATGCATGATGAATTCATTCTGCGTTTTTCATCTGTTTACTTCACCACTATGGACTGTCTTTTTCTAAAGGGAAATAGCCGGGTGTATTTTATCTTTGAAATGCAGATTAATCTTTCTTAAAAAGTGAACAGGGGACCTTTCATAATGAACTCCAGATGGAAGACAGGGCTAAACTCCTAAAATCTGCAAAACTGAACTATACCAATTGTAGACAATCTTTGAGGTAGGTGTAAATGGGACAGTCACAGGACTCGATTCTAGCACTAACATTAGAGTCTTATCTCAGTTTTCTTTTTACAGAGTAGCCATTGTAGTCCAAACATAGACTGTTGAAATTCAAAAATACAGTATGTTTTAATAAAAAATGAATACTAGTAAAGTGAAAGTGAAGCCTGTTACTCAGCAGCAACTAGTTGTTTGCCTTCAGCTTCCATTCAAAACTAGGTAATGTCCAACTATCTTCAGTGCTCCCACATTTAGTAACTCATAACTCTCAGACTAACAAGTATTTACTATGCCTTTAAAAAGCACTTTACACTTCAGCAACAAACTCGCATATAGCTGGTGAAGCAAGTCCAGCTGAGCAGTATAGCACTGTATGCGCTTCACCCACCATTAGTCTGTGAGTTTGACAAGTCTGACCAAAGTGATTTATTATCTTGTGTTTGTATTCTTGTGTGTGTGTGTGTGTGTGTGTGTGTGTCAGAGTAGCGTACCTCGAGGCTGCCTCTTTTAGAGGGGTTCAGAATGAGAAACTTTTTGAGCAGGTTCTCACAGTCGGTGGACATGTAGAAGGGAATCCTGTATTTACCACGCAGCACTCGCTCCCTCAGTTCCTGGAGATGGACAAGAGCATTTAAAAAGTCAGCAGTGGACTCTTAAAAAAACAAACATAAAAACAATCCTTTTTCTCTCACGTTCTCAGATTCTGTCCGAGAGCAACAGACTATCCAACTGTTTCCAGCGATTTACAGAAAACGAGAGTCTATGAAACAGTGTCTAATGATAAAGAACTTGACTCTGAATCTCATCAGTAATCTAAAGTGGCCTGAACAAGCCAATAGACGACATTAGCTGTGGTTACATTCCCAAATGATTAATAGTTTCTGAAACAAGTAGTGCATTTACCCAAGCACAAGCTGGTAGGCATTTTAAAAGGCTAACACAGTGGAAGTGTAGTTTGGAGCGGACTTTACCAAAATATATTATTAAAAATAAATTTGAATTCCCTATTTAAAATACATTTGACTTTAATAGATCAACAAAATTATATAAGCATTGAAAACTGTGCTTTATCTAATGTCCATGTTTTTTTGTTCATATTCATCTGTGGAAGGAAAATTAAGACCACTTCTACTATAGGGTTAAATCTGAAAAGTCAGGCTCCTATCTGTTGAATTAATAGTAGGAACAGTAATGTAGATTTGAAACAAAACTTCACCCAAGCAGGAGGTAATGTTAAGGAATCTGAATAAACCTGGATGGCAGTTTGCAGGGCCTCTAATATCATTATAATCGCATTCAATGTCATATCGCCTACCCAAAGTGCGTCTGCACTTCCACAGTGACTCATCTGTGTAAAGACAGAATGTTTATTTGATAGCGACAATGTGTGATAGGCGGTATGAATAATTAAGAATAACAACTCATCTCAGCGCCTGTTTGGGTGCTGAAAACCACCAACAACATTAGAAGTGCTTGGGTCGGCTTTTATTCACTTTTACACATTCACTCTCTCCTGAATTTAGTTTCTGCATTTTAGACGGCAGAAGGAACAGAAACCAGCATGACAAATACTACAACCACCCACAGAATACAGACATCCTCTTATGTAACCCACATCACACACAAATAAACTGGCTCCTCTTCCTGACCTTGAGGTTCTGTCCATCGAAGGGCAGCGAGCCGCTGACCAGCGTGTACAGGATCACCCCCAGACTCCACACGTCCACCTCGGGCCCGTCGTACTTCTTCCCCTGGAAGAGCTCCGGGGCGGCGTAGGGCGGGGAGCCACAGAACGTGTCCAGCTTGTTCCCCAGAGTGAACTCATTACTGAAGCCAAAGTCCGCTATCTTGATGTTCATGTCTGCGTCCAGGAGCAGGTTCTCTGCCTGAAGACCGATCGAGTGTGGGAGAGAGGAAGGAAAACATTAACGTGATGTAAAGAGCAGGGACATAGAGGAACATATAAAGATTTAAACATGACGGGGTTACTTGGTTCTGAATACATGTGCCAGAAAATGAAACAAATGTTTGAGTGTTATGTAATTTCTCCACATATCAAATCACTTTTCGAATCCACAGGAAGGTCAGTGCTACGTAAGTAAATGTGGAAGACAAAGTATTACAAATAGGCTGCTCGGTTATGTGTCAGTTGAGCAAAAATGTTCTCCGACATGCAAATGAGTTTGAAGATAATTATTCCACAGACAGTTCTCTTTGACACCTTTCTCCGGAAAAAAAGAACTGCAGGGTTTTTCGGAGTAATGGCCCGGGGCCTACAAGAATCACACAATGGGCAAAGCGAGTTCATTTTGTGTGTGTGTAGCCCTCACTGCCTAAAGTGAGGCAGTGAACATGAGGCTGGGGTTGCCTAGCAACAGGTGCGCTATTCTTTTCACTAGCTCTGAATACATTGCCGTCATCAACACTGACATCATCTCTAGACTTTGACCTCAGAAATAAATGAACAGTGGTCACTCTTCTTTTCTACTAACAAGTTTAATCATCTATAGCTAATTGTCATGCAAAGTAACAAAAAAACTAGTAGACAGAGCTGTAATAGCAATATAAAGAACATGAATGCAGTCGTGCTGGGTTTTTCATCTTTGGACCAAAACAGAACGATTTCCGTCTCGTTGCGCTAGAATTAAGCCTGTGCTGGATTTCACAATAGAATGCACAGATCAAGAGTGATTAGGATAAAGTGCAGGACGGTACGCATTACAATAATTGGAACTGTCTGTCCTCATGAAGTCTTATCTCTCATTCTCTCTTTTTGTGCACGCCAACCATCATTGCCTTGTAAAGAGTCAAAAATGTTTCGTGACCTTGCTGAAAGCACTGAAAATGTTTATAAATAGCTAAACGATAACCATGATTGGGGACACAACTTTGAGATGAGAGGGTTCTGTATGGTTACAGTAATCATGATAATGTTCTGTCTACAGGTCTGCCTGCTGGCACAATAAGAGGATTAACAACTCACGACCACAATGGGCGGGAAGTATTAGGTCTGCGTTTTAATTTCTGGCACCAACTGAAGTGCTTTAAAGACAGAAGGGAGAATATATGGAGAGACAGAGAGAGAGGATTATCCAATAGTGAACACAAGAGGGGAATTACGTAAGAAATAAATGTGCGTATGTATGGGTATGCGTGTTTAAGCCCTAGCACTCGAAGAGGGACATTATATAATCTTTGTAACCCATGAGTCACCTGTTCATGGAGGCAGAATTTCTAATCTCAAAAAGTGAGATCCTATGATGTTAAAAAGTGGACAGAGAGCATGCCTGTTTGCGCTTTGACACCCAATGTAATTCAATCATGTGTGTGTTCTCACCTTGAGGTCTCTGTGTACTATACACTTCTGATGGCAATACTGCACCGCTGACACAATCTGGAGAGTGAGAAGTGAGTGAGAGAGGAAGAGACGGAGTGAGAAAGGATGACAAGATGAACAAGTTTTAGAGATTAACTACAAGACTCTGACCTCTCCATTAGGGTACTTCAGAAAGCGATAATAAAGTACAAAGGGAGCACAATTTATGCAAAACTGCTTATTAATATCAATCACTAAAATATTAAATAAATGCACTTATTAAAATAAAAAGAGATTCCTGCTTCTGCACTTCAGATCTATCATGCCTTAAAACAACAGCAGCATACACTAACATACATATAAAATGACATAACCAGACAGTAGTGCTGCACGATATGAATATATCATGTGATGACGTTGTTGAATAATATTTATTGTGCTTAATAAACAGATATTAAGTGTACTCCGTTCTGCTTCTTTCAGTTTACTGCTATATACTGCTGTTATACAATAAAATGCTTAAATATTTAAAAAAAAATTCATTTAAAAAAAATTAAAAAGTAACATCGATCTGTGCACAAAAGCCAACGACAAAGAAAATATGAGTGAAGTTTCCTACTGAAACTCTTTTTGAAACTCTAAACCCATTATCGTGCAAGTTGACATCGTGATGAAAATAAAAGCTAACATATTGGGCAGCCCTAACAAAAATGCATTTTCTCCAAAACAAACAAAAACAAACCTGTCTGAATTTGGCACGGGCTTCTTTCTCCTTCATCCTGCCATGGGCCACCAAGTAATCAAAGACCTCTCCTGGGAGACGAGAGAAATGAGGAGAGCAGAGTTATTGTTGGAACCTAATACTGGTCTCTTTAAGGCCGGAGTATTAGGTGAAAGGGACATTGAACTAAGTATTGTCATTTAAAAAGAAAAAAAGTACAGGCACTTTAACTAAAATACAAATACTTAAAAACAGGCTTCTTTCTTTTGTAATAAAGTACGTTATTTTCTTTTCATACAAAAAAACGGTTTATTCGTATATATGCGTAATCAAATCAAACACGGCTTCTATGTTAGAAATAAAGAAAAAACAACAATTCATAGTTCAGCAAACATATATAATAAAATAGACATTTCTTTGTACATTTCTTTAAAATAAAATAATATTGAATACAAATTTGAAATCCTGGAATCATGTGCGTCTACATTGAGAGGACTCTCCCAGAAAAAAACTAAACCTGTGCACTATGAGGGGGGGGGGCAGCATTTGATGGTAACATACAGTGTGCCCAGCCTCAGGGGGAATTATTTCACAGTGACACGCACTCACCTCCACTGGCGTACTCCATTACCAGGTACAAAGTCTTCTCTGTCTCTATCACCTCAAACAGCTTGACTGGAGGTGGAGAGAGAAAAGCAGGAGGAGGGGGAGGGGAAAGTAAAGTGAAGGGAGAAGGGACAGGAAAGAAGAAAGCAAAAACAAAGAGATAAGACAAAAGCAGAAGTATTAATATGAGACAGGTTGAATGCATGACCTTGAAAGACAAAATACATCGCTGCGGGAAGACAGAGTGATCTCACTGTGACTCACCTATGTTGGGGTGATTCAACATCTTCATGATCCTCACCTCCCGGAAGAGCTGCGAGAGAGGAGACCAGATTTATTTTGGTGTTGCTTGTCAGTGTGCTGTTACATTTATATTCTACACATTTAAGTGCAAAATACTTTCAATAGATTTGTTATCAATTTGTTTATGAAGTACACTGTATTTTATTTGTGTCATTGCATAGACTCTTAATCAATATTTGCAGTGGGTAAAGTGACACTGAAAACATAAATATGCACTTCCTGTATGAGCATGTGTGTCAATTTACTAAAAAGGGAAACAAATATTAGTTTAAATCCCGGCACAATTTAGGATTTCAGAGCTAACAAATGTTACCTTCAGCTGCTTGTAAACTCTGATAGGATACATTCAAGCATAAAAAGTATTAATTCCAGTCTGTGCCACTCAGTCTCTTTCTGTGGTTTAGGCGAGAAGAGGCAGTTTTCACTCATTATATATTTATTTGACTCAGCAGATAAGGTCAGCAGATAACTAGGCTTACTGTAGACAGACAGTTAGAAGCCAGAGTATAACTGTTAAGGTTGCAAACAACCCAAAATGAAACACATTAAAATGTAATGTGTGTAATATACACTCAAACACAATGTTTTGTTTCATTTCACTTGCCGTCTTATTAATGTAATACCATTTTCCAAAATGGCTTTAAAAACAGTAACACATTCAGTTGTGTTTTGTTATAATTAAATTCCTAGATATTAAGAAAACAACTTGACATTTAAGGCTTACACAATGTCCCTTGATCACGTATAGCATTTCTGAATGTCCAGGTGTTATTTTTGTGTCAAAATAAAATAAAACAGTGAGAGTGTGTCTTTTCATGGGTCTTTTAAAGCCAGCACATTATTTGCTTCAGTTGCAGCATGCAGAAATGCGGCAAGACACATTTCCAAGAACCGTGCAAAAAGAACAGACAAAGCCCCCTTTGTTGGCAAAAAAACTTCAAGAACTGATAGGGAATAATATCAGGAGTTCCAAATTGGTCCCTAATGCATTTGATGTGAGTGTGTGTGAGCATTTATCACTGGATTTATGTGCTCTGAGCCTCTTTGTGACGTCTTAAAATGTTCCTGTCATGTGTCCACATTTGCACACATTAAAGATGCACGAGTGTGTGTGTGTGTGTGTGTTTTGAATGTGCACATACATGGTAAGGGAGTGTGCGTGTAAGTGGACAGACCCCACCCTGCCACGATCAAAAGAAGTAATTGCAGCTTGTTTCCTGTAATTAAAACTCTCTCTGAAAAACTAGACCACTTCAGAAAGACAGAGAGAGAAACAGAAGGGAAAAGCAAGAGAGAAGGACATGTGGGGCAGGAAGAGTGACTTGAAAATGACTTCTGAGAAAAGGAATAAGAAGGACTGAGGTTTGGATTTCGTGCCCATATGTTTGTGTCCATGTGTGTGTGGGTGTGAGGGAGAGAAAGAGACCCACCTTCTGCAAACTGGAGGAGTTGAGCTGTGTCTTATCAATGATCTTTACAGCCACCTAGAAGCATAACAACATGTGTTATTACTCTTTTATTCATCGACAATACTAGCATTGCAGCTATCTTTTTGGACATATCACACACACAGAAGAATGATAGAATCTCACACACAAACACATATTCACAGCGGGCTACAGTTGCATAATAGGGCAGTATACAGGCACACACACAAAGCTAAAGCATGGCTTTTACCCATGCTATAATGAGGTCAATAGTTCATAATCCAACAGATGATGCCAACAACAGAGAGAGACACAGAGAGAGTTAAACACAAAAAAAGGAAAGAAAAATAGAGATATGGACAGATATGTGAGAGAGATGTAGAATGAGCAGATAAAACAGAAGAAGAGAAAAGAGGACGTGAAGATGAAGCGAGGAAAACAAATAAGTATATGTCTTAACAAGGACACCGAAAAGGGAGGTTTTCTCCCACATCCGTCTTTCACCGTCAACTAACTCCTTTCTTCCACTCCTCTTTCTGGTTGTGCTTGTCTGTCTTGCCCTCTGACTCTCCCTTGTTTTCTGTATGTGCGTGTGTGCGTGTCAGCGAGTCACATGGAGTGTTATCAGGGTGTCAGGCACAGAGCTGTCACACATTGACAGAGCCCTCACACTCCCCTCACACCCCTCTCTCTCCCTCACATACACACACAGTGTACTTCAGTGGGCCTCAGACAGACCCCAGCATGGGCTCCCTGCAGACACAGCGTTTCCCTTAAAGGTACAGACCACCGCGTTACATCACATCTGGAATTCACAGTAAGCCAGAGACATTCGGGCTTCTCTATTCAAGCTGACAATGGCCATCTAATCTCCCGCAGCAGATGTACCGTCTCCAAAGCCATGCGAGGCCAGGATCTGACAGGGCCCCACTGTGTATCCCAGCGTGAACCCTCCCGTATCCTCAGCAACCAGGAAGGCAGATTAACAAATAGTCCAAACATTTAACTGTTTTTCTACTTTTAACATCTTCTATTCTAAGCAGAAGTGTTTTTTGGTGATAAAATAGCTGCTGGTTAAAGGATTTGCAGAACATTTTTCAGTTATACTACGGGGTCAGGTCCATAGCCTGCTTAAATTGTCTAATGGCAATTCCCTTATACGTTTATATATACATTAAGCACCAGATTAAAGTCTAATTGAGATTAAAAAGTAATTCATTTCATGAGTGTCCAGGCCAAAAGGGCAGCATAAACATTGTTACAACAATAAACACAATAATACAACTTTTCAGTGAAGATTTAAAGATAAATAGAACAGTCAAAGCAGTTTGGTTGGAGATGTACATACTAATCTACACAAAATGCACTTTGACACACAATCCACAGGCTAATAGTTTATATATGTCTTCATCTTAAATGTCAATCAATCACATTTTATTAATATAGCCCAATATAAAAAATTCCACATTTGTCTCAGGGGGCTTCACAGTGTGTACAACATATGACATCCTTTGACTTTATGAACTCGCATCGTACAAAGAAAAAAAATAACGATAATGAAATAATATAAATAAATAATCAAAAAGAAAAAAGATGGATCAAGGTGGATTTGATGACGCCAAAACAATTATCGAATGGGTGTCAGAATTGTTGGTGTTTGTAATTAAAGAAGCCAGTTTCTAGGTAAATAAAGTCACAATAGTAACGTTTCTCTAAAAAATGTGGCTTAAAATAAAACACTGAGTCTAGGTGACTATCAGTGGAACCAAAGGACAGATTGTCTAGCACGTGTGCACTGTGCATGTATGCCTACCTCTTTTCCGGTGAGGACGTGTCGGGCCAGTTTGACCTTGGCGAAGTTGCCTTTGCCGATGGTTTTTAGCAACCGATAGTTTCCGATGTGCGGCTGGTCGTCTGTTGTGGTCGTGGCGACGGAGTTCCGACATCGCGGCATGCTGGAGCGGCTGGAGGACTTGGTCTCCTGAGAAGAGATAAAACAACATGTAATCATCAAGAGGAGGACATGATGACTCAGAACACTAATAGAAAGTGACAGTGAAAGAGTAAGTGAAGGAAAAGTCTTTGATTTCCTTTTCAATTTAAGTCGATTGACCCATATCTTATTTCAGGATTTATAAAGAGACATTTATCTATTAAAAAGTGGATTATTATTCATTCACAGAAGTAGAACAACCAACAAAAACACATTAGCAATGAAAGAAAAACTAGGTTAGATAAATATACACACAACTCGTCAACATCTTAACAGAAACACCAGTCTAAAGCTGTTAATGGAACCCTTTACTGTACCATCATATACATTAATAATTGAGTATGAGCACATGTTACTATGAACCACTGCTACGTGCTGCAACCATGTCTAATAACACCAGGGTCAAGGTAAAGCTGGGACACTGAGTTTAGTCTCGATGTAACTCTTGTCACTGTTTTACTTTGGTTAATGTTACACTGCCTCTAGTCCAAACAATATTCACCATTTAGTAACATATTGATATCGTGATGATAAATGTATACGCTGTGTGAAGAATAAAACATTTATGATCTGATTCCGACTGTATGTGTGACTTTCTTTTGAACCTACAAGGGCCAGTAGTGTATAAAGTTATTTAAAAAGTTATTATAAAAGCAAAAAATGCTTCAGTTCATCCTACAGCAGACAGAAGGTCTTTCGAGTCATACACACACACACCCACAAAAAGAAAAACAAAACCTTGCTGTGCTGGCAAGTTTTACATGGTTGGCTACTGCGATTGGGTTTCAACTCCAGGAAAGGGTCAGAGCAATTGTGCGTGCGTGTGTGTGTGTGTGTGTGTGAGCGTGTGTGATCTAAGCGGACAGGTGACGGGGATCAGGGTCAGAGGAGAGGACGACTGGCTCCAGGGTGACGAGACGCAAACACACACATGGGGCTGTGGCACAAACACCAGCGAACAGACACCCACTCGGTGTGGGATCACAGACATGCACTCAGCGGCATAAATCACACGCACCTCTCTGAGATTTGACACCAATGAGAGAGACGGGCAAGTGAAATTCACACTGTTGGTGCGGAGTGAGGAGGTTTCGCACAAATCATCCCGTCCTCTTTATTCACCTAATTATCTCTCTCAGACTCAAACAAATTAGAGGCTCGCCCTACGTCCCAAATTACCCACAAACCACTTTTTTTTATCAACATCTTCCTCCCCACGTTACCATATCTTCAGCCATGGGAAACTTGGATAACCATGATTACTTCATTGTGCGTTTCTTGCTCCAGATGGTATGATCTAATGTCTGCGTCCCATCCACAAACCCCCCCCCCCCCCCCCCCCACATCCTCATGCTGACAGTGCAGACATGTACAAAGTGTAATAGGCCAGATTAAGCTTTAACACAAGCAGGGGGACTTGGATTAAAAACAAATGACAGTTACATTAAACCGAGAAGACAGGAAGGACCTTATGTGGGCTTGCGTGAGGGAGAAGCAAATGATTTTATTTTTGGATCATGTAAGAGAGGGGGGGGGTGGGGGAGACCGACAATGCCACATGCGGACACTATTCAAGACAATGAAACTTAATCTGACCATAGAAAGACGATTTATAGCTTTGAATCGTTTCCCAAGGCTTCTAGAAACTGATAAGGCATACTATTTTGTTTGTTTAGATTTCTGATACTCGGACGAGCCATTAATCAGGAAAATGCCTGGGCTTACAAGGCCGATTCACTTAAATATAATAATAATAATAATGATAATAATAATAATAATAATAATAATTGGAATTGTTTATTTTTGTTTTAATGCAAATATGCAAAATTCCATTCCCTGTGAGAAACCCAAGACGCTGCTATCTGATAAAAAAATGCTGTTAAATGCATTAAAACTCTAACGTTTGTCTTGGCAACGTTTTTTTAAAATCACTTGTAGAAAATGATTTAGTTGAAGTGCACTGCTGGAAGATTAGTAAACAGTGCCACTACCTCAACTACAGTGGTAAATACTTTTCATCCATCGCAGCCATTTTTTTATATGTATAAAAACGTTGGTATTTAATCACACGCATAAAAAGGAAAAAAATGATATCGACATTATATATTTGTCATCGGTCTAATGCTTGTAAACAGCTGTAGGAAACGGGACGAGTGTGCATATGAAAGTCCACAATGTCCTTTTGACTCAATGCATTATGCACTTAGGTAACCAGGATTCTGCCTAACCCGATTTCCCCCAGCTAGATTTCTGCTTGTGAAAGTTGATTCCTTGGCCATATAAAGCTCACCAGGCATTGACTTTTTACCTGTACATGTATGCATGACAAACACAGCCACAGCCTGAAAGAAAGAGCAGAGCTTGTGGATAAAAGTAAAAGTCCTTACATTAAGCGATGAATACTCATTTCAGTGTTGACACAAAGTCGTCTTTAGAAGTCTGATTCCAGTGCTGGACAAAGGATTGGTATAATTTGTAAACATTCATGCCGAAAAGTTACAACTGCATGTCAAACAGTAAAACAGAGTAAACTGGTTTCTTGTTTGCCGTCTGACAGGAAAAGCTGTCAATGCAGACTAAGACAACATTAATGTATGCCTTTAAAATCTAAAGCACAGGAAATATCAGCCTGAAGCCCTAAGAGACAAAACTTGAGTATACATTGCTTTGAAATCAACCTAAAAAAAAGTACAAGGACTTCTCTAGGCACCTATCACTAACAACAACTCTTTCCAACTATTTGAATTGAATTAGTGCATCAAGGTTCCTCAACAAAAGAAAGAGACACTTTCCATAAAAGACTATCATTCCGAAAACTAAATAAAAACAGCTCACACTTTGAAAGTAGATGTAAGTAGCATAACTAAAAGAACAAGAGAGGTACAGCTTTATGACTGCACTCGTCACTAGTGAGGTTATTATAAGACAAGGGAACTTTGGAATATGCTCTACAAGTTATCTCCCCTTAAAAAAAAAGTGAAACTTAACCAGCTTACAAAGGCTGTGTAACATGTACAACTATTACTGTACTACAACTGATAGAAAGGTCACAACACGGTGACAAACTTTCCGCCTCTGGTTATCTAGTGCTTAAATGGATCATCCATCCACCCACTTGTTGGCAGGATAAACTTGTAATGGTTGAAATTCATTAAATTCAAGTTCAAACATGTTTCCTCTGAGTTCTTTGCCTCGTCCACAGTCTGTAACTCTTTAGTCTTCCTCCTCTCAGACTCCTATCCTCTTTCATGTCCGACTATTTTTGTCTTCGGATGCGGCCTTCATGGTTGGGCAGCTGCAGGCTAGGACACACACACACACACACACACACACACACACACACACACACACACACACACACACACACACACACACACACAACACAACACACACACACACACACACACACACACACACACACACACACACACACACACACACACACACACACACACACACACACACACACACACACACACACACACACACACACACACACACACACACACACACACACACACACACACACACACACACACACACACACACACACACACACACACACACACACACACACACACACACACACACACACACACACACACACACACACACACACACACACACACACACACACACACACACACACACACACACACACACACAACACACACACACACACACACACACACACACACACACACACACACAATATAGATGTGTTGGAGGACAATAAGTGACATCATTGTTTTGTTCTCACATTATCCTCTGATGCCGTATGTGACTCATGAATACTAACTTGAAACTGCCAACATAATCTCTCTAGCAAAGAATTTACTAACTTTAGATTCCAGTGTTTTCTCATTTTGAATTCATGTTCTGTATTTACAAAGGATGTCTAACTTTTAAAAACTGAAAGTCGACCTCACTGAAAGTCAGGAATTGTTAATGACATTCACACCAAATGAAGGCACCTCGTGTGGAAGGGGCTGAGGAGGTAAATTAGAAAGCACATGGCCCAAAGACACATATATGTAACAAATCACATGACATTGTTGACCACTTCAGGCGTCCCTGAAATTAGGGCAGTAAGCAAAGCCATGCAAAACGTTTAAGCGGTTTGGCTGGCCAGCATAATAACAACAAGTTCTTATTTATACTTTAGCATGTGTACTCTATAGATGATTCAGGGTTGTAGGAAGGAGACACACCACTAAAACTGCAGCAACTTTAATTATAAACCTGTGTATATTGTGTGCAAATAATTTGTATGTCAATTAATCTGTCCAGGAGATGCAGAACTGGCTATGTTTATTATCATACATCTATTAATGGTTGTATATTTGAACTGTTTTTATATCATTTTGCATGCAGACTGGAAGAAAAGAACAAGGCGTGAGTGAGCATACAATTGAAAGCAACTGTACATTTATCTGTGAATACACTTATTTATATTTATTAAAATATTTTTAACAAGAAACAATTTTCTTATCTGATTAGATTCTAATTTTGCAGTTTAGTGAACTGACACATGTTAACATACATTTTCAAAACATGTCAATAAATATAACATTTTTATTTCCAATTTCCTGCCAGATTTTTTACACGACAGCCACTATTAAACAATAATTCAAGCCTGTCGGATACTGGCAGACTTTATTGTTCTCTGCCTACCGTGTGGAGAGACCATTAGCATCGTGTTTATATCCGGCCCTACAATTCAGACCTCCTCCCAACACATTCACACTCACACAAAGTGAAAATGCACTGACAAGATGTTTGCAGCTGAGAGCCATTTACTGCCACACTGCAAACACAAGCATGTGCACATGACCACACACGCACAAAGCAGTAATGTTAATCCAAGAAGCCAGTACTGGTTGTGTTTTAACTCAAGCCTCATTATCATTGACCTTTACTAATCTGTAGTTCTGACAGGAAGCCAGTCAGATACAACCAGATGGACATTTTTATACAGTAGAGTCCAG